TTACTTTGTCGACAAGACATCGACCGGCTATGTCGACGAGTAGTTGGTGGTGGCGTAGGAAGTCGGCGCCGATGATTGGCTTGCTGACTTCAGCGACGATGAATTTCCAACTATAAGGTCGGCGTAGGTTTAGGTCCAATTGTAGCGTCTTCTCACCGTAGATAGGTATAACCGTGTTGTTTGCGGCGTATAAACAGAAGTCAGTTGGGGTTATCTTCACGCCTTTTCGTTTAGGGATGACGGAGACGTTTGCGCCAGTATCAATTAGAAATGACAGACGTGAGTTTCTGTCTGTTATAAACAGGCGGTATGACGTAGTTGTTGCGCCGGTTCCCGCCTCATCCAACGCACCTTTTAGTTTTCCGGACGGGTGTTGTTGTTCTGGAAATTACACGGACGTGTGCATCGCTGTGCCTCCTTCCCGAACTTGCGGTGGTAATAACAAATTCCAGAAGATTCCGTGCGGCGTGGAGTGTTATCGCGCTGTCTGGACTGGGAGCGATATCGGTTCGATGATCGCGATCTGTTCTGAGGTCGTCTCGACTGACGGTTGCAACGATGGTTAGATTGTGCTGCTTTGAGTTCGGCGATTTCCCTCGTAAGCATATCGATTTTGTCTTCAATACTTGTAGGTACACGGGGGAAAGCGGGGTTTTCAGTCACAGCAGCGACTGTGCCATGAGGTTGCGTCTGTTCGAGTATTTTGTCAGCCATCATCGCTAGATCGTGGATGTCCGAGTGTTTAGCGATGTTGTCGCTGACAGCGAGGACTGCGCGCACGGAATGGGGGAGGTGGTTTGTCCACATAATACGAAGCGCAGCGTCAGATATATTATCCGCGGCGAGATTCTTCATCCGGCGAAGTAACTGTGATGGTTTTAAGTCGCCGAGCTCCATCTCGGAGAGAAGGCGTTGAACTTGACGCTGTTCAGACTCCTCATAGACCTGGAGTAGTCTGTTTTTGAGGGTTTCGTAGCGGTCTCTCTCCGGGATGAAGGATAATGTCGGATATTTCATCGAGGTCTTGTCTTTCGAGATGACCGACGACAAGCTCAAACATGGCTTGGTCGCCCTTTTTCTGCGGAGCCATAATCGCCTCGAACTGCGCAAACCATAGGCGTATTCTGTCGCGCCATATGGGTGGGATGCGCAGTGACGTCGACACGCTGGAGAGTTCCGGCGTTTTTTTCGTTGGAGTTGGACATTACGACGAGCTTGATTTTCTGTAGTACTAGGCGGCGATTGATTGATTCTTGCAGAGATCCGTTGGCAGCGTCGGGGTCACCAATTTAGGAGCTAGGTAGGAGAGCCTAGTGTCCTAGAGGAGGTTTCTTCTTATCTTCTAGTAGTAGTAAAACTCCGATGAGAGGTGTTGACAAATGATTTTATTTCGCCAAACTACGCTACTTATATTTCTATTTACATATTTACAACTAGACAAGATCAGATATAGTTAGGTGACAGTTTCGACCAATAGCGGCGCGCCGGCGTGCGCGGGGCGCGCGGGGTGCGGGGCGCCGCTTTGCACACGGCACTATCGGTTCCTTCCGTATAAGTATGACCGCGCGGCGCGAGCGCGCGCATTTCTCCGAGAGCCGGCGTCGAGTGAAGACTGAAGACTACCTACGGATGAATGAAGATGAATGCAAGTACTCCGGCCTCCGGCTCCGGCTCCGCTTGCGCTGCTTGGCTGCTTGCTTTACCAAACCGCTTCTTTCGAAGCGATCGCTCGCGGCACGGTGTGATAACGCTGTTGCCGCAGTGATGATTATCGTTTCTATGCAGGAAAGTCGAAAACTGTCTTTTTCAAGACAATTGGTTTCTGGTTTCTTAAAACGGAGTCAAAACGTAAACTGTCTTTTTCAAGACAATTGGTTTCTTGTTTCTTTAAACGAAGTGAGTCTATAACTTTGGTAAAGGTATTGTGGAAGGTATCTGGTATATGGAAAGGTATTCGGTGGTACTGGTAACTGGTAGGTATGTAGTCGTGCGGTGCGGCTACAATCGGATGTAGATAAACTGATGCAGAATAACATTACAAACAAAAAAATATATGGGGTCTTATATCAAAAACACAGTCCAAACCGAGTTAAATCAGTTCAAAGATGTGAAATTGTGCTATATATAATTCCTGTGATTTTGTTGATGGTGACCGTACACAACGCATATTTCTTCATTTACTTGTCAGATCGTATTTTGTAATAAATGTTTATAGACGATTTCAAGGAATATAATAAAGCTTATTGTGGACTTTTATAATTATTTTGTTTGTTTGTTATTACTTTTTTTTTTCGTTATAAGGCCACGGAATCATAACAGAGTGAACCATTAACTGACCACTGCCGAAGAAAAAAAACATTTCGTTTGAGTGGCAGTGTTCAATTTATATGTATACGGTTTATGGCCCATGACAGATTTTCATCATCAATTTCCTCTCAGTCAAAAACCCGCAAAATACTTTACTGAGCCCTATCATGAAATGCTATGTTTGTCAGCTGCGGCGTCGGTAGCGGATTGAGTAGTAACTGTCGTCAAAACACGAAAAAATCATTTTTCTGTCTACTTCTCCCGACTTACTTCCGATTAGTACCTAATCTAACTACAGTTAATACTTTAATCTACATCTAGCATAAGATTCTGTACAAAGACATCGTCATTCAGTCACAAAGTGATGCATTTCGAATGATTACATTATATGAAAAAATTATGCGCTCATCTGAGTGCCAAGCACGAATAACTATCGCATTCGTAACGTAATAGTATCGAGCGCGTTCGGCGCTCTGATTGGCCGGCTCAAGTGAACCAACCAATCAGAACGCTTAACTCGCTCGATACTGTTACGATACGATTGCGATAGTTATTCGTGCTTGGCCCTCTGACGTATAGTCCATCACTTTACAAAGTCGACGGTTTGCTTTCTTCAAAAGATTATGCTAACTACAAAGTAGATGAGTCTCCCACCAGGAGTCAACGGCAAAAAAAATACTTTATTAGATGTTTGGACTGCTACAACTACTCAAGCCACCAATGGTACCACAGCTGACACTCATGAAGCTTCTCGACACAACTCTTAGAAGCATCCTACAAGTTATCGACTGAGAGAAAATAGCTAATAAAAATTAGTGACTGGCAATATGGATATATTGTGGTGTAATTTGGTGTTTCTGTGCCCGGCGTACAGTGGCGCGCAATTTGAAGTTAGAACTGTGACAAAAATATCAATAATTTGAATAAAAAAACGAAAGTAAAATGTTTTATTCCAGCTCCTTTCAACGCTCATAACTCAGTCCAGACTGAGATTTCCATATGTGAGCCCATAGACAATTTCGTTTGTAATGACATTCTAGATAATATTTTCCATAAATCATCGACTGCCGCCAGAAAAAAGAAAGGCACCAATTTTAGTCAATGCCCTTTCAACCTTTCCCACGAAATTACACGATGAATTTAATTTCGCACTAAGATTTGAGTAAGTATTTCAAACCATCATTAAAAACAAAACCTTTGTTTACTTACCTAGGTGATAAAATGGCTGTTTATTATTTTTTAATAATTCACGTCACTTTAAAAGTCAATGTCAACGAATGAGCGGTTATGGGCAATTGAATGAATGATTTGTCGGAACTGGTTAAAATATGGTAACAATGTTACGGCACAGCGACGTAAATTAGAAACCGAATGTTACTGTGTCGACTCGTCCCCAAATTTAATTGCAGCGACTACTCTAACACGGAACGGCGACGAGATTATGTGTCGAGAATGAATCAGTGTACACACTAGGCGTCGAAACCGTTACGTTATGGTCCTAAAATTGGCTATATGGGAAAAATACAAGAGCCAAGTGCTCATAATCTATTCGTAGTCGCGGAGAACCTAACGGGTAACCGGGGCTCCGGCTCGACGTGCAGGAGAAGGAACGGGGTGGTTTTTAGTCAGTAAGAGTCTGACACTAAGGGCGGGAGCAGTCATTCGATGATTTTCCACATTTTAAAAAAAATGCTCATAACCTAGTCAGCTACCTATTTTTGCTGGGGAAAAATCATCGAATGACGTCTCAAGCCTTCGGTAAGGCGAGAGTATCAGACGGTTATTGACTAAAAACCACCCCGTTCCTACTTCTACACTTCAAGCCGGAGCCCCGGCAACCCGTTAAGCATTCCGTGGCTACCTACGTATCGGCATCAGCCCTGTTGGGCCCCATCTGACGGGTAACCGGTAAAGAGCTGTATTATCACTAAGGCATAGTAGACAAGTGCCGGGCGCCAGGTTATAGAGGGGCGCCGTGAGACGTGCGTGCGCAACTGCACATATAGCGGCGGCAGCATCATAACTGGTAGGGGCCGGGCGCCTATGAGGTCATAGGCGTAAATTTTTCAAGCAACTATCTAGGGTACATTAAAAGGTCGATGACGCACTTGCAACGCCTCTACAGCTGTAGCCAAATGCCACTTAGCGCTTGTCTACATGTAGAATAGAAAACCAAATTATATGGGATTGACGTAAATTTTGACACTAATTGTCAGTGTCATCCTCATACATTTTGATTTCTACTCTCTCTGTAGACAAGCGCTAAAGTGGCGTTTGGCTAGCACTGCTGGTGTGCGTGTATGGGCGACGCCGACTGCTTACCATCAGGTGATCCGTCTGCTCGTTTACCGGCTTATACCATAAAAATACAAGAGCCAAGTGTTCACAACCTAGTCAGCTATTTTTGCTGCTAATGACGTCTCCAGCCTTCGTTAAGGCGAGAGTGTCAGACGGTTATTGATTAAAACCCACCCTATTCCTACTCCTGCTTCTAAATGGAGCCCCTGTAACCTATTCAATGATGTCGCGGAGAACCTAACGGGTAACCGGAGCTCCGGCTCGACGTGCAGGAGAAGGAACGGGGTGGTTTTTAGTCAGTAAGAGTCTGACACTCCCTTCCGCCTCACCCAGGCGGGAGCAGTCATTCGATGATTTTCCCCCCTTAAAAAAAAAACCTATTCAATGATCCTTACCCTGAGGATGTATATGTAGACTTTATTAACTTCAAACTGCTTGATAAGCTGTAGCCACTCCACTAGACGTCCGGATATATCATTCCGGTAGTGGAGCCATTTGAGACAAACTGCTATAGAAGAATCGTTGCGGTATGATCTTGTTTTCTTGTTAATGTCCACGTTGAATGGCGCGTTCTGTGAATTTTTTTCTAAGTCAAGCATTTATCTCAATTAAACCATGATTTGGTACTTTTGAAACGTCAACAAATCCTTACTTATATTATAAATCGGAAAGTGAGTTTGTTTCTTTGTTCCTCTTTCACGCCGTAACTACTAAATCGATTGCTTTGAATTTTTGCAGACGTAAAGTTAGAAGCCCGCATTAAATAATAGGATACTTTTTATCCCGGAAAAAATTGATATTCCCGAGGGAAAACAAAAGTATTGGTTAGATGGCGCTGTATGTGTTGGTATATGTATATCACATAGACTACTTTTTATCCTTTTGTGACGCGAGCGAAGTCGCGGGTAAAAGCTAGTACAAAATAAATAATAGTCTGTCAGTCAGTCCGTCCTTTGTAGATCCTGGTGCACAGGAGTTGCAGCTGTTTGGAAGGTAGTGGCGGGCTTGTCCAGTAAACTACTCATTTCAAAAGCATGGTCATATAATTAGTCTCACCTGAATATCTAAAACATTAGTAGCATCACCGCACGGAGCTGTGACCACAGACACAGCGACCGGGGCTATCTCCTTCTCAGGGGGATGTCGTCTACAGCTGCAGGTTAGAATGTAAGGCTCGTTCACCCCCATGGTAGGCCCATCCCACTCTGGTTTCCAGCCGTATACTGGGGTCGCCAGCACCGTTTGTGGTTCATTGTCGTTTGGGAACCTGGTTGGGCGGTTTTATAGAAGTGTAAAGTGTTGACGTGGTTTCAAGTGTCGTAAGGTAGAGTTCTGAATGTCCAATAAACTGTTTAATTACACCATCACTTTTGGGGACCCTGCCTAAGAAAGGACGGCGCCATTTAACAGTTGCCTACATGGGTGGCAAGGCAGACGTGCTATCGGTATCTGTATCAATAGACCAACCATAAGCTTAAAGTCGGTTTAAAATAGAACTAATTTTAATGAGGAAATCTTCATGGACCAACGACCTGGGATTCTAGGATACTGGTTAATGAAACCAGCCACAAGGCCCCTAATGATCTGTATGTAAAGTCCCATAAATAACAAAGGTAAGCTTACCACAACTGACAGTATAGTTTAGGCAACGGAACGACATCACAGTACACCAGGATCCTGACCAATGGTTCTTCAAACCTGGGGTCCCAGTACGCTCCATAAATATACACACTTCCATTCACAATCGGCAGCCACTGCCAGGAAGCAGCTGCATACTTCAAATCACTAATTCCAGGACATTTCATACAAGAACTGTCCTTGTACCTTTCTGGGTAAACGGAACGGTGATTCCAGAAACGGAATGGAAGTAATCTGGAATGGGAATGGAATGGGATCGGATCCTGGATTATAGTCGTTATATGAGTGTGTTTGGGTTGGGAGAGCCAGGTCAGAAAAAAGAGTGCTGATACTGATATGATGATAAAGATACTTCGACGCTGAGCTAAGAGGGGTAGTCGCATTTCTGAAATCAAAATAACCATTTGTAATCTAAACAATCTATGTGGCCACTGGATGGAGTACATTTTGTAATTACTCCTCTCCCGGATGTCGAATACCCGAGTAAGACACAAATTAGACAGAGCCCGTGCAGCAGCGCTCTCTGATAAACCTGAACCTTTTATACTGCGATCTCCGACCCGCCTGCCAGCAATTATTTTTTTTTGTTATTGGATAAGCCGGTAAACGAGCAGACGGATCACCTGATGATAAGCAATCGGCGCCGCCCATGGACATCTGGAACACCAGAGGCGTTACAAGTGCGTTACTGGCCTTCTGGATTAGGAATTTGAGGATTGTTGGGGATTCAGGGATTGGGGAAAGTGAGGGGGGGGGAGGTAATTGGGCATCCGGTAACCTCACTCACACGACGAAACACAACTCAACGTTGTTTCACATCGGTCTTCTGTAAGGCCGTGGTATCACTCCGGTCGAGCCGGCCCATTCATGTCGAAGCAAAATGAAAAAGGAGATTGTGACAAACCCTCTTATGTAGAGGACTGTCACCCGCTGTTGATGATAAATATACTTAATGATGAATAAACTTGAGGCTGTTTCGTTGACCAATGGAATTCACTTGTAACGCCTCTAGTGTTCCGGTTGTCCATGGGTAGCGTTGATTGCTTACCATCAGGTGATCCCTCTACTCGTTGATCACTAAAATCGTCTTACCAGTTGTGCTATTTATATAGAGGTCACCTAATCATATGATCTTTAATTTATTATTTGCGTCTCCGTCATAAGGATTGTGAAAACTCGAAAATTTTTAAGTATCTAACAACACAAATGATTTAGATTTTTTAGAAGTCCTATCTATTATACAACACGCATGATTTAGTACCTAAAATAATGCATTTTGACAAAAATGTCATATAGAATTTAAGTTTACTCTTTGCTCCATATATGCGATCAATGAGGTTTATTGGATTTTGGGGTTGTCTATATGAATGTCAGAGATAAATGAAAGTTACGCCAGAACGCCGCTGGTAAATTATATTGTTCACATTAAGACATACGAAATTATTATACAAAATGCAAGTTCAACAAAAGTACCGGCCCGGCACACCGTTATATGAAGACTGGTCTTTATTCTAATTTAAGGAGGGAATAGCAATACGATACGACGCCCTACGCACACAGCCATGCACATGCATTTACATAGGTGTGTACGTAAGTGTCCCTACATTGGAGTTGTCATGCTCACTCAAAGATCTCATTGGCGGTGGCGCGTGCATTGGATCGCTCGATTCCCTATAAAATGGTTGAGTTGGGCGGTGCTGGGGTACGTGTCATGTTCGTGAACGGGCGCCGTCAACTGGGACTGGTTAGCTCGACTCGACTGCATGGTTGGTGCGGTGGGGCAACCGGCTGCCGCGCAACGTGTCGCGGGTTCGATTCTCGCACACAACAATTATTTGTGTAATCTACAAATCGTTGTTTCGGGTCTGGTCTGGGTGTCATGTGTATGTAAACTTATATGTTTATAAACGTACCCACGGACAGGAGAAAATCCTAGTGTGGGGCAACGTATTTTAATTAAAAAAAAAGCTCCAGACTGTATTATTTTATTATCCTCAAGGTTATTTTCTTTTTCAATCTCTTTGACTGAATTTAGGTGTTGCATTGTTCCCACACAACCAATAAAACTATGTAACTAGAGAATTGTATTGTAAACCTGATTGAAAAAGAGTAACCTATGGAGTTTCTTGTTTGTTCTTCTCCATAGGAATCTACACTTTGGAATGAGCAAATAGCTTCACTTCAAAATTTTTGTTTCGGGCAAAGTTTTACTGGGTTTTTAAAAATCTCAGTAGTAGCACGGAGTCTGGAAATGTGCCCGGTATATGACAATAGGCTCACCCCCTATTACATGGGACTCATAACATAAATAGTGAAAAGCGGGTGTTACATTGTACAGTGGTATAATGTACACCTCTGCCTAGCCCTTCGGGGATAAAAGGCGTGATGTTATGTTATTTGACATCTGATGTTTTAATGTCAGTATGTCAAAAAAAACGTAAATATTGTTTACGGTGAATATTTGTTGTTCTTTATCCCCGAAGGGGAAGGCAGAGGTGCACATTACTGTTACATGTTATGAGTCCCATGTAATAGGGGGTGAGCCTATTGCCATATACCGGGCGCAATTCCAGACTCCGTGCTACTACTGAGATTGAGTAGAAAAACAGTCTACTCACCAAAATGTACCTACCTAAAATTCTAGCAATTAGAGTTGATTTCTAAATAACAAAAAATTACAACAGTTTATACGATTTATTATTAAAGAAGATTAAACTATATCGCATAGGAAACACAGTACTTATTTCTATGTTAATACAAATAAATAAAAATCTAAAACAACATTATTGCTATTGAAAAATAGACCATTAAGTCAATACTTTAAAGTTGATATTCCTATAACTAGTTGTATAAATTTATTTTTATAATTATTCTTCAGGATATTCTTCTTCAGGCGCCATTTCTTCTTGTTCATCAAATTCTGCATCATCAACGCCAACCTCCTGGAAAAATTATATTTTTTTATTTTTATGTATGTAGGTACCTACTCTAGCGACCCGCCCCGGCTTCGCGCGGGAGCAATATGCATGTATTATACATACATATAAACTATCCATAGGAATCACTCTATCTATTAAAAAAAACCGCATCAAAATCCGTTGCGTAGTTTTAAAGATCTAAGCATACATAGGGACAGACAGACGGCGGATAGCGACTTTGTTTTATACTATTTAGTGGTTTTTTTTATAATCGACGGGCCGATGTGTGCCCACCATCTCGCCTGGTGGTGCACGATGATGCGGTCTACGATGGAGCACGTCGTCCCATAAGCAACCTATTCACTCGGGCCTTGAAGACTCCCAGGTTATACCCTTCAGGAAATACAGACTCTGGCAAAGAATTCCACTCTTTAGCAGTACGCACAAGGAAGCTTGATGCGAAGCGCTTCGTGCGTGTGGGCGGGACATCTACCATGATTCGGTGAGAAACTACACAATAATTCGGGGCCCATCTGTAATGTTTCTTTTTTTAACGTCACCCCACACTAGGATTTTCTCCTGTATCGTGCATGGTTTTACAAACATACAAGTTTTTTTTTATATAGGATAAGCCGGATAACGAGCAGACGGATAACCCTATAGTAAGCAATCGGCGTCGCCCATAGACACCTGGAACACCAGAGGCGTTACAAGTGCGTTACCGGCCTTTTGGGGATTAGGAGTTTGAGGATCGTTGGGGATTCAGGGATTGGGGAGATTGAGAAAGGGGAGGGTAATTGGGCCTCCGGTAACCTCACTCACACGACGAAACACAACGCAAGCGTTGCTTCACGTTGGTTTTCTGTGAGGCCGTGGTATCACTCCGGTCGAGCTGACACGGAAGTGCCGAAGCATGGCTCTCCCACACTTGAAAGACAAGTTCAGATACACATGACACCCAGACCCGGATCCAGACAATTTGTGGATCACATAAAGAGTTGCTCCGTGTAGGTATCGAACCCGGTACACGTTGCGGGGCAGCCAGTTGACGTGCAACGTATAGCGAGTGTGTCCATCGTAGAAATTGTGGATCCTTGGATGGATGTGGGCACGGGCACCGAGTGCTCTTATCGTGAGACGGTACTCGCGGGAAAAGTAGGGGTGGACTACTCGTAGAACCTACCACGTAAGCTATAGATGGCATTTATCAGGAGTTTGTACGCCTGATAAGAAGTACAGAGAGAATGTCAGAAATAAAAAAATAATTCATCAATATATACTTTTATTTTACGCAATTGTCATGTTAGCATACATAGGTACATACGCATGCTTCTTCTGCCACACCAAATATCATGCAATGTCATGTTAGAATTAAAATAAATAAATACAAGAAATTACAATTAAAAGACTAATAACATTTCACTAGTACACCATTTCACTAGGAACCTGTCTACAAGCTGGTTACGCAACCAAGTGGACACCAAATGAGTAACACTCGATAGAGCTGTATATACATTTAGTTCGTGGCGTCGACTGGTTGCGTTGTCATGTCCCAGTGGAATATACCCCTTAATAAATAGGTACTTGAAATGTAATATCCATCATAGAGGATAGTAGATAGATGTGGTCTAATGTATAGACCGTGAAATCTATTTCGTTTTCGTCCAGAAGTAATCTGGTTCTGTCTCGGTAATACAATAGTTTTACAAAGAAGTTTCGAACCACAGAGGGGTTCTTCCTCATGAGCAGCGTGCGCGGCGATGTTGTGGTTGAATGAAAGAATGAACGCACACAGATCTTAAAATTAACAAAGTTATGTAACTTTACCGTATAACATATTACCGTTACTGGTTCGAAACTAGTAGAGCTTTTCTCAGAATATTCACGTGAGTAACCCGCGATGTTATTTAATTTAGTATGTCTCACGATAGTTATTATAAAAACTGGTGAACCATTGCAAAAACCGGTGAAACCGTGGAGTATATAGTTCATTATTTATAATATTTTATCCGAACTCAGCTGTCTTTGAGCGCCTTCTTTAGTAATTCTATCTTCAACAACAGATGCTGTTTTTCCAATTCATGGATTATCTCTTTGTGTTGTAGTTCTTTCTCTAGAATCTTTCCTTGAATAAATTTCTGTTCTAATTCCTCCGTTAATATTCTCCTTTGCAACTCTTCTAGTTCTATTTTATCATCTGTCATCGTTTCACTTGCTGCTTCTTGTAATTCAACTGAAATAAAAAAGAAATGTTTAGTAAAAAAATCGGGTGGAGCTGTACCGGGACACATGGCCGTTGGATTTAACGTGAAACATGTATTTTAGCTATAAGCAAGAGCGCCAGTTTCGCACGTTTTGTACCCTTTTCCTCTTGTAACGCATTATACTATCTCAAATTGCAAGTGTCCAATAAATATTCTATAATATTCTAAACTATCTAACCTGGTCCTTTATAACGCTTATAATTTTTTTTCCCACCTATTAAACTGTCCTACGAATATTTCAAGACCGAAATTAGCCAAATCGGTTCAGCCGTTTGCGAGTTTTAGCGAGACTAACGAATGGAAATTCATTTTTATTTATATGGATTATCATCAACAGTTGCTGACAGTCTACTGCTGCACTATGAGTCTCCTCTACATAAGAGGGTTTGTCACAATCTCCGCAGGCAGGCGGGTAGGAGGTCGCAGTATACAAGGTTCAGGGTTATCAGAGAGCGCTGCTGCACAGTCTCTATTGTTTATAAACCTTTTTAAAATATGTAGTTATGGCATAGACTCACCACCTATTACATGGGACTCAACATAAATAGTGAAAAGTTAGTGTTACATTGTATATTTACACCTCTTGTCTATATCTATACTATTTATAAAGTAAAAAATCGGAAACAAAAAGTAATAAAACAAAATTAAAAACTTACTTTCTGGCGAAATAAAGTCCGACTCGATACCCTCGCCTTCGGGTTGCAGAATAAAATCTTTAATTTTTTTTTCAGCGGGTGTGAGCACAGGCCGAGACGGCTTACTACCTTCGTCTCCGTTTTTACCGACTTCAAAAAAAGGAGGAGGTACTATGTTCGGCTGATTGTTTTTTTTTTTTTTTTTTTTTTTTTTTTTGTTTGTTCGCGCAGTACTCCGCCGTTTGTGGACCGATTTCGAAAATTTTTGTTTTGTTTGAAAGGGTATACTCCCGAGATGGTCCCATTTCCATGAAGTCAGGATCTGATGATGGGATCCTAGGGAAACCGAGGGGAACTTTCGAAAATTCTATGGGGGAGTAATGCGTCTATTATGTTTTTCAATTACGAATTTTAAACACTACAATTTGATAAGGGTCTGAAATCGACCTGATGATGGAGTCGACAGACAGTCGAGGGAACTCCTCGGCGGTTTATATTAACTACCTTGTGTTTGGGCTTGATTAATTTGTATTGATGAGGACTTTACACCTAGATAGAGTGGGGCTGTCATTAAGGGTCTGATGATGAAGAAGTGTAATTGTTAAGGGAACTCCTCAACGGTATACAGTAACTACCTTGAGTTTGGGCTTGATTAATTTGTATTGATGAGGACTTTACACATAGATAGAGTGGGGCTGTCATTAAGGGTCTGATGATGAAGAAGTGTAATTGTTAAGGGAACTCCTCAACGGTATACAGTAATTACCTTGAGTTTGGGCTTGATTAATTTGTATTGATGAGGACTTTGCACCTATGTATATTATAAGTAACAAAACGGGTATAGTAGCTTTACACTGAAAATGGTAAAATAATAAAATAAAAACTGCGTTTAAAAAACCGACTTCAAAAACAAAAAACTAATAACAAACAAAAAGTCAATACTAAAAAGCAAAAAATAACCATTATTAGTACTGATAAGTTACCCACCCACTGATAGGTTAGAAGTCGGTGCCATAAGCTCATATCATAATGATATAACTTAATGTCCACAAAATTGTGAATTAGATACCTATTAAGGTTTTAATGAATAATTTTGTATGGAACTTATGGCACCGACTTCTTACCTATCAGTGGGTGGGTAACTTATCAGTACTAATAATGGTTATTTTTTGCTTTTTAGTATTGACTTTTTGTTTGTTATTAGTTTTTTGTTTTTGAAGTCGGTTTTTTAAACGCAGTTTTTTTATATTCTGTGGCCACATACATCATACCATACATCATACTCTTGCGTCGCGCGTCCCGTTTTAACGCTTCATATTTTTACCGACTTCAAAAAAAGGAGGAGGTACTATGTTCGGCTGATTGTTTTTTTTTTTTTTTTTTTTTTTTTTTTTTGTTTGTTCGCGCAGTACTCCGCCGTTTGTGGACCGATTTCGAAAATTTTTGTTTTGTTTGAAAGGGTATACTCCCGAGATGGTCCCATTTCCATGAAGTCAGGATCTGATGATGGGATCCTAGGGAAACCGAGGGGAACTTTCGAAAATTCTATGGGGGAGTAATGCGTCTATTATGTTTTTCAATTACGAATTTTAAACACTACAATTTGATAAGGGTCTGAAATCGACCTGATGATGGAGTCGACAGACAGTCGAGGGAACTCCTCGGCGGTTTATATTAACTACCTTGTGTTTGGGCTTGATTAATTTGTATTGATGAGGACTTTACACCTAGATAGAGTGGGGCTGTCATTAAGGGTCTGATGATGAAGAAGTGTAATTGTTAAGGGAACTCCTCAACGGTATACAGTAACTACCTTGAGTTTGGGCTTGATTAATTTGTATTGATGAGGACTTTACACATAGATAGAGTGGGGCTGTCATTAAGGGTCTGATGATGAAGAAGTGTAATTGTTAAGGGAACTCCTCAACGGTATACAGTAATTACCTTGAGTTTGGGCTTGATTAATTTGTATTGATGAGGACTTTGCACCTATGTATATTATAAGTAACAAAACGGGTATATGTAGCTTTACACTGAAAATGGTAAAATAATAAAATAAAAACTGCGTTTAAAAAACCGACTTCAAAAACAAAAAACTAATAACAAACAAAAAGTCAATACTAAAAAGCAAAAAATAACCATTATTAGTACTGATAAGTTACCCACCCACTGATAGGTTAGAAGTCGGTGCCATAAGCTCATATCATAATGATATAACTTAATGTCCACAAAATTGTGAATTAGATACCTATTAAGGTTTTAATGAATAATTTTGTATGGAACTTATGGCACCGACTTCTTACCTATCAGTGGGTGGGTAACTTATCAGTACTAATAATGGTTATTTTTTGCTTTTTAGTATTGACTTTTTGTTTGTTATTAGTTTTTTGTTTTTGAAGTCGGTTTTTTAATTATGCTTCAAATGCTTGTGATCTCTATAAACCCAGTCAGTAGACCTATTGAAATTCTTTTCTATCTCCTTCCAAGCTTGTTCCTTAGCTCTCCAGGTGCTAGAATCGCTTTTTTTACATTCTATTATTTGTTTTTTAGCGGCAATTAATGTAACCAATAGATCGGTTTCTTCTTCTGGAAAGTTGGCGTTTCGTTCGCGTTTTTGTTTTTCCATTGCTTTTTTGTGTTATGTGGGTGGTTCTATAGTTTATTTACCGCTTTGTTTTTGTTATAACAATAGAGGTAGATTCAAAATAAATAAACACAAAACACAAAAGTTTTGACAATGACAATGACAAATGGCAGCTGACAGCTATATTATGACCTATGCGTTTAGTTTTTGTTGAAGAATTTTTTGTGAACTTATTTATATTTTGCTAAAACTTTTTAACGTTTTATAAAAAAGGCAAACTAATCAATTTAGAAAATATAATAAATAAAGCTACATTTTATCACCTTAGACTTATCGCTTCAAAATCAGCGCTTCATATTCCTAAGACCTTACACTACATAATCCAATACACCGTACCTCATACTGTTGATACTCGGAGACCAGGTCATTCATATTGCTCTCAGCCTCCGTAAACTCCATCTCATCCATGCCCTCTCCTGTATACCAGTGGAGGAACGCCTGGAAGAGAATCATCATCGTCATAATCCCAACCCAAAGTCAGTACTAACGACACCTGCGAGAAAAGTGGGGTTTGGGGCCGTCCATAAATTATGTCACACGTCAAAGGTGGGGAGGGGGGCGACGAAGTGTGAAATTGTGTGACAAGGGGGAGAGAAGGAAGGAACACAAACTATTATAAAACACGAAATATAATTGTATTAATGTTTTTTATTTTGTTTGTTTTGGAATTATTTTTTTTTTAATTAGGTAATTTAAATAGAAATAAAACTGATTTCGGAACCGCTGTTTCCATTCAATAATTTTTATACATACATAATTTTGCAAAATGTGACGTCACACTAGGGGTGGGGGGTGTTATAAATGTGACTAGCTGTGACAAGGACGGGGTAGGGGCAAAAAATCATGAAATTCGTGTGACGTATTTATGGATATTCTCATAGCTAGGAAATTATAGTTTTTTCTTCTTCTCCTCTTATAATATCTTCTGATTCACTTCGTTGCGGGAACCAAGACAGTTACTCATGTCCCTGTGACGCGCCGGACTTCAGTGTTCCGGTGTTTTCATGGTTGTATCTACTGTAGATCCTGGTGCACAGTGGTTGCAGCGGTTTTGGGAGGATGTGGCGGGCTTGTCCCAAAAAAAAATATATCTCATAGCAATAAAATACATATTACCTTACGCCGGAACATAACGGTGAACTGTTCAGATATTCGCTTGAATATTTCCTGTATTGCTGTTGTATTGCCGACGAAAGTTGCCGCCATTTTGAGTCCACGGGGCGGGACGTCGCACACTGCGACCTTCACATTGTTCGGTATCCATTCTACGAAGTAACTAGAAGAAAGAAGATAATAAAAATGCTAATTTTATGGGAAAGAAACTATCGAGAGACTGCCTCGTTGGCCGAGTGGTTGCAAGTACGACTGCCGGGCAAGGGGTCTCGGGTTCGATTCCCGGGTCGGGCAAAGTATTACACCATCGAGATAGTAAATATAATTTGTTGTTTATACATTTATGAAGTTATTTTCCTGGTAGTAATTGATTAGGAACTATAAAGTTAAGTACTGAAGGATAAAATTACTAATTAATTACTTAATCGAAATAATTAATTACGTAATCAGTTAAACAGTTATTTGTTTTACGTAAAATCTCAGTAGTAGCACGGAGTCTGGAAATGTTGCCGGTATATGGCAATAGACTCACCCTCTATTACATGGGACTCATAACATAAATAGTGAAAAGTGGGTTTAATTTTACAGTGGCATTAAGTGCCGTAATGTGTGCCTTTGCCTACTCGGGGATAAAAAGGCGTGGCATGTTATGTTGTCTTTGATTTTAGGAAACTGCTACGTGTGAGAATCATAATCAATCAGGAGCGTAGTTAGTACAGTATCTGCCGTATCAATTGTACCGGGCTCCGGACCACGGGGACCATCGTGCTGTTAGGATGGTAATTTAAAAGTATAGGTCTTTGTTACCAACAATGTAAAGATTGCTTACATTGCAATTTACAAGTATAGTAATTCATTGTTAACAACAATGTAAGGATTTATTAGATTATAATTTACAGTAGAGCCTTGTTCATAACAGTGCGTATGCAAAAATGAATAAAAACTTCCCATTTTTTTATTGATCTCAGAAATCACATACCTAAGTCATTTATTTTGCGGTTGCCTGAAAAATTTTCTGGGAATATTGAATTAAGATGACATACCTAACAGTTTTTTTTACAATACTTTTTTTCCTGTTCATTTTATGAGAAAAACGTTTACTATAAGGGCTCGTACACAAAAAGGTGCGAGCTCCCTCTACGCATCGCAAGAACTTGCGAATTGATTCGCATCGCGCATCAAAATCTTATCTTCCCAAAATCCTCTTTGTTTCTTGTTCCTGTATCTCCTAATCAATAACAGAAGTGCACACTTCTTTTTACGATCCATGTCACGACCTAGTTTTCAATTTAAAATACGATTAGTACGGTTGACGGTCGTCGAAGGAATGGTCACTCTGGGAGACGCCTTGTCGCACGAAATCGCATCGCAGCAATTCGCATCGTAATTTTTGCGTTGCTAATTTTCTTGTTTGTTTTTTTTTTATTTAAAAAACGTTACCCCACCCTAGGATTTTCTCCTGTGTCGTGGGTGCGTTTACAAACATACAAGTTCACATACACATGACACCCAGACCCGGATCAACAATTTGTGGATCACACGAAGTGTTGTTCCGTGCGGGAATCGGACCCGCGACACGTTGCACGGCAGCCGGTTGCCCAGCCACCGCATCAACCGTGCAGTCAATTCTCAGTTTTGTGTACGATTCCTTACCTAGAATTCTTATCCTGCACAGTTAACATTTGTTCGTCGACTTCCTTCATGGACATTCTGCCTCTAAAGATGGCGGCCACGGTCAGGTACCGTCCGTGGCGAGGGTCACACGCCGCCATCATGTTGACAGGACTGAACATCTGTTGTGTCAGCTCCGGGACTGTTAAGGCTCGGTAGCCTTGGCTGTTGCGGGCTGTCAGGGGGGCGAATCCTAGAAGAGATGGTTTAAATTGTCAATAAGCACTGTTGGACAGTCATTCCTTAGATTTGGCTTCTATAGACAGATCGTTAGACATTTTGTATACATACTAGCGGACCCGACAGACGTTGTCCTGTATATCCACTTGAATGTATAAACAAAAATTAATTCAAATTAGTTCAACCGTTTAGGATAAATAACCTAAACATCGATTGCAGCGCCATCTGCACACAAAAAAAATTCATCAAAATCGGTCCAGTCGTTTGAGAGAAGTTCAGTGACATACACACTCACAGAAGAATTATATATATAAAGATTATCTCACGTCTGTCTCTAAAGGGGGTAGGCAGAGACTATTGAACCAAGGATCTTGAAAAACAGGCGGACATAGTATCTTGAATCAACGACTGTGGCACCTGGCTACTACAGACTTACAGTGCCGGCGTTAGGGGGGAGGTGGGGCGTGATGGGGCGATGGCCCAGGGCGACACATTTTGGAGGGCGCCAAGGTCTGAAATTGGAGTCTCTTGCCTCTCCTGGTGCAAACCCTCAGAACTGTGCTCTACGCTCTGTGCTGCATGTTTTTTTATTGAGTTTTTTTTTAGATGGATTTTTTGAGGGTTTGTGGTCCGCGTCGTTAGCTCTGGGTAACGCTAAAGGAAAGATAAAATCTTATAAAAAAATGGATTTCCGTTCGTTAATCTCGCTAAAATTCGGGAACGGCTGGACCGATTTGGCTAATTTTGGTATTGAAATGTTCGTGGAAGTCCAGGGAAAGTTCAAAAGGCGAAAAATTAGAATTTTAGGCGGTACGACGTTTGCCGGATCAGCTAGTTCTTAATATAATTTTACTTATTTTACTTGGGATCAGCAAAAAACTAACACTGCTGCTTCCTTCACGTGGCCGCCACAATATTTTCGCCCGGGGTGTCAATGGCCCTTACACCGGCACTGCAGACTTACACGCAGGACACACACACATTGACACGAAGGACATCTGTCGGGTGACATGGCCACGTTGCACTTGCAACGTGGCCATGTCACAACACACACACACACATGAATACACCACTGACATTGTAGTGCTTCAATCGTTTGAGTGACGTTACGCCCGCCTTTTTATATGATTCTGCAAATGCTTGTAGTTGTAACAGTCTATAGTAGCCAGTGCCTTTCGCCAAACGCCACTTTAGCGCTTGTCTCCAGAGAGAGTAGAAAACTAAATGTATGGGGATGACACTGACAAGTGTCAAAATTTACGTCAATCTATACTAATATTATAACGAGGAAAGATTTGTACCTATTTTTGTAAGTTTGTATGTTTGTAATGAATAGGCTCAAAGAGTACTGGGCCGATTTAAAAAATTCTTTCACCAATAGAATGCTACATTCTTCCAATTTAACATGGGCTACATTTCATTTTGAAAAAAATTAGGGATCCTTGGTAAAATTTGAACAATGTAACCGAAGGTGTAGAAAAATGTCTTTCGTCGAATGCGCTGCCGAAACTATTAGCGATAGAACAAAATAATGTACAACAATATTGAAGAACATCATAATGCCTACAAAAAACTCCGCGGTAGCATATGTACAACTATTGTAGTTATATCACTATATGTCTTAGCATAGACAAAACATAGCGCACTGTAATTTACCTTTAAGATCTGTATTTTTGTTACCTATGTTTTACAAATAATAAACGATTGATTGATTGATTGATTGATTGATCACTAAAACAATCCAAATTTCCAAAAATAAATAATTGTCTACCCCGTGCGAAGCCGGGATGGGCTGCAAGCTCCATATAATTTGGTTTTCCATTCTACATGTAGACAAGCGTTAAGTGGCATTTGACTACAACTGCTGGTGCCACAGTCGTTGTTTCAAGAGGCTGTGTCTGCCATTTGTTCAACATCCTTGACTTAAAGTTACTCTATTATAAAAAAAAATAAGTATTGAACGGTTTTTATGTGACACTCGACATATTATACTAATGGACTTGCCGTACGCGTATAATCTGCAGTAATTTTTTGGTTTGAAAAGAGTGAGAGAGATGGCCTATGCTTTCGGTCTAGCGCTATCTCTTTCTCGCTCCTACGGTACTATTATGAGAGAGATAAAGATAGGCCGAAACTTCGTTTCCTCTCTTTCTATCCGAGTGCCACAATTCTCATCTCTAAGGCATGTCCATTATATGTCGATGAAAGTGACGTGTGCAAGTGTTTTGCAGTCATTAAGTAAGTCAAATGTAATATAGGATTTACAAAACTAAATATCCTATATACTAGGTAAAGAACGACTGAGTAAAATTTATTCATTACAATAATTTAGTTGTCTAATACCTTTTTTTTATTAATTAAGATATCAAATAGTAATCTAACAAAACGCCCTTCCTCTCTCCTAACAATTTTAAATGTTGCTGTGCCTGACAGGGTCCATAATTCTTACTATTTGTATTTTTCTAACCACCTGTATGTGTACATTTTGGATGCAATAAATATTTGATTACTTGATTACTTGATTACATTAGAAATCTGGAATATACTCAGAATCTTCCAATGATCAAATTGAAAGAAAGATATAATATTTGCCTATCTTCTAGAACGATGTTCTTACCCGGCATGAAGAAGTGTAACCTCGGGAAAGGCACCATGTTCACTGCTAACTTCCTTAGGTCAGCGTTCAGCTGTCCAGGGAACCGGAGACATGTTGTCACTCCTGACATGGTCAGCTGGAGATCAGAGCAGATAGGGCCGTTAGTACTTATCTACTATATAAAAATAAGTCGGGTTTTCCTTCCTGACGCTATAACTCCAGAACGCACGAACCGATTTCCACGGTTTTGCATTCGTTGGAAAGGTATCGGGCTCCGTGAGGTTTATAGCAAAGAAAATTCACTTTTAATCACCAAACGAAATGTTACATAGAACGAAGCCATCTGGTGGCGAAACGGAGTTCGCCTGGTTTGCTAGTGTTTTTATAATAACTATCGTGACACATACTAAATTAACTAAAATCGCGGGTTACTCACGTGAATATACTGAGAAAAGCTCTACTAGCTTCGGACGACAGAGGGGTTCTTCTTCATGAGCAGCGTGCTCACTGGCTGGCGTTGGCGCTAGCCTCAGTGTTGATACTACCGTACCATGCACTTTAAAATCGTCCAACGCGCCGCCAGAGTTGGAAACAAAGGCTTGTGGTGTCCGACAGAGGGCGGTTTGGCGCGACGCCGCCGCGACCGCGCACGCTGCTCACGAGGACGAACCCCTCTGTGGTTCGAAACTAGTCGAGCTTTCCTCAGTATATTCACGATTTTGGTTAGTACTTGGTTAGAACGAGTTTTTCTTTTCATAAATAACGTTGCACACATTTTCTCCTGTGTCGTGGGTACTTTAAAAAAAAAAAAAAACTTAGAATCCCCAACAATCCTCAAATTCCTAATCCCCAGTAACGCACTTGTAACGCCTCTGGTTGTCCTAGTATCCATGGGCGATGCTGACTGCTTACCATCAGGTGATCTGTCTGCTCGTTTACCGGCTTATCTCGTAAAAAATTAATACAATTTCACATACACATGACACCCAGACCTGAAACAACAATCTGTGGATCACATAAAGAGTACTTCCGTGGGGGAATCGAACCCAAAACACGTTGCGCGGCAGCCGGTTGCCCAGCCACCGCGCCAACTGTGAAGTCAAGTCAAGTCAATGGTTAGATGGAACGTCATCAGTATGTTAGTCACTCAAGTTTTTTATTAGAGCCGCTAAAGAGAGGAATTCTTTGCCGGACGTTTTCTCGTAGGGTGAGTGTTTTGAAGTCCTGAGTAAATAGGTTGCTTATGTAGTATGTAGACGTACTCCTATCGATGGCCGCATCATTTTGCACCACCAGGTCAGTTCGAACGCCTCAGTTATATTATATAGGTACAGCTTGGCAAAAAAGAGTTCGTAATAATTGAGGTCGCTAGTGTCGTACCTTTTTTTTTTAAGGGGTAAAATCATCTAATGACTGCTCCCGCCTGTGTGAGGCGGGAGGGAGTGTCAGACTCTTACTGACTAAAAACCACCCCGTTCCTTCTCCTGCACGTCGAGCCGGAGCCCCGGTTACCCGTTAGGTTCTCCGCGACTAGTGTCGTACCTGTGGCATGCTGGTAGTGCTGGTACACTACGGTCCAACCGGTTTTGATAATTTTATTTTCATCAAGTTTAAAAAGAGGAGGTATTATGTTCGGATACCGTAAGACCAAAACCAGACTCGAGCGTACGGTGCCAAGCGTTCCGCGCGCGTCTCAAAGAGCCATTAGACCACCACGGATGGGACCCAATAGGGCTGATGCCGATACGGAACCGAGGATTACTTAACGGGTTACCGGGGCTCCGTCACGAAATGCAGGAGTAGGAACGGGATGTTTTTTTAGTGAGTACCTATAAGTCTGACATTCCCTCCCGCCTCACCTAGGCGGGAGAAAATTAGTTCAATTTAATATATTTTGGTTTCATTCATGATATAAACCGATTAATAAAATTAAAATAAAAAAAAATCTAATTTTATTTCAAAACATAAAATATTCCAATTTAAATAGGGGGATAATTGGAGTCAATCGATGATTATCCCCCTTAAAAAAACTATGTTTATTCATGAGATATGGTCTGAAGTGGGTGATTCCAAGTCAATATTAGAACTAGCTGTCACCGCGTCAGACTCTTTTTGTCAAGATGTACGGTACCTATAGATTAATTTTTACATTTTAACTTACCGACACAAGGTGATTCAAATCTCCATAAGTAGGCGATGCTAGCCTCAAAGTTCGGAAGCAAATATCGTAGAGAGCTTCATTGTCGATGCAAAATGTCTCATCTGTGTTCTCGACCAACTGGTGGACGGATAATGTCGCATTGTAAGGTTCCACGACTGTGTCTGACACCTGGAATTTAAAATCATCATTTACGGTATCAGCAGCTGCGAAAGAATGTAACCAAAAATTGTATTGTGAACCTGATTGAAAAAGAGTAACCTATGGAGTTTCTTGCTCGTTCTTCTCCATAGGAATCTACACCTTGGAATGAGCAAATAGCTTCACTAGAGGACTGACCTACAGACTGTCATTTTTTCTTATTATTTAATACTAGCTTTTACCCGCAGCTTCGCTCGCGTCACAAAAGAATTAAAAGTAGCCTATGTGACATATACCAATACACGCAGCGCCATCTATATTAATACTTTTGTTTTCCCTCGGGAATATCAATTTTTCCGGGATAAAAAGTACTCTATTATTTAATCCGGACTTCTAACTTTACTTCTGCAAAAAATCAAAACAATAGGTTAAGCAGTACGGCGTGAAAGCGGAACAAACAAACAAACTCACTTTCCGATTTATAATATTAAGTAAGGAAGTAAGTATAAGGATTGACGTAAATTGTGACACTTGTCAGTGTCATCCGCATACATTTTGATTTCCACTCTCTCTGTAGACAAGCGCTAAAGTGGCGTTTGGCTAAAGGCACTGGAATGCTAAATGTCATCCGTTGGTATTGGTCGAAAGAGCCAAGCATCTGGTCCGATTGACCGGAATGACACCACAGCCTTATAGGAAATCTGGAGCTGCGGACGACCTAACGGGTTACCACAACTCCGGTTCTATACAGGAGTAGAATGGGGTGGTGTCTTATCAGTAAGAGTCTGACACTCCCTCCAGCTTCATTCAGGATGGCAGAAACATTTGGATGGTTTTTGCCCCTCAAAAAAAGGTTTATAGGAAATGAGTTTCAAAGAGTTTCTTTAAGTGTCCATGAGACACCCGCAGCACCAGAGAAGGCTCTTTTCTTGAAGGTTTAAAGGTCGTATCCGTTCGGAAATATCGCATATTTCAATGTTTTTTGTGCCATAAACCATTTTTTTATAGCATAAGTCGGTATACGAGCAGACGGATCACCGTCCTGATGGTAAGCAATCAGCGCCGCCCATGGACACTCGAAACACCAAGGCGTTACAAATGCGTTACCGGCCTTTTGAGAATTGGGAATTTGAGGATTGTGGAGGATTCGGGGATTCGGGAGACGGGGACTAGGGAGGGGGGTAATTGGGCCTCCGGTAACCTCACTCACACGACTTACGTTATTTCACATCGGTTTTCTGCTCGTTGGTGGTATCAATCCGGTGGAGCCGGCCCATTCGTGCCGAAGCATGGCTCTCCCACACTTAATTTTGATTATTTTAGATAAAGGTACTGCTTAATAAGGACCCTTACTTTAGGTGACGGCATCACGCTGAAGGTGTTGACAATCCTGTCAGGGTATTCCTCTCGCAGCTTGCTGAGGAGCAGCGTACCCAGACCTGAGCCAGTACCACCACCCAATGAATGGGTCAACTGGAAACCTGGAAAGAAATACATAGGAGATGATAATCAGGGTTTTAAAACAAAAACCTGGGAGTCTTCAAGGCCCAACCCAAGTGAATAGGTTGTTTATAGGCAGGTGTGCTCCATCGTAGACCGCATCATCGCTTACCACCAGACGAGATACTGGTCAAATGTAATCCCATCAAATATAAAAAATATCAAAGCTTTGTTTTTATAATTACTATCGTGTGACATACTAAATCAACTAAAATCGCGGGTTACTCACGTGAATATACTGACGGCGACGTCGCCGCGACCGCGCACGCTGCTCATGAGGAAGAACCCCTCTGTGGTTCGAAACTAGTAGAGCTTTTCTCAGTATATATTTACGTGATTAACCCGCGATTTTAGTTGATATCAAAGTTTTCTTTGCCAAAATTACGTACCTCACGCCTGTCTCCCATGGGGGTAGGCAGAGACTATGAAACGCCAATTGCTACGATTCCTACATACCTCTTTCGCTTCATCAACAGTCATCAATCTTTTCATGCATGCTCGTCGGTTAAGGGTACTTTCAATTTGGCCCTTCTTTAATGTATCGCCAATCTGGATGTCTTTCTAGGGCGCCCTCTACCGACGGCCCCATTCATATCCGCTCTGTATACTTCTTTCGTTACTCTACTTTCATCCATCCTGTCTACATGTCCAGACCAGCGTAGCATTCCCTTTTCTATCCTTGTCACTACAACATCTTTCAATCTATACCTGTCTCTAATAACACTATTAAATGAATGAAATGATAATAATGACTGCCTCGTTGGCCAAGTGGTCGCAAGGGCGACTGTCGGGCAAGGGTTCGATTACCTGGGCGGGCAAAGAGTGACTGAAACTGAGTTTTTAAAAAAAATCATAGTGGTAGCACGGAGTCTGGAATTGTGCCCGGTATATAGAAACAGGATCCCCCTATTACATGGGCCTCATAAGATAGATAGTGAAAAGTGGGTGTTACATTGTACAGTGTCATTAAGTGCCGTAATGTGCAGTACTTCCTACTCCTTCGGAGATAAAAGGCGTGATGTGTGATAATAATGATTAGTTCTTTATACCTTGAAGACAGTCACAAGGTTCTGCCTCTTTTCTCACGACATCCATAACTGACTCGACCAGCTCAGCGCCTTCCGTGTAGTGTCCTTTCGCCCAGTTATTACCTATAAACCAGAAATATGCATTAAAATATTGTTTTTATTTTATGAACTACTAGCTTTGCTTTGCTCGCGTTACAAAAAGATAAAAAGTAGCCTGTGACATATACCAATACATAGGTACAGCGCCATCTATACCAATACTTTTGTTTTCCCTCCGAAATATCAATTTTTCCGGGATAAAAAGTACCCTATTATTTAATCCGGACTTCTAACTTTACGTCTGCAAACATACAAAGCAATCGGTCTAGTAGTTACGGCGTGAAAGCGGAACAAACAAACAAACTCACTTTCCGATTTATAATATAAGTAAGGATAAGGATGTTTAAAAAAACCGATGTCATAAAACACGGCTTTGTTATGGATTATTAAACCGACCTTAGAGAAAACCCTCTTTTTGACATTTAAGTGTGGGAGAGCCATGCTTCGGCACTGCTGGGCCGGCTCGACCGGAGTGATACCACCGACGAGCAGAAAATCGACGTGCAACAACGCTTGCGTTGTGTTTCGTCGTGTGAGTGAGGTTACCGGAGGCCCAATTACCCCTATCCGTAGTCCCTATCTCCCGAATCCCCGAATCCATCACAATCCTCAAATTCCCAATTCCCAAAAGGTCGGTAACGCACTTGTAACGCCTTGGTGTTTAGAGTGTCCATGGGCGGCGCCGATTGCTTACCATCAGGTGATCCGTCTGCTCGTTTACCGGCTTATGCCATAAAAAAGTGCAACAAACACTTTTCTTAATAATCGGTTCTGTCAATTCAATCGTAAGGTAATCACACAACAACATGCATACATACAGGTAAAACTGAGAACCTCCTTTATTTTTTTGAAGTAGGTTAAAAATCTTCATCCTTTTTATTGGATTGTTTTTAACGGGGGAAATCATCGAATGACTGCTCCCGCCTGGGTGAGGCGGAAGGGAATGTCAGACTCTTACTGACTATAAACCACCCTGTTCCTTCTCCTGCACGTCGAGCCGGAGCCCCGGTTACCCGTTAGGTTCTCCGCAGGTCGGTAAACAAGCAGATAGTAATACTAGAGGTGTTACAAGAGCCGGAATAAAAGCTTGGTCATTGTTCTCGGACGAAGTCTTTATCAATGGGATGTCCTCAGGGTTCGGTTCAACTCTTCTCCGTGTGAGAAGAGGTCTTTGGCCAGCAGTGGACACTTATATAGACTGTTGATGACGATGATTTTTTTTTTTAACAGGTGAACATCATCGAATGACTGCTCCCGCCTGGGTGAGGCGGAAGGGAGTGTCAGACTCTTACTGACTAAAAACCACCCCGTTCCTTCTCTTGCACGTCGAGCCGGAGCCCTGGTTACCCGTTAGGTTCTCCGCGACTCCGAATCGGCATCGGCCCTATTGGGCCCCATCTGTGGTGGTCTGATGGCTCTTTGAGGCGCGCGCGGAACGCGACGCGCCGTACGCTCGCGTCTGTTTCTGGTTGGACGGGGAGCCACCCATGCTCGCCGTCCGCAGGCCCGCGCTTACGGTGGCCGGAGATCGTCCCGCGTTGATGACGATGATGATGATGACACTCAGACCGAAATAACAATTTAACACAAAGGGTTGCTCCGTGGATCGAATCCGCAACACGTTGCACGGTATCTGGTTATCCATAGTCAGTGCATCAACCGAAACATTAACAAAGACTCACCGGCTCCGCTTTGTCCAAACACGTAGTTATCAGGTCGGAACAGCTGGCCGTAGGTGGATGACCTGATGGCGTCCATGGTCCCTGGCTCCAGGTCCACCAGGACTGCACGGGGCACGTACCGCTTGCCTGGTAAAGAGACATAAGAATCATTGCAAGCAATTTTTGAAGTTGAATTTATTGCTAGCTCGTTTATCTGAACGCTTTGATCTCCGCATTCCGCAATATTTTTCCATAGAGTAAGGCATCTAGGCCGCCACATAATCACCTCAAGGATGGCGGCGGCACAGTAGTCACGTGCCGCCGTGCACTGCACAGAGAGGCTCTAGGTAGACACATAGGTCTCAATAGGGAGGTGCCGTAACAGGCGTTGCACCGTGGGGGCTCCGGGGTTGGTCTACTAAGAGTACCCGGTGCCTCCTTTATGTGCGGATGGTGGCCACCCGGGAGGTTTTAGTGAGGTAAAAATCCCACTCGCCTTTTGAAGGTTTCCACCCGTCAACAAAAAAAAGGTATAAATTATTATGTTTTCGGCTTATTCACGTAATAATTTGACGAGGAGGAGGAGGAAGGAGGAAGGAGGAAGAGTCGCGGGTCGCGAAATGCTGCTCATGAATATGAGCCTCTAGCATGGCTTGAAACTAGTCGAGTTCCTCGTCAAATTATTACGTGAGTAAGCCGAAAACATAATAGTTTATTTAATATGTCTCACGAAAGTTACAATACCAAAAAAGGTATATTTTTCCATACATGGTTGCCCGTCATTCTTTAACAGAAGAAGATAGTTGGAACTGCTAGCCACCATACATACCATCAGCCGCCTCATTGTAGTACACTTGGATCCTCTCGAGTTGAAGGTCGCTGTCCCCCTTGTAGTAACCGGTCTGGTCAATGCCGTGCTCATCCGATATTATCTCCCAAAACTGGAAGAAAATACAAAATATAATTATTTGAACTTCATTACATGGTTAAAACAAACAAAGAAAGAAACATATCTTTGTTTCATATGTTTAAACTGTCAAACACCAAGCGGTCACCGGTGACCGCAACCTATTGTTCTTTAATTGTTTCTATGAATACGGTACTCGACGAGTTAAGTGTGTGAGAGCCATACTTCGGCACTGCTGGGCCGGCTCGACCGGAGTGATACCACCAACGAGCAGAAAACCATAGTGAAACAACCACAGCGTTGTATTTTATCGTGTGAGTGAGGTTACCGAAGGCCCAATTACTCCCCTCCCCAGTCTTCCCAATCCCCGAATCCTCCACAATCCTCAAATTCCCAATTCCCAAAAGGCCGGTAATGCACTTGTAACGCCTTGGTGTTTCGGGTGTCCATGGGCGACGCCGATTGCTTACCATCAGGTGATCCGTCTGATAAGTAATTTATAGATTGTTAGAGATCCAAGGATTGGGGAGATCGGGGAAGAGGGGTGGTAATTGGATCTCCGGTAACCTCACTCACACGACGAAACACAACGCAAGCGTTGCTTCACGTCTGTTGTCCGCTAGATGGTGTTGGTGGTATCACGGTGGTCGAGCCGGCCCAGCGGTGCCGAAGCATAGGTAGCTCTAATACTCCTACTTTACTATGCTTGATAACCTGTAATGCTGCGTCCACACACTTGATGTTTTTTAGAAACACAATAATTAAAATTCCAAACATCGTTGTGTACTAAGCATGTGGATACATCGCTAATTGTTTGCCGAACAACTTTTGATCTGTGTTTGTGTTTGCCATTGTTCGACACCAATACAGAACAGTGGCGAACACATACATGAATTGACAAAACACATACAAACATCCACATTTTCGTGTTTGTTGGTTTGCCAAGGGCAGTACTGTCTTTACCACAGACCATATAAAGTTATACGTAAATGTATAAAGTTACTAGCGATCCGCCCCGGCTTCGTACGCATGCAATATGCATGTATTATACATATAAACCTTCCTTAAGAATCACTCTATCTATTAAAGAAAACCGTCACAAAATCCGTTGTGTAGTTTTAAAGATCTAAGCATACATAGGGACAGACATACGGCGGATAGCGACTTTATTTTATAGTATGTTGTTATTATTATTATATTATTATGTTCTGTGGTCTTTACTCGGCACTAGGGCCCCGTGCTCAGAGATTCCATGCTCAAGGAGCCCTGAAGGACCGACAATTTCCACAATGGACACACATCAGCTACCCATTGCGCGGCAACCGACTGCCCCGCAACGTGTAGTGGCTTCGATTCCCGCACGGAGCAAATGTTTATGTGATCCACAAATTGTTATATCAGGTCTGGATGTCATCATGTGACGTACACACGACGCGGGAGAAAATCCTAGTGTGAGGCAACGTAAATTGTTGATATTGAAATTGTTGACCGGAGGTTTAAGGATGTCGTGGTGGCCCGGAGGTTTTTTTTTAAGGGGGGAAAATCATCGAATGACTGCTCCCGCCTGGGTGAGGCGGAAGGGAGTGTCAGACTCTTACTGACTAAAAACCACCCCGTTCCTTCTCCTGCACGTCGAGCCGGAGCCCCGGTTACCCGTTAGGTTCTCCGCGACTCCGTATCGGCATCGGCCCTATTGGGCCCATCTGTGGTGGTCTGATGGGTCTTTGAGGCGCGCGCGGAACGCGACGCGTCGTTTTAAGACGTGTCCGCTTCTCATGCATTAGCGTGCGGGTTCAAAACCTACCAACGGCAAGTACCAATATGACTTTTTTCGAGTTACATGTACTTTCTAAGATCATTTAGACACCACTGACAAACGGTGAAGGAAAACATCGTGAGGAAACCTGGGCTTATAATGTCTAATGATAAGTTTGACATCGCCAACCCGCATTGAGCAAGCGTGCTGATTAATGCTCAAACCTTCTCCGTGTGAGAAGAGGCTTTGCTCAGGATGGGCATTTATAGGCTGTTGATGATGATGATGATGATGGGGCAACGTAAAAGGACACATTCCCAAAGGGCGCCGAATTATTGGGTGCCTTAGGGCTAGACTAGGCTAGGAGTCTAAGACGGCTTTGGCCAAGGGTGTAGACCCGGCATTAGGTCGTCACACCTCTTAAGGTCGCTATTTACATAAGTATAATAGAATCTATCTATCGCCTGCTGTCTCGCTCTATATAACGCCATCACAGTATAGAAAGTTTAATCAAGTACTTTCTATAATTATCCACAAATTACCATACAAAGTCAATGGTATGAAACTGCTGATTTTAATCGTAAGAATTGCTTGGTGACGGCTGAATGGAATACACGTTAGGGCAGCAGCGCTCTCTGATAACCCTGAACCTTGTACCCTGCGACCTCCAACCCGCCTGCCTGCGGAGATTGTGGCAAACCCTGTCTTATGTAGAGGACACTCATAGTACAGCAGTGGACTGTCACTCGCTGTAGATGACGATATATATTATAGGTAGGTATGTATATCGCAGAGTAGAACACATTTTGTCACCACCGCTACTCTTCCTGCGGGTGTGGTATACCCGACTAAAGGACTATTACTGCTACATATTTAACAGAAACTGGCGGCAGACTTAGTTCGCACTCCAGACGCGGGTGTCGTATACCCGACTAAAGGACTATTACTGCTACATATTTAACAGAAACTGGCGGTAGACTTAGTTCGCACTCCAGACGCGGGTGTCGTATACCCGACTAAAGGACTATTACTGCTACATATTTAACAGAAACTGGCGGCAGACTTAGTTCGCACTCCAGACGCGGGTGTCGTATACCCGACTAAAGGACTATTACTGCTACATATTTAACAGAAACTGGCGGCAGACTTAGTTCGCACTCTACACGCGGGTGTCGTATACCCGACTAAGACACTCCACATTAGACCGAGCCCGTGCAGCAGCGCTCTCTGATAACCCTGAACCTTGTACACTGCGACCTCCAACCCGCCTGCCTGCGGAGATTGTGACAAACCCTCTTATGTAGAGGACACTCATAGTGCAGCACTGGACTGTCCGATAAACCAGAGTACAGATTTATTAAGATAAATAAGCCTATGAACTAGAATGGCCCACTGATTGAACAAAGGCCTATTCATAGGAATAAAATTATCTTCTTTATAGGAATCTAAACTTTGGAACGATCAAATAACCTAGATGATTAACCCACAGTCTAACATTTTTAATATTTAATCACGGAGCAGAAGTTTTGTTTTTATTCCATGTATTTAATTGTTTTCTTTTGTCGTTTAAAAATGCATTTCTGGTTTTTTTATGGCATAAGCCGGTAAACGTGCAGACGGATCTCCTGATGGAAAGCAATCAGCGTCGCCCATGAACACACGGAACACCAGAGGCGTTTCAAGTGCGTTACCGTCTATTTGGGGATTAGGAGTTTGAGGATCGTTGGGGATCCAGGGATTGAGGAGATTGGGGAAGGGGAGGATAATTGGGCCTCCGGTAACCTCACTCATACGACGAAACAAAACGCAAGCGTTGCGTCACGTCGGTTTTCTGTGAGGCCGTGGTATCACTCCGGTCAAGCCTGCCCTTTCGTGCCAAAGCATGGCTCTCCCACACGGAATGGTCTAAATGAAATAAATGATTTTGACTTTGACTTTGAAAAAATGAGGATTGAATACAGAATAGTGAATTCAAATATATATTTTTTAAAAAAATAAATAAATCAAGCTCACAATGTTTTCGTTGTTCATAAATTTTAAATTTTTGCGCGCGAATTTTATCTTTTAGCAAAAAAAAACTGATGAACTGCAATAACAATTGTTAGTTTGCAACATATACGTCTGTATCAACCTTTTGTAAACTCAATGAACGGGAAATATCATCTCTTAATATAACTGTTGTCTACCGTTAGCCTGTCCAAGTGTTAACGTAAAAATAGATAATTGTTAAGTATCAAGATTTTCACTTTTAAATCGCGAATAATAAAGATTTGTATATTCCCCACCTTTGAGCCGATCTGGTTGCCACACTGGCCCGCCTGCAAGTGCACAATTTCACGCATTTTCAATGTTTTCACTTCTAAAACACTAGCCAATGTGCTTGTCCAAGTCTAGTTCGAGATACTATTTTAAGAACTTCGTCTACGCACGCAAATTAATCACGTGGGATGATTTACCGTTTTATGTTTGAGCTAATTATATTTATTAATAGTTTTACTTTGTTGTGAATGCGTTTGTATCGTTATTTTTCTGTAATATCCGTAGAAATCTGCTAAAGAAAATCATGTTGCATTGTCGAGTGGGAGTTTAATTAATTTATTACAGCGCCATCTATTATCTTAATGAAGAAGTTATTTTAAGTCAAAATTTGATTGGGAAGTTATTATACAATCAAAAGGATATCAAATAAATGGAATATCGAAAGAAATTCTGAAATAAAATGTAATGATTAATTAATGAACATAATTTTAAATAACAAAACGCGTTCCTATAAGACCCGCATTGCACATTCCAAATGACGTTTCTTTACCTTGACACATAGGTAATGTCAAAATCGAGTTTCCCATAAATTCGTCTGAGCCGATTTTCGATCAAGTTAAGCGTAAAATAGTGAAATTCATACTATTTATTGTATATTTAAAGTACTTTGGTGTATATCAAGTGTATTAGTTTATTATTTGCTCGTGTAAAACAGTGTAAATATGATTAATCGCCATTTTGCTACGAATGTGCCCTGAAGGCATAGCCATTTTTCTCGATTAGTGTATTTTTCTTTTGTGATTTATAGACAGTTTTTATCTACTACTGACGTGTGACGTTTTATAAAATTAAAAACAACAACTGTAGCTAATTAAACGTAAGTATAAAAATGATACGTATTATTATTAAAACTATTTTTTTTCTTTTTAAATACAATTTATGGAGGATGGAATTTATAGTTAGTGTTTCACCCGCGGCGTTGCGTAGGTCGATCCTGTTCTTATAGGACGAAATGTTGACGCTGACAGTCACTATACAATGCAAAATAGATGCAAGCTTGTTCAAAATTATGTTTAGCAGTTTTGTAGTTAGATGCAAACAAGAATACAAACAAAAAAGTATTTGTTAAGTACATATGTTTGGGTTCATACTTAAAAGCATTCTTAATACTTATGTAAGTAGTAGTAGTAGCCGGCTCTCATCTAGAAATGTAAAGATTGATGTTTAAAATTGTCATTAATTATTACTTATTTATTTAATTTTATACATCTTCTCGACCGCTTGCTTCATTTCTGAAGGTCGTGCCCCTGAAAGGCTTTCATTGCTCTCTGTGTTATTTCCCTCTATCTTGTCCTGTTTTCGGCTTCTCTCACGGCTTTCGTAACAGAAAGTCTAGTGTAATTAATGAGTCTCCCATGGGGGTAGGCAGAGACTATGAAACACCAATTACTATGATTCTTACATACCTCTTTTGCTTCATCGACAGTCATCAGTCTTTTCAAGCATGCTCGTCGGTTAAGGAAGAAATAATTAGTAGTAGTAAATAGTTGTAGTACAAAAAATAGATTTTTACATTAATATGTATATTGAAACTAGGCTAGATGAAGAATATCAGACATTGGGAAGAAACACCGAAAACAAAAACAATGTTTTTTAACCGGTATATCCCCAAGTATATACTACATTATACACCTTATTTCCAATGTTTAGAGATTACTTTTGTATGAACTAATTTAGGGGATGATTTTCTACAAATTTCAATGGGTTAAAAAACCCAGTAGTACTTTGCTGCCTCGTTGGCCGAGTGGTCGCCTGTGCGACTGCGGGGCAAGGGGTTTTGAGTTCGATTCCCGGGTCGAACAAAGTATTACTGGGTTTTTAAAAAAATCTCAGTAGTTACATGGGACTCATAACATAAATAGTGAAGAAGTGGGTGTTACATTGTACAGTGGCATAATGTGCACCTCTGCCTACCCCTTCGGGGATAAAAGGCGTGATGTTATGTGTAGTACTTTGCCTGACCCAGGAATCGATACCGTAATATTGATACTGTCTCTGAAAAGTAATTCTGCCCTTTGAATTCAGATGATGTCATACATTTAATATGAAACTGTCAAACACCAAGCGGTCACCGGTGACCGCAACCTATTGTTCTTTAATTGGGTCTATAATGACAGTACTCAAAAAATTAATAACATTTTAATAATTATATTTTTTAATTACTGTTAATACAATGTCAATTAATAAATTATTGATGTCTAGGTACGCTAGTTACTGTAATCATAGATATTATGAAAGCAATAATAAAATATGTCTATAAACTAATATTATAATAACTGCCTCATTAGCAATGTAGTCGCAAGTGTGACTGCCAAGGGGTCTCGGGTTCGATTACCGGGCTGGGGAAAGTATTACTGGGTTTTTACACGTTAAACGCCATGGGGGTCATCGGTGACCGGCGTTAGCGGAGGATTTACCTTCAACAGTTTTTATTGGCAGTCAAAGTCTTAAGATAAATCTCATTAGTAGCACCGAGTCTAAAATTGCGCCCGGTATATGGCAATAGTCTCAACCCCTGTTACATGGGACTCGTAACATAAATAGTGAAAAGTGGGTGTTACATTGTACAGTGGCATTAAAGGCCATAATGTGCACTTCTGCCCTTTGGGGATAAAAAGGCGTGATGATAGTTTGTGAGAATGTATATGTGTGTGTTTATTACTCTTTTATGTCTAAACGACTGAAGGGATCGAGAAGTTTGGAACAGAAGTAGATTGTAGTCTGCAATAACACAGGCCACTTTTTATCCTACGGGAATGCTTTTTTTTGAGGGGGAAAATCATCCAATAACTTCTCTCGCCCGGGTAAGACAAGAGGGAGTGTCAGACTCTTACTAACTAACTGACTGACTTCGTTAGGTAATGAAAAATACTAGACAGGTAGCGAGAACCTAACGGGTAACCGGGGCTCCGTCTCGAAGTGCAGGAGAAGGAACGGGGTGGTGTTTAGTCAGTAAGAGTCTGACACTCCCTCCCGCCTCGCCCAGGCGGGAGCAGTCATTCGATGATTTTCCCCCCTTAAAAAAAAAAGACAGGTATTTCTTTATTTTGTCGTATACACAATGCATGTATAAATAAAACAAATCAAAGTTTAGGAGTGGGAGCAAGCTACGTCATTGGGAGCTAAAACGTCATTTCTACGTACAAAACGTACCTAGATGTGACGTCACACGATATTTCAAATCAATATATCGTCGAGAGTATTCGTTTCTGTAAGAAAATAAAAAATACATGTCGTAGGTTTTAAAACAATCTACCATATTAGACTACATTTTATACGCGGGTAATCTACTTTAGCAAGCAAAACCACGAGCAAAAGTATCCCATTAATATTTAACCAGTTTCCGCCCGCGGCTTCATCCGCGTAGAATGTCTAATTTTATACTCGTAGAATGTCTGTCTGTTGTTTCTCATATCCTATGGGAATTACGCCGTAAATGAGATAAAAAGATTTTTTAGGTTTTTTTATTACTGTATCGTTTTCCTCGTTGGCCGAGTGGTCGCAAGTGCGACTGCCGTGCAAATATTACTGGGTTTTAAAAAAATTTCAGTAGTGCTACTACTAAAAAATATTTGAAAAATACTTATTAAAATGTATACCGTCTCATTGGCCGAGTGGTCGCGATTGCAACTATCGGGCAAGGGGTCTCGATTCCCGGATTGGGCAAAGTATTACTGGGTTTTAAAACCAATCTCGGAGTCTGGAACTGTGCCGGTATATGGCAATAGGCTCACCCCCTATTACATGGGACTAATAACATAAATACTGAAAAGTGGGTGTTACATTGTACAGTGGGATTAAGTGCCGAAAGGTGCACCTCTGCCTATCCCTTCGGGGATAAAAAGACGTGATATTATGTTATGTTATGTATCGTTTTCCTCCAATATAACATCTTGTATTTTAATCCCTCGAGGGGTAGACAGCTCGAACAATGTAACACCAATCTTTAAACGAGTTCAAAAAAAGGAGGGTCTCTATTTGATCTGTATGTATGTATGTGTTTGTGCGCAATTATTTCGCGATTGCCTGTACTGATTTTGATACGGTTTTTAGAAAAGTGCACTTTTTTAAAGGGGGTAAATCATCCAATGACTTCTCTGGCCTGGGTGAGGCGGGGAGTATCAGACTCTTGCTTACTAAAAACCACCCCGTTCCTACTCCTGCACTTCGAGCTGGGGCCCCGATAACCCGTTAAGTCCTCTTAGGAGAAGGTTTTAAAGTCAAAGCCAACGCATTTATTTCAATTAATCTTTAATTAGGTACTTTTGAATTGATTCACGTTAGAGTCCCGTCATTTTTAGTTAATTCAATATGTCTCACGATAGTTAATAAAAATATAGTCTAACTCAATATCAAGAGCAAAGTATTACGAGGTTTTGAATAAATTCTCAGTAGTAGCACGGAGTTTTGAATTGTGCCCGGTATATAGCAATAGGCTCACCCTCATGCGACTCATAACATATAGTGAAGGTGTTACATTGTATGTCATTAAGTGCCACTCTAGTTTCGGGGATAAAAGGCGTAATGTTATGTTATGTGTCTAACTCAATATTCATATCTTTTCCAGATACAAAAATGGAGGAAGTCAAAGTGGAGACACCTCCTCAACCGGTCATGAAGTTCATAAGTGTGACGAGTGATGCTCTGACCGAGGAACAAAGAGAGATGTACGAATCAGTACTAACTACTTGGAAACCGGTCATGTTCCCTAAACGAATCAAACGCTATATCTGCAATAAATGCAATAAGGAATTCAAAAATTACCAAAATCTTTACCTACATACTACAAGAGTGCATTCTTCCGAAGAATCCGCAGTTATCTGCGATATTTGTGACAAAACGTTTAAGAATAAACACTATTTATATATGCATAGAATGAACAAACATTACTCGGAACTGGAAAAGTGCTACTGCCAATTCTGTCTCCAAGAATTTAGGACAAGAAGGGCTTTACATATGCACGTAAAAAGGATCCATCCGACCACCCTGCCTGAGATTAAGTGCAACGAATGCGGCAAAGAGTTTTCAGTACCTTACAAACTCAAATACCACATCGAAGCTTGCCACAGAACGGACAAAGAAAAGTACAAATGCCACCTCTGTCACAAACTTTACAAAAACAGCTAAATCTTAACCGACATCTCCATTTTCAACATACTCCTGTACAACGACATCCCTGCGTTTTCTGCAATATGACCTTTAAGTCCCGACATCATATGAAACGTCATGTATTGAATATCCATCCTCCTTTAGAGTCCAAAGTCACTTGTCCAGAATGTCTGAAAGAGTTTAAAAATGACCAGTATCTTAAGGAGCATATGCAAGTACATTCCTCGTTGGATTCAAAGGTTAAGTGTGATATATGCGACAAATTTTTCCATTCCGCGATTCGTTTAAAAAAACACAAGAAAATTGTGCACCCTTCTAAACCGAAAATGCGTTGCGAAAAATGCGATAAGGAGTTTGCACATGCCCATTATTTACGCAGACATAACAACGCGGTGCACTTGGAAATTGATGAGACGGAGTATCCGCATTCTTGCGACCAATGCGGCAAGAAGTTTAAGCTAAAGAAATACCTGAATAATCACTTGCAAAGACATGAACAACAGCATCTAAAGAGAATATCCCAAATGGTTAAGACGGTTATGGGAGATGAGAAAGATGTCCCAGTTAAAAAGAGAGGGAGACCAAGGAAGGCTAGAGCTGAGATTGAGTTCATCAAGTGCGAACCGGTGTCTAGCTCCGATTCGGAGTCAGGAGAAACGGAGAGTGATTCGGAGTGAAATTTTCGCATATTTCGATAGTGATTTGGTCCGTTTTGTGCAGTGCAGGTTTTGGGCAAAGTGTAATGAAATTAGGTGTCCCGTTTTTAAAACTGGAGTGGGAGATGATAGCGAGCCGTTGTATATATGTGTTGAAGAAATTTGCGATGGAAAAGCGTTGTTTTTTCGGTCCTTTAAGTGGATTTCTAGATATTGTTAGTTAGGACCAAAATTTTTGCAAAATATTTCTTGTTCTTAGAGATTTTCTATATTAGAACTGCGTCCGACGGTAGATATTTGGTATGGGAGAGAATTAAGTAAGATGCAAAGAGTTTCTATGACCAGACACTTCATCTGTACATTTTTTTACAATATTTGCTCTCAAAGTATCGAATCCGTCGTTTCTTTTTTTTTCTCAATTCTCAATTATTTTCTTGATATACAGAACTCTTTGTGTGATCCGTAAATAGTAGTTCCGTGTCTGTGTGTGATGTGTATGTGGAAATGTTTGTGAACGTACACACAACAAGATACTATACTAGTGTGGGGAATTTTGATTAACCTTTCGTGTGTCTAGACGTGGATCCCCGCGAGATACAGTGTATTTTCTATTATGTCTCATATCAAATGCATTCAAAAGGTTAAATAAACGGTGACTTGGTTCTACTTTTCTGTACCAATGTCCCACAAAAGATATCGACCGTCTGACGCATTTAAAAATTAAATTTTTAATGTAATTGGGATCTTATTGGATAAGCTTAAAGAGCCTTTTTTCCATGAAGACACCATGGCCTTGGGACCAGAGGTCTTAGTACGAGTTTCTTTTTCGTTTAATGCAATCGAAACGAGACGGCGTCTGGCGCTCTGATTGGTTGGGTCGTTGGAACCGGCCAATCACAACGCAGGACGCGTACTCGTAAAAAAGAAACTAGTACTAAAGCCTCAGGGTACGCAACCACCGACATATATACAGTTATATAGAGGATGTTTCACGTCAACAGCGGGTGACATTCCACTGCTGCACTATGAGTCTCCTCTACATAAGAGGGTTTGTCACAATCTCCGCAGGCAGGCGGGTTGGAGGTCGCAGTGTACAAGGTTCAGGGTTATCAGAGAGCGCTGCTGCACGGTCTCTGTCTAATGTGTAGTCTCTTAATCGGGTATACGACACCTGCGGGAAGAGTAAAGATGGGTGACTATGGTGTCTAATTGGAATAGGGTTCTAATGCCCTAATGATATTTCATTCATTGCAAATCACAAATTTTACAAGCTTTTGTCATCCAATATTGAATTTTAAAAACGTCATATTAGAATAGATAATTGTTTGTATAATAAATCTATTTTGATGTTGTGTAAATTTGCATTAAGTAACTTAACAATCATTCGAAAATATTTCTTAAAACCAACTGTAGAAGAGCTATTTTTCATCTCATATTCAAGAAGTTACTTGGATATACAAATATGATAAGTTAACATGGCATAAAATATTAGGAAATGGGATTTTTAATGTTAAAAAAGGTCTTTATAACAATTTCATAGATTATTCTTATTAAATGTTTCCTTTATTGGTAGATTTGTAATATATTGTGTATGGCAACATTGCGGTTTTGGTAGAAAGACTGATGTTGACTGGTTTGGCGATGATAGGTAAACAGAATCTGTCGTTACTCTAATGTGATTCGGTTCAAACAGTTTTATTATTTTTGACGTGACAACGTCTTATAAATTGGTTTGCCGGGTGACACTTCAAGAAACTGCGTTACGCTCCGCTCACATTATGCGCTCACAATGAGAGCGAGTGAGAGGCACGCGTCCCTTCCACTCGGGCATGGTTAGCCCGCCTAAGAGCGAGAGAGACAGACATAAAAAGTGAAAGGCACGCGTCCCTTCCACTCGAGCACAGTTAGCCCGCCTAAGAGCGAGAGAGACAGAGCGAGAGAGAGAGAGAGAGAGTGAGAGGGATAGGCAAATTATTTTACCACTCAAAGTCGTTGTCACGTAAAATTTTCGCCCGTATACCGACTTTACAGGCAACCAAATTTTTTTTGGTGATTAAATAAATGCTATTGAATGCTAGCTACTCCCATGGCTTCACCCGTGTGGGCAAAGGAAATAAGTAGCACTATATCACTCTTCAGCTTCGTAACTACTTTTAGACACAAAATATATTCTAACTGCCTCGTTGGCCGAGTGGTCGCAAGTGCGACTGCCGAGCAAGGGGTCTCGGGTTCGATTCCCGGGTCGGGCAAAGTATTACTGGGTTTTAAAAAAAAATCTCAGTAGTAGCACGGAGCCTGGAACTGTGCCCGGTATATGGCAATAGGCTCACTCCCTATTACATGGGACTCATAACATAAATAGTGAAAAGTGGGTGTTACATTGTACAGTGGTGTAATGTGCACCTCTGCCTACCCCTTCGAGGATAAAAGGCGTGATGTTATGTAAGAATTTTGTTGGTAAAAATTGATCTTCGAAACTGTAGGTTCGAATTTAACAATTCTTTTTGTATTGTATAGTCAATTTACCGAAGAATAAATCTTTACTACATATATAATATTATAAATTGGAAAGTGAGTTTGTTTGTTTGTTCCGCTTTCACGCCGTAACTACTAAACCGAAAATTAAAAAAGTTAGATATTACCGAGGGAAATAGTATATGTCACATAGGCTACTTTTTATCTTTTTGTGACGCGAGCGAAGCCGTGGACAAAAGCTAGTAGGTTATAAAACATTACGCTACGTTCAATAGAAACCGAGCAGCGGGTGAAATAACGCAGGAATACGGTAGTAAATTGATAAATCATACTATTAAATTGTTCTATTGTAATTTACATATAAAAGTCATATAATTTCCTTCGCATTTATACAGTATCAAAATTGTGGCTTGGTACTATCGATACGAGCGTTCGCCAAGACGATCATCAACAAACTGAATAAATGTATGGAAAGGTGGAGAACCCAATGTTGCCATATTAAAAAATTGTTATCTATTTGTGGTCAGTAATATTAATGTTAGCCACTTTTAAAATTATGAGGACATTTAATCTTAATTTTGTAATTATTGTAGATGCTGTATATTTTGCTAAAGTATTCTAATTTTACTACTTAATTTACGCATAATATATAGTTTCCTTGAAAATTTTAAGTAAGATTAATCTGCTTGGAGCATATCTCTTGGTATTTTGACAAAAATCTGTCGTTGGTCCTAAGTTTTGCACATGTAAAAGGCCGACTATAGTCTTAGTGTCAATGTCTCATTATAGTAAAAACATTGTTAGGTTTTATATACATAAGCTCCAGTCTCCCATGCGAGTAGGCACAGACTATGGAACGCTAATGTGGGCTAACCTTTTTTTTGCTGTATATTACACATCCACTGCCTCGTTGGCCGAGTGGTCGCAAGTGCGACTGCCGAGCAAGGGGTCTCGGGCATTACTGGGTTTTAAAAAAATCTCAGTTGTAGCACGGAGTCTGGAATTGTGTCCGGTATATGGCAATAGGCTCATCTCCTATTACATGGGACTCATAACATAAATAGTGAAAAGTGGGTGTTACATTGTATAGTGGCATAATGTGCCACTAGAGGTGCACCTCTGCCTACGTCTTCGGGGATAAAAGGCGTGATGTTATGTTATGTAATAAAAATAATTGCTTCTTGTAAATTAAGCTTTGAAAAGTGAATACGTTTTGTGCAATATTTTTATTTAAATTATTTAGTTTTTTTCTACTAAAGTATGTATATTGCTGATTTCTTTTTTCGTATTCAATCAGATTTTGTCAAAAATTTAAAATGTTAGCAAAAACTCCTCATGATTTTAAAAGAATATAAATGGACTTGAAAACAATAGTTAGTTATCTAAAATTTAAATTAAAAATAGCGCTTGATTATTCGATTACCTACGGTATACCACAAGCAATAGAGTACATATTCCAACACAATTGAAAGGAGGGTAGTACACAAATAATTGTGGACAAGATTTTTTTCTAACTACCCATCCAGAATTTTTCTTTTATGTTGACTATTGTTTTACGAGTCCATGTTTATGTACACAGTTTTTCAATAAATAAATGTTATATGATATATAATGTAAATACATAAATAAATATTATTATTATTATAGTTTAGTTATCAAACGCTGAAATACTCGATCGTTACTCAATTTTAAACTGTCAAACACCGAGCGGTCACCGGTGACCGCAACCTATTGTTCTTTGTGTCTATAATGACGGTACTCAACGAGTTAAATCTCGCTTAAATATAGTTCTGTCTCTACAAATTCCTTGTAAAATGACAGAGACGGCACGATATTTAAGTACATACAATTAAAATTGAGTAGCTTTCCAGTATTCGGGCGTAAGTGACTGATTTTTCAGTAAAAGTATCGTTTTTCCAAAAAATATGTTTAACGGATTACTGGCGTAATCAAAAACATTTAATGATTACTAAGACTAGTCCTTGGTAACGACTTTATTCTAAAAACTTGCTAAGGACTGAGTTAATCGGGGACGAGATGATCTCCGGCCACCGTAAGCACGGGCCTGCGGACGGTGAGCGCGGGTAGCTCGCCGCCCAACCGTTCGGCATTCTGATTGGCTGGCTCAAATGAACCAACAAATCAGAGTGCCGAACGGGGTCTCATTCCGATTACTTTAAACGTAAAACAAAATCGTTCTTTACGGAACAGAGTGTATAATTCCCTAAGATCGGAAAACGAGGATCCAACGCCCAGGCGAGGTGACCGTGCCTGGCGGGCTTTCTGCCCAACAGAGTGCCAAGCACGAATAACTATCGCATTCGTAACGTAATAGTATCGAGTGCGTTCGGCGCTCTGATTGGTCGGCTCAAGTGAACCAACCAATCAGAACGCTTAACTCGCTCGATACTGTTACGATACGAATGCGATAGTTATTCGTGCTTGGCCCTCAGTTGTTCGTTGGAATTTTCTATCCGTGTTAATTCGCATGCGCGATGTAGGTTTTTGTGACGTCATCCGTTGATTTGCTTTTATCGGTGTCTTTTTGACATGTGTCGCCACGATATTATGGACTCTGAACCAGACCCGAGCATATGGCGCGTCGCATTCTACGCGCCTCAAAGAGCCATAAGACCATAGATGGGGCCCAGTAGGGCTGATTCCGGTACGAAGCCGCGGAGGACTTAACGGGTTACCGGGGCTCCGGCTCGAAGTGCAGGAGAAGGAACGGGGTGGTTTTTAGTCAGTAAGAGTCTGACACTCCCTCCCGCCTCAAGAAGCAGCGCTTCGCTGCCTAATGCGCCCCGCCTCCTCCTTAGCTACCAGGACTGCTTCGCAAAAGAAGGAGACGGCATCCCAGTCCCCCTCGCTCCGCATTATGACCCGCACTAGAGCCGGACGCGAGAAGTCGCCGTCGCGTGTTTTTTGCACTTAGGAGCAGGTTTTATCACATTAACCGAAATAAAAAAGGAGATTAGAGTCGGTTTTTGTAAAATTGAATATTATTGACATTGTTTGGAGTTTTTTGTAAAAATCAATTTCGATCTTTGGATTGAGATTGAGACGCACCATGAACTTTTCATGTGTTTTTGCATTTTTATCTACATGTGTGTCGTGGCATAATAGACGGATTTTCTTTCTTTTTTTTTCATTTTTAGGCTGTTGAAGATTTTGGACTATGATCAGTTTTTTTTTTTTTCCGTTTTTATTCTGCTAATGAATTATTAAGTTTAACCTTCGCTGTTCTATTACTGAAAAATCAGTCATAGTTTATTAAGTGGGTACATTTATCACTGTTACTTTTATTTGAAATGGTATATTTATTGTAAATATAAATATTTTGATGTGAAGCTATTTGTTTGTTTTATTTATTGATCTTGATTTTTTACCCAATGTCATCAGGATTACCTGATGGTTAGCAATCAGCGCCGTCCATTGATATGGATAACACTAAAGGCACTATATACTTATAGGGACTACTATATAGAGCATTACCGACTTTTTAGGAAGATTTTTATGCCAAATATACTTGTATTGTGTCTGGGTTGTAAGCTTATAGCTTCCCCATCATCAGCATCAAGAGCTCGCCGATGGGCCTCATCTATGAGAGTGTTTCATAATCTCCTCAGGCAAAAAAGGCTCAGTCTAATCAGAGAGCATCTATCAAATGCTTATAGTTGGCACCACACTCATTGTCAGCTATAGGGGACCTTTAGTTAAGTTAGTGACAGCAATCGCGATTTTTGTGAGACATCTTTCATATTTAAACTGTTTGTGTCACGAGTTTGCTTTGAACAATTTATGCTTTTTGTGTGTTCAAGATTCGAGATAATTGATATTATTATGTTAATTAAAATATTTTCAACTTTATAAAAAACAAACTGCACACGCAATAAACTAAACGTAAAAAAAGCTTTTCTGTCACCGTCAAAGCGTCAAACGAGACGCCATATTGTTTATATGTCATGTCAGGCAAAGCAAAATTGTTTGCTTGTCTCCGTCAGCTTTATTATTCGATTTAAACTGTAGAATAATTAAATTAAAATGGAAACATTGAGTCTAGACGACCAGTATGATGTTAAAATTGTTTTTGAACCGCCAAAAACTATCTGTAGGTGTTGTTTAACCACTGATAAGCGTATGAACAACGCCGTGGCTTACAAACAGTTATTTAAGGATTTAGCCGGATTAAACGTGAGTATTACCTTATTAGAGTACTAAACAGAACTTGTTTTACACTGCCACAGGCATATCTCGGCATTTCAAAGCCGTTAAACACGATTTTTCGAAGTAAATCAGACATTGTTATGGTTTTAATAATAACCTGTATTTTTACCGATATAATGAGGAATTCATCAGCAAAATTGTTGTTTCTTGTCAATATAATCGTTATTTGAGTCACTAAATGGGTATTCTTTGGTATCTCACTGTGATACCTTCTAAAAAGCTCAATTATGTGGGCTTTGATTACCCAAACAGGTTAACTAGCTATTATTGCTTTTTTTCGTAGTACTGCAACTGTCTGGACTATTGAGAACATTACCAGTTTCAAGACACAACAGGAGTCTTATTAATGGGCCAGTTTCATAATGTCTCATTATCTGCTATGTGTTTGAATTGTGTTATGGCTTCGCATCAACCACTTCATTTCTCTGCACTTCCCTATGGTTGACTGTAAGAGAATACCTTAAGGCATTAAGTCCGCCATTCACTGTTATGTTTTGTGAAGAAGAAATAAACAAATATGTATCTGATAAATTTGAATACAATACATAATTTGTATCAAACTACGGTACTTAGGCTTTGGCGGCCAATAGCAAACTTTTGAAGGTAAATCCTTCTCTAGCATCGGTCACTCCCATGGCATTTAATGTGTTAATAATTGTTACAGATAAAAAAATTGTCTCTTTGATAAATACATATTATGATACATATACCAAAATAACACTTTTTACAATTTTTGTTGTCTGTCTGTTTGTACTGGCAAAACTCTGAAATGGTTGGACTAATTTTGATGGGACTTTTATTGGCATGTAGCTAATTTACTAAGAAGTAACATAGGCATACTTTTATATTAGAAAAACACATACGAAATCACTAGCATCAGCTAGTATAATATAAAATAGGAATAAAATTAACATCTGATAGGTTTTTTTTACTGAAACAGTAAAAAATCAGCCATAGTACATAGTAGCAAAGTAAAATTCGTGCCCCCATCAAATATAAAGAAAAAAAAGTGTGTCTCACTGTAGTTGTGCACAAATTAAATTAAATATTTTTTTATGGTATAAGCCAGTAAACGAGCCGACGGATCACCTGATGGTAAGCAATCAGTGTCGCCCATGGACACCTGGAACACCTGAGGCTTTAAAAGTTGGTTATGGGCCTTTTGGGGAATTTATAAATTATTGGGGATTCGGTGATTGAGGAGATTGGGTAATTGGGCTCCGGTAACCTTACTCACATGATGAAACAAAATGCAAATATTGTTTCACTATGGTATTCTGCTCGGACGTGGTATCACTCCGGTCGAGCCGGTCTCCGGCTTTAATTTAAACATTGTTATTGACTGTCGTCTAGGTAACGGAGTCAGATGGTCTACCGCAGTGGCTCTGCTACGAATGCAGTGCGCTACTACAGAAGTCTGTCAGGTTCCAACAGAAGGTCCAGAAGGCACATACTATGCTGTACGAGTATCTTGCACGATGTGCTCCAGTGAGTATCTTATACTTACCTTTTATTATACAGGGTGTAAACAGAACGCATCCGAAAACGCTGCCAAAAAAATAGTTCATATTAGTACATTAAAGAAACATTTAATTCCTTACTGTCGGCCTCGTTGGCCGAGTGGTCGCAAGTGCGAGTGCCAGGCAAGGAGTCTCGGGTTCGATTCCCGGGTCGGGCAAAGAATTACTGGGTTTTTAAAACATCACGCTATGGTCAATAGAGGCCGAGCAGCGAGTGAATCTGAATGGGAGTAGCTAGTAACTTCTAATATAAAAACGTTGCCCCACACTAGGATTACCTCCTGTGTCGTGTGTACGTTTACAAACATACAAGTTCACATACACATGACAAATAGACCCGGAATAACAATTTGTGGATCACACAAAGAGTTGGTCCTTGCGTGACTAGAACCCACGACGCGTTGCGCAGTTGCCCAGCCACCGCACCAACCGTAAACCGAAATTATACCTTCATCAAAAAAGTCTTTAAGAGTATAATAGCATTTATCTGCATCCACTGGCTCCCCGTAACTCTGACGATGTCTTCGGTCCACGGTCCTTCGGTCTGTAGTCAGTAGTTAAATTCCAATAGTAGGTAATATAATACATAATTTAACACTTTAATTCTAATGTAGACAATCTGGTTTCCTTGTGGCATCGAGCATTTCTTTATTGAAACAAAGAGTTTCCTTTTCTTGTATAGAAGCATTAATTCTATGGATTGTCAGTATGCATATGTGAGCACCATGTTGGACTTCGAGATTTTTAATTTTAGTAAGTTATTTGTACAATGCGTCAAGCGTGTCTTTGCATTGTTCTCACATATGCGTACAGTATTGAAATATGTATCGGAGACATTGTAGAACATACTTTTTTAAAAAAGAGTAACTAATGGTGTTTCTTGCTCGTTCTTCTCCATTCGAATCTACATTTTGGAATGAGCACCTAGCTTCACCTAGTTTCATAGACGAACTGACTGACAGACTACTATTTATTTTGTATTTGTTGACGTTTCAAAAGTACCAAATTATTGGTTTAATTGAAATAAATGCTTTTGAGTTTGAGTTTAGGATTATCTCCTGTGTCGTGTGTACGTTTACAAACATACAAGTTCACATACACACGACACACAGACACGGAACAACAATTTGTGGATCACACAAAGAGTTGGTCCTTGCGTGACTAGAACCCACGACGCGTTGCGCAGTTGCCCAGCCACCGCACCAACCGTAAACCGAAATTATACCTTCATCAAAAAAGTCTTTAAGAGTATAATAGCATTTATCTGCATCCACTGGCTCCCCGTAACTCTGACGATGTCTTCGGTCCACGGTCCTTCGGTCTGTAGTCAGTAGTTAAATTCCAATAGTAGGTAATATAATACATAATTTAACACTTTAATTCTAATGTAGACAATCTAGTTTCCTTATGGCATCGAGCATTTCTTTCTTTATTGAAACAAAGAGTTTCCTTTTTCTTGTATAGAAGCACTATTTCTATGGATTGTCAGTATGGATATGTGAGCACCATGTTGGACTTTAAGATTTTTAATTTTAGTAAGTTATTAGTATAATGCGTCAAGCGTGTCTTTGCATTGTTCTCACATATGCGTACAGTATTGAAATATGTATCAGAGACATTGTAGAACATACTTTTTTAAAAAAGAGTAACGAATGTAGTTTCTTGCTCGTTCTTCTCCATTCGAATCTACTTTTTGGAATGAGCACCTAGCTTCACCTAGTTTCACTGATGGACTGACTGACAGACTACTATTTATTTACTAACTAGGTACTAAAATCAAACTCAATATTATAATTAAAACTAAAATATTTACACCTTAAAAAATAATAATAATGAAAAAATTATAATAATGAAAAAAAAAATTATAAGGCATCAAAGAAAATATTTTCCTCATCGCTACCGTGAGGTAGGGTGCCCAAAAGACTGGCAGCATTGCCACGTTGAATGGCAATGCTTAACCTTTGCCCAAGGTAGTAGCCAGCCCTTCGATCACCTGAAGTGTCAACCTACCTCCAATCCTCCTTACAATATCTTTGTAAAGATATTGTAACTATCTTATTTATTTTGTATTTGTTGATGTTTCAAAAGTACCAAACTATGGTTTAATTGAAATAAATGCGTTGACTTTGACTTTGACCACCTTACTGGAGGCACCAACCGTACTAAATTTTGATCATTAATTACTTCCAGTTCCCAATAGAGCCGCAAGATGAGGAGTTGACAAAATACGCGAGTCCACACTTTTGTACGACCAGAGTATTAGCTGTAGATATTGTGGGCAAAGGGAAGGTGGGGCAGTTCGAGGTTTTCGAGGTATGTAGATATAAAAAATATAATTCTTTATTACAGTAGGTACCTGATTATAAATAACATTACATAACGCCTTTTATCCCCGAAGGGGTAGGCAGAGGTGCGCATTATGCCACTACAATGTAACACCCACTTTTTATGTTATGAGTCTCATGTTATGTATAGTGAGCCTATTGCCATATACCGGGCACAATTTCAGTCCGTGCTACTACTGAGATTTTTTTAAAAACCCAGTTATACTTTGCTTCACCTGGGAATCGAACCCGAGACCCCTTGCTCGACAGTCGCGCTTGCGACCACTAGGCTAACGAAGCAGTCCTTTCTTTAATATATCGCCAATCACCAGAGGGCGCCCTAGACGGACATATACTGTTGGTACTGGTGGGCATATACCGACTACCCCATTGATATCCACTCTATATGTATATATTTTTTATGGCATAAGCCGGTAAACGAGCAGACGTATCACCTGGTAAGCAATCGGCGCCGCCCATGGACACCTGGAGCACCAAGGCGTTATAAGTGTGTTGGATTGGGAATCTGAGGATTGTGGAGGATTCGGGGATTCGGGAGACGGGGACTAGACAGGGAGGTAATTGGGCCTCTGGTAACCTCACTCACACGACGTGAAACAATGCTCTGGTTGTTTCACTATGGTTTTCTGCTCGTTAGTGGTATCACTCCGGTCGAGCCGGCCCAGCAGTGCCGAAGCATGGCGAGCCCACACTTCTTTCGTTACTCTACTTTCATCCATCCTTTCTAGTCAATCAATAATCTTCAATTCCAGCATGAGAAACACCATCAGCATTCCGCCTTAGACGATATAATTATTAATAAAATTGAAGAAAATGTTAAGGAAGAAACTGAATTCACAGACTACGAAGACAATATGACTTTAGAAGAATTTAGGTGAGTCCAAATATAATACATAACATAACATAACATCACGCCTTTTATCCCCAAAGTCTACCACTTTATAGGTATAGGTTATAGGTATAGGTGCATAGGTGCACATTACGGCATTTAATGCCACTGTACAATGTAATAGCCACTTTTCTCCAATTATGTTATGAGTCCCATGTAATAGGGGGTGAGTCTATTGCCTTATACCGGACACAATTCCAGACTCCGTCCTACTACTGAGATTTTTTTATAGAACTCAGTAATACTTTGCCCGACCCGGGAATCGAACAGTCGCACAATTGCGACCACTCGGTCAACGAGGCAGTCCAAATATAATACTGAATTATTATGTAGAATATGAATGATGACAGGGTATGAAAATTAAAAATATAATTAGTCAGTAAGTTAAGTAATGAAAAAATATTAGACACGTATTTTTTTATTTTGTCGTATAATAAAACAATACTTAGATAAAACGAATCAAAGTTTAGGAGTGGGGGCTAAAACGTCATTTCTACGCATAAAATGTACATAGAAGTGACGTCACGCGACATTTCAAATCAATATATCGTCGAAAGTATTCGTTTCTGTAAGAAAATAAAAAATACGTGTGTAATGATTTAAAATAATCTACCAGACGGACATTGAAATAAAAATTATTCTTCCTGGCTCTCCCACACTTAAATACCTGTAGGATCCCTTATTATTTAAAACTTTGTACATTTTTCTCATAATAAATAAGTCTAAGGGCCTATGAACACCACGTTTTTTAAACGCCGTCTTATCCTGCTCGGTTTTATCCTGCTGAGCAGTCGAATCGATAAAAACGAGCACTTTTGTATCGATACACACGCGCGTTTGCATCGCGTCTATATCGCTACATACGCGCGTCTGTATTTAAAGATATATAAGGCTGCGTCTGACTGCGTACGTATCGCGTCTGTATCGCTAAAACGCGCGTCGACGGCGCGTTTAAAAAACGTGGTGTGCATAGGCCCTTATTCTAATGTTAAATAAATTTATTTCAGATCTGTGGCTAATAAAATAACTGAAGACGACATAGCGTCCCTTCTTCAAGACACAGAGCAAGTAGAAGTAAAGCCAGAGGCAGTCACAAAGAAGAAGAAGATTAGAACGAAAGAGATTAAGAAAAAGAGAAAAGATAACAATGTTAATATGTAAGTCTCGCTTTATTTAATACTAGCTTTTACCCGCGGCTTTGCTCGCCTCACAAAAGGATAAAAAGTAGCCTATGTGACATATACCAATACAGACAGCGCCATCTATACCAATTCTTTTGTTTTCCCTCGGAAATATCAATTTTTCCGGGATAAAAAGTACCCTATTATTTAATCCAAACTTCTAACTTTACGTCTGCAAAAATCCAAAGCAATCGATTTAGTAGTTACGGCGTGAAAGCGGAACAAACATCATAAAGTATTGGATCCCTCCTCCGCCCTTGTCACAGTACACAATGTCACACTTCGTCTTCCCCCTCCCTCCCCCTTAAGTAGTGACGTAATTTATGGATGGCCCTCTGTACAAAACAAATACTTATCCGTTTTCACCAACCATGGCTTAACAATCTTCTAGCTGAAATTTATTTAGAGTGACACTAAACCAACCCCCCTTATTTAGACTATTTCCATTCGGACAAAGTCCCGCGTTCAGCTAGTAACACATATCACGCCTTCTATCGCCTATGGGTTTTTTTAAGGGGTGAAAATCATCGAATGACTGCTCCCGCCTGGGTGAGGCGGGAGGGAGTGTCAGACTCTTACTGACTAAACACCACCCCGTTACTTCTCCTGCACGTCGAGCCGGAGCCCCGGTAACCCGTTAGGTTCTCCGCGACATCCCCGATGGGGTAGGCAGAGGTGTAGATTATGCCACTGTACAATGTAACACCCACTTTTCACTATTTATGTTATGAATCCCATGTAATTGAGGGTGAGCCTATTGCCATATACCGGGCACAATTCCAAACTCTGACTCTGCTACCACTGAGAATAAAAAAAAAATAACCAGTAATATTTTGCCCGACCCCGGTATCGAACCTGAGACCCTTTGCCCAGCACTTGCGACCACTCGGCTGACGAGCAGATAGTACTGCTAGTATTACATAACATCACGCCTTTTTACCCCCGAAGGGGTAAGTAGAGGTGCACATTACGGCGCTTAATGCCACTGTACAATGTAACACCCACTTTTCACTATTTATGTTATGAGTTCCATGTAATAGGGGTTGATTTAGTATTAGTATACATATATTAAAGTATTGTACGTTATTTAAGGTAATTGTACTCTATACTTTATAAGAATAATAAAGTACACGAAAATACTTTATTTTTGCAAAAGTTATTTCTATTATAGTCATAAGTATTTTTTGGTAAACTTATCGATTCGATATCGATATTTATCGATTTATGTTGAATCGATAACTCGCCAGCGCCACTTAGACAATTTCTAGTAAAGATGCAATTGTTTAGTAAAGGTATTAATTTAATACAAAATGCAAAAAGCAATAAATAATATATTTTTAAATATTTATTTACTTTATTTTTGTACTGTGTACTTTTTTTTTCTTACCTATAATCGTCAATGTACTTTAAATACCTTAGAAAAAGGTGGCAACCCTAATTACTATCTTATTTACAGAGATTCAGCGAAGGAGGATTCTGGTGGCGAACCGAAGTCTTCGATAAGGAAACCGGTAGAATTGGACCCTAGTAAGATACGAGTGGTCACTTTGAACCCAGAGGAGCAAATCAAACAGAGACAGGTGAGCTGTATACAGTTATATATAAAAAAAAACCACCGCCACACTTCACGCGGGTGCCATATACCCGACAAGTCATTACATTGCTAAACAAAGACCTAGCTTCTACCAGTGGCTTCTCCCGCGTTTCCGTGTATGTGTTTTTGTTTGTATGTGTGTGTTTTTACTTAATCACATCAAAACGCCATTACCGTTACATTGTACAGTGGGATTAAGTGCTGTAATGTCCGCCTTTGCCTACCTCTTCGGGAATAAAAGGCGTGATGTTGTTTGAAACTAACAATTTAATATATTGTTCCAGGAAGAAAGTAAAAACGGTAAAAAATATCCGTTTCTATGCAATTTGTGTTATAAAGGCTTTAATTTTGAGTCTAAATTGCAAAATCATATGAACAAGCACAGTCCGGTAAGTCCTTTATTTTGAACAATTACATCTTTAATATTAATGTACATAATAGGGTAGATGCCTAATTTTTATTTCAATGTTCGTCTGGTAGATTATTTTAAATCATTAGACACGTATTTTTTATTTTCTTACAGCAACGAATACTTTCGACGATATATTGATTTGAAATGTCGCGTGACGTCACTTCTATGTACATTTTGACGTTTTAGCCCCCACTCCTAAACTTTGATTCGTTTTATCTAAGTATTGTTTTATTTTACGACGAAATAAAAAAATACGTGTCTAATATTTTTTCATTACCTAACTGACGGACTAATTAGATTTTTAATTTTCATACCCTGTCATCTCTCATTATAAGTAGCTCAATAATGAAGTGAATGTCGCTTCTGTGTAGGGAACTGTGATCATAAAACAAAAGCAATAAAACGAAAAAGGAAAGTCAAAAGGCATAGAATACTTTTTTTATTTATTTAAGCAATAGTTTAAGTTAACATTAAATGTTTCTGACAGCTAGTCAGTCTAGGTGTTCCCTCATGCTAAGTAAGTCTTAGTTAAGAAATGGTTTAGTGAAAACGTTCTTTAATAATATTTCCTACCACCCATCCAAAACCCGACCTTGAAAATTTGCTTAACCTTCCAGTCTCGAGGGCCGTATGAATGCAAGATATGTCACATGTATCTGCCTACGTCATACAGTTTTAGTGTACACTCACTCATACATACACGGAGATATGAATGTTTAGTCTGTGGCCGGCGGATGATCGACAAACCGTCTATTATTGAACATTATAGGTAAGTCTTTTTTTACTATGAGTTTGGATGTTGAGTATCTCAAGTGAAATGAGTGTGGATGTTCAGTATTTTTTGTATAATGAGTATGGATGTTACCCTGTTTGAGGTTATGAGTGTGGATGTTGAATATTTCAAATAGAATGAGTATGGATTTTAAAGATTGCTAGTATAACGAGTGTGGATCTTGATCACTTCTAGTATAATGAGTGTGGCTGTTGAGTATATCCAGTATAATGAGAGTGGATTGGATGTTATCTTTATTGAGGTTATGAGTGTAGATATTTTTGTATCTATATCCCCATCAGTCCTCATGGGACTCTAGTAAATGTGTTAATTATTTTATTTATTTTCCAGAACACAACATGAAGGGTTACTAGTAATTTCACGTGTCAAATATGCGGTAAAGTATCTAAGTAAGTAAATATATACCACTGACAATAACAAACACAACAAAAAAAAAATATCAGCCAAATCGATCCAGTCATTCTCAAGTTATGGCGTGACAACGGAAAACGGGTTTCATTTTTATATTATATACACTAGTGGACCCGACAGACGTTGTCATGTAATAATACATAAATAATCTAGAATCGACTGCAGCGCCATCTGCCGGGCTGATTTGTCTAAACTAATCTAAACCATTCCCAGATCCCTTGGACACACACAAAAAATTCATCAAAATCGGTCCAGTCGTTTTAGAGTAGTTCAGTGACATACACACTCACAGAAGAATTATATATATAAAGATAATAATATTGCCTGCCTCGTTGGCCGAGTGGTCGCAAAAGTGACTGCCGGGCAAGGGTCTCGGGTTCGATTCCCGGGTCGGGCGAAGTACTAGTATGTTTTTTTTAAATCTCAGTAGTAGCACGGAGTCTGGAATTGTGCCCGGTATATGACAATAGTCTATTATATCATATCTATTACATGTGACTCATAACATAAATAATGAAAAAGTGTGTGTTACCTATGTGTGCACTTCTGCCTACCCCTTCGGGGATAAAAGACGTGACCCTAAGGTTGACTGGTAGAGAATGCCATATGGCATTAAGTTCGCTTAATGTGTCATAATCAAATTTTGTACATACATCCTTACTATCCTTACTAATATTATAAATTGGAAAGTGAGTTTGTTTGTTTGTTTGTTTGTTCTGCTTTCACGCCGTAACTATTAAACCGATTGCTTTGAATTTTTGCAGACGTTAAGTTAGAAGTCTGGATTAAATAATAGGGTACTATTTATCCCGAAAAAATTTGATATTCCCGAGGGAAAACAAAATTATTGATATAGATGGCGCTGTATGTATTGGTATATGTCACATAGGCTACTTTTTATCCTTTTGTGACGCGAGCGAAGCTGCGGATAAAAGCTAGTTGTATATATAAAGATAGATTATTTTATTTGCAGTAATAGTAAGACACATAGAAGCCACATGAGGAACAACCATGGCGGGGACAGACCGAAGTGTGACCAGTGCGGGAAACTTTCATCAATAAGGACTCACTTATTGAACATCAACAGTAAGTGTTTTTATAACAACTATCAGGGATGTTAGGGAGCTCCGTAACCGTAACCGAAACTATCGGATATCCGATATAAAAAATATCCGTAACCGTAACCGAATCCGAAATAAAAGTTTCGGATACTATCGGATAGCGGCGTGACGTATAAACGAAACAATTATATTAGCTATTTATTTGTATTTTACTTTTGAAATTCCTTAAAATTTTAATATCCGTAACCGAAATTATCCGAAACTAACGGATGATCCGAAATAATTTCATATCCGTACCCGTAACCGTATCCAGTATAATAATCATTTCTATATCCGTATCCAATCCGTATCCGAAATTTCATATCCATAACATTTAACTATCGTGAGACATACTTTTTTTTAATTGGGGGGAAATCCTCATGGTCTGCCTCCGCCTGGGGAAAGGCGGAGGGGTGTGCCGGACTGTTACCGGCTAAAACCCCCCAGTGTCTCCTCGCACGTGCGCGCGGGGCCGCGGGAGGCCAAATTCATCTGCAGAAAAAGAATTTCCCGTACCGGGAATCAAAGTCAAAGTCAAGCATTTATTTCAATTAAACCATAGTTCGGTGCTTTTGAAACGTCAACAAATACAAAATAAATAATAGTCTGTCAGTCAGTCCGTCAGTGAAGCTAGGTGAAGCTAGGTGCTCATTCCAAAAAGTAGATTCGAATGGAGAAGAACGAGCAAGAAACTACATTCGTTACTCTTTTAAAAAAATCGAACCCGAACCTCCTGGGTGGAAGCCAGGTATCCTAGCCACTTGACCATACGGGATGTATCGTGAGACATACTAAATGAAGTAAAAATCGCGGGTTACTCACGTGAATATACTGAGAAAAGCTCTACTAGTTTCGAACCACTGGTGAGTGAGCTGCGCGACGTCGCCGCGACCGCGCACGCTGCTCATGAGGAGAACCCCTCTGTGGTTCGAAACTAGTAGAGCTTTTCTCAGTATATTCACGTGTGTAACCCGCGTTTTTACTTAATCAACAGTAAGTACTCGATATAGCTCGACGTGCAGGAGTAGCAACGGGGTGGTTTTTAGTCAGTAAGAGTCTGACACTCCCTCCCGCCTCACCAGGCGGGAGCAGTCATTCGATGATTTTCCCCCTTCAAAAAAAGTATAGGTACTCAAAATAGTGATCATATGGAATAACAATAATAAAGTAGTCCAAGTCAAAATTGATTTTTTTTATGGTATAAGCCGGTAAACGAGCAGACGCATCACCTGATGGTAAGCAATCGGCGTCGCCCATGGACACACGGAACACCAGAGGCGTTACAAGTGCGTTACCGGCCTTTTGGGGATTCTTGGAAGTTCAGGGATTGGGGAGACTGGCGGGGGCGGTTGGGGGGTAATGGTTTTCTGCTCGTTGGTGGTATCACTCCGGTCGAGCCTCCGTGCTACTACTGACCTTTTTTTTAAATCCCATCAATATTTTGCCCGACCCGGAAACCGAACCCGAGACCCCTTGCCCGGCAGTCGCACTTGCGACCACTCGGCCAACGAGGCAGTCAACAATAATAAGCAGTATGCTTCAGCACTGCTGGGCCGGCTCGACCGGAGTGATACCATCAACGAGCAGAAAACTGTAGTGAAACAACCACAGCGTTGTGTGCAGGCGTGGGAGTGAGGTTACCGGAAGCACAATTACCCCCCCCCAATCTCCCCAATCCCTGAATCCCCTACAATCCTAATCCCCAAAAGGCCGGTAACGCACTTGTAACGCCTCTGGTGTTCCGTGTGTCCATGGGCGACGCCGATTGCTTACCATATTTTATACCTATTGTATCTTTTAGTTTTATAATTTAGCTTTTATCTTTTATTCTCACTCTCTTGTGTTACACTCTTATATTGTTATTTTCGTCGTCGGGTCGTAGTGGTCCAGAGGTTGTCGTAGTGGCCCGGAGGTTTAAGACGCTGGCTTCTCATGCATGAGAATGCGGGTTCGAAACCTATCAACGGCAAGTACCAATGTGACTTTTTCCGAGTTATATGTACTTTCTAAGATTATTTAGACACCACTGACAAACGGTGAAGGAAAACATCGTGAGGAAACCTGGGCTTATAATTTCTAATTATAAGTTTGTAATCGCCAACCCGCATTGAGCAAGCGTGGTGATTAATGCTCAAACCTCCTCCGTGTGAGAAGAGGCTTTGCTCAGCAGTGGGCATTATAGGCTGTTGATGATGATGATGATGATTGTTATTTTATTTAATTGTATTGTATTGCTACTTTTTGTTCCTTGCATTCATGCTGTATGCTGAATAAACTCTATTCATTTCATTTCATTCATTTCATCAGGTTATGCGTCAGCTCGTTTATAGGCTTATAACATAAAAAAATAATTACAAAAATTTCAGAATACATCTCGGTATAAAGAACTACGAGTGCACAGTATGCAACAAACGGTTCCGAACCCGGACTCAGATTCACAACCATCAGATGTCCCACACGGATGTCAAGGAGTTCTACTGCGTGGAGTGTGATGTCAGGTGAGCTATTAACATCGATATTGCATTCATTTATCACTAGCGACCAGCCCCGGCTTCACACAGGTGCAATGCTTATATAAATACTAGCTTTTACCCGCGGCTTCGCTCGCGTCACAAAAGGATAAAAAGTAGCCTATGTGACTATGTGAATAATTTCGTTTTCCCTCGGGAATATCAAATTTTTCCGGAATAAAAAGTACCCTATTATTATTTAATCCGGACTTCTAACTTTACGTCTGCAAAAATTCAAAGCAATCGGTTTAGTAGTTACGGCGCGAAAGTGGAACAAACAAACAAACTCATTTTCCGATTTATAATATTAGTAAGGATACATAACATCACGCCTTGTATCCCCGAAGGTGTAGGCAGAGGTGTACATTATGCCACTGTACAATGTAACACCCACTTTTCACTATTTATGTCATGAGTCCCATGTAATAGGGGGTCAGTCTATTGCCATATACCGGGCACAATTCCAGGCTCCGTGCTACTACTAAGATTTTTTTTAAACCCAGTGATACTTTGCCTGACCCGGGAATCGAACCCGAGACTCCTTGCCCGGCAGTCGCACTTGCGACCACTCGGCCAACGAAGCAGTCATATTTCATTAATATTTTCAGTAAGGACAATTCTTCTTTTCTTGTCGGAGCTTTTATTACTACCCATTTTTATTTTATCGTATAAGAAAACAATCATAACAGTCGGGTATACGATACCAGCGGAAAGATTAGCAGTGAAAGAAAGAAAGAAAGAAAATAATTTATTTGGTACAACACCAGGCACAAACACAATACAATAAATACAGAGCAAACAAAAAATTAGGAGTGAAATAAAAAAAAATAAGATAAGACAAAAATAGATGTAGGTAAGTATATACAAAATTTAAAAATACCAACAATAATCATGTGCCCGATAGCTGCACCAAAAAAGGTCCAGTTCAGCATACATGCCAGACATCTAGTGCCTGACGCTGGTTTTCAACTGAACCTGTGGCAGTGGTGATAACTGTATTCTTTTTTCACAGATTTAAAACTGCCAGTGGCTTGAAGACGCATTTATCGAAGAGCATGAAACATAGGGACAAGCAGAGCTTAAAGTAAGTAATTCCTACTAATATTATTATTTAGCGACCCGCCCCGGCATCGCACGGGTGCAACATGCATGTATTATACATATAAACCTTCCTTAAGAATCACTCTATCTATTAAAAAAAAACGTATCAAAATCCGTTACGTAGTTTTAAAGATTTAAGCATACATAGGGACAGAGAAAACACTTTGTTTTATACTATTACTAGCTTCTGCCCGCGACTTCGTACGCGCAATCCCATTTCCCCCCGTTCCCGTTCGTGATTTTCGGTAAAAAGTAAAAAAAAAAGTATTGTATAAAAAGTATCCTATGTCCGTCTCCTGGTTCTAATCTACCTCCCTGCCAATTTTCATCTAAATCGATTGAGGCGTTCTTGAGTTATAAATAGTGTAACTAACACGACTTTCTTTTATATATATATAGGTATAAAGCGGAAGAGTTTGTTTTTTTGTTTGTTTGTTTGAACGCGCTAATCTCTGTAACTACAAGTCTGATTTGAATAATTATTTTTGTGTTGGATAGCGCATTTATCGAGGATGGCTATAGGCTATAAAACATCACGCTACGACCAATAGGAGCTGAGCAGAGCGTGTGAAACCGCGCGGAAGTAGCTAGTGTAGTGATACGTGAAACAAGTGAATTTATTTCTGCAAATAGGCTACAAGGCAGCACTTTTACACGTCGGAACGATGTATTAACGTGTTTTTTAAGTGGATATAGCTGAAGGCATGGAGAGGGACATAGGGTTTCTTAATATTTGATAGGCTGTTTGTCCACTATCTCGCCTGGTGGTGCACGATGATGCGGTCTACGATGGAGCACGTCGTCCCATAAGCAACCTATTCACTCGGGCCTTGAAGACACACAGGTTATATCCTTCAGGAAATACAGACTCTGGCAAAGAATTCTAGTATTTGTTAAACTTAGGCGAAGGTGTTATTGTATTAATTAACTGAATTAAAAAAAGGGGCCTGAAATCGGTTTTTTCATACATAGTTTATAAAAGAATTATCTATATACTTATGTATAATAAAAGCGTAGGAAAGTGAAAATCTGTACATCGAATATTTATTTAAAAGAATGCTTTGGGCGTGATCTACAATCGATACCAAAACCAAAAATATGTTTTTTTGAATTTTTGTCTGTTTGTCTGTATGTATGTCCGGGATTAACTCAAAAAGTACTGCATGGATTTACTTGAAATTTTGCATGAATATTACTAACAGGTCCGGTCAACATATAGGCTACATATTATCATGCTATTAACTATAGGGGAGGAGCTGTGAATCACTATTCCACGCGGACGAAGTCGCGGGTAGTAATAATAAGTAGTTAACTATAACATAACATAACATCACGCCTTTTATCCCCGAAGGGGTAGGCAGAGGTGCACATTATACCACTGTACAATGTAACACCCACTTTTCACTATTTATGTTATGAGTCCCATGTAATAGGGGTGAGCCTATTGCCATATACCGGGCACAATTCCAGACTCCGTGCTATCTTTAATATATCTGTGGTGCTATTACTGAGAATATTTAAAAACCCAGTAATACTTTGCCCGACCCGGGAATCGAACCCGAGACCCCTTGCCTGGCAGTCGCACTTACGACTACTCGGCCAACGAGGCAACATTAACTATAATTGACGATAAATTATCATTTTAGACACGCATGCACCCGTTGCCCGGCTCGCTACGCATGCGCGACGTCCCTGGCAGCGCATATACGCGTACAACACGAGGGACTCCGCCCCCACGTGTGCGGGGACTGCGGGGCTGCGCTAGCGACACGGTCCTCGCTCGCTAAACACATGCATTCCGTACACTTGGGCCTTCGCCCCCCGCCGAGACATGTGTGTGATACCTGTGGGAAGGCGTTTAGGGTGAGTTTTTACATATATACATTGTTTGTTAAATAGTTCTGCCGCACGAATCTAGATGGCGTTGTTAAAAAACGTCACAATATACATCGCGGTATAGGTTTTCTGTGAGGCCGTGGTATCACTCCGGTCGAGCCGACCCATTACTGCCGAAGCATGGCTCTCCCACACTTAAAAATGATATAATTTCTTTTCTACCCAGGGTAAAAGTGTTTTGATCAACCACGCTCGGACTCACACTGGCGAGAAACCATTCGAATGTCACCACTGCGGACGAAGGTTCGCGCAGCGGACGTCTATGCGTACTCATGTTAAACTGGTACATCTTAAACTGCGGCGGAGCGGGAAGGTAACTATCTTTTGACAGACATTGTCCTGTAATAATAGGTATAGATAAATAACCTAGAAACCAACTGCAGTGGCATCTGCCGGGCTGAGTTGTGAATCTAAACCATTCCCAGATCCCCTTGAACACACACAAAAAATCGGTCCAGTCGTTTGAGAGAAGTTCAGTGACATACACACTCACAGAAGAATCCTTACTTCCTTACTAATATTATAAATCTGAAAGTGAGTTTGTTTGTTTGTTTGTTTGTTCCACTTTCACGCCGTAACTACTAAACCGATTGCTTTGAATTTTTGCAGACGTAAAGTTAGAAGTCCGGATTAAATAATAGGGTACTTTTTATTTTATTGATATTCCCGAGAAAAAACAAAAGTATTGGTATAGATGACGCTGTGTGTATTGGTATATGTCACATAGGCTACTTTTTATTTAATTTGTGACGCGAGCGAAGCCGCGGGTAAAAGCTAGTTATATATATAAAGATGGGCCGACAAATAAGGGCTGCCACCGTCCACTATGCGACTTTTGACGTCATCATTCGTCAAAACTATAGACTGATATAACGTCACCGCTTCGTTTTTTTTTTACATTTGATGGGCCGACGTTTGCCCACTATCTCGCCTGGTGGTGCACGATGATGCGGTCTACGATGAAGCACGTCGGCCCATAAGCAACCTATTCACTCGGGCCTTGAAGACTCCCAAGTTATATACCCTTCAGGAAATACAGACTCTGGCAAAGAATTCCACTCCTTATCTATTTTGTAGTGTGACTTACCCTAGCTTTATAGTGTTGCTTACCCGTAGTGTAATATACCCCAATGTGGTCACGGACAAATTTTTGTTTTGTCCTTGTTTTCATTGCATAATAACCTCCTATATTATTAGGATGTCGCGGAGAACCTAACGGGTTACCGGGGCTCCGGCTCGACGTGCAGGAGAAGGAGCGGGGTGGTTTTTAGTCAGTAAGAGTCTGACACTCCCTTCCGCCTCACCCAGGCGGGAGCAGCCATACGATGATTTTTCCCCCTTAAAAAAAAAAAAAAAAATATTATTAGAATTCGAAACTAAATTTCGCCATTACCAATAACGTTTAAATATGTTTTTATAATAACTATCGTGAGACATACTAAATTTTACTCACGTGAATATACTGAGAAAAGCTCTACTAGTTTGGAACTACAGAGGGGTTCTTCCTCATGAGCATCGTGGCGGTCGCGGCGATGTCGGGTAGCCTACGTTTAAATAGCTTAGTCGAGAAATCGGGTGCCTTCCACACAGGACATTATGGTTCAATCCTCGCCGCGAATGTTTCTTTTATATTGTCCTTTTTCTATTTTATCTTTTGTTCTATTTTACTTACTTATTTTTTAACTGTACTTAAACACACACCGAGTAAAGTACGGTCATCCAGCTATATCTACTTTATATTGTAACTTACCCCCCTACTCAAATCGTAACTTACCCCTTACCCGACATTACTGAGTACCATATTATGGGGTGCCAAGTATCAAAGAATTTTTTACATAATAATTTCTTAACTAAATTTTTGCTATTACAGATAAAACCAGTAGCGATAATCGATGTCCAATCCTCTCGAGTCGACGTGTTCAAACCGGAACCACCTGTAGCAGAGACCTGGCGGCAACCCTGTGACGTGTACTTCCAAGTCACCGCGGGGCCCTGAAACCTGTGGACCTTGAAAATCAACAGGCCCCTGAGAGCTATGGAGCGTTAAAATCTGTGGACCACTGAGAGCTATAGTGCCCAAATTTATTATGCCTCTGATACCTAAGGGGTCCGAATACATGTGGGACCCATATGAATAAAGGGCCGTAAAATCCCTGAGAAATATGGGGCCCCAAAACATGTTGGGCCCATAATGCATACTCGCACCCAAAAACCTGTGTGCCATGTTGAGATATACAATCGCTTTAACAATACAACGAAATATAAATTTAAAATTTCTTTAAAATTCCTAAAAAAAGTTATTCATTATTATTATTCATTATGATTATCGATGATTGGGTTTTATATATTTTAAATATAATTTATGCATGCGTCACTGCCTGTCTTTTATCATGCAAACATCGTACCGCCAAATATTTGTTACGTTTTAAACCTTCCACGTCCATTTCAAGACCAAAGTGAGCCAAATCGGTTCAGCCGTTCTTGAATTTTAACGAGACTAACGAACGGAGATTCATTTTTATTTATATAAATATATAGATACATAGTTGGGCACAGTTAATCAAATATGTAGTTAACTTCGTTAATCTTTAATCCGCTACAAAAAAGTTAGCTTCGTTAAACGTTAAAGCGTTACATTTCGGAAGAATTAACGCAAGTTAATGTTAATCGTTAATCCGTTAATATATGTAAAATTACATTTTTATATCGTTGCGTTAGTGAACTTAAAAACTAAAAAAAAAATTCTCAGGTCTCTCCTCTCAGTCGCACGCGCCGGCCAAATATATCTAGTTTGGTTTTTTTTTCACGCGCTTCCACGCGCCGCCCGGCACTTGTCATTTCATACTTGTCTGAATCTGTTTTTCGCGCCACGCCGCGGCGGCACCGCGGTAAATAGTAGGCATTGGATTAACGATTAACGGACTTCTGCATTTTGCTTTTCAACGGAAGTTAACGTGTCCGTTAACTTAAAAATTAGAATGTTAACTTCGTTAATTACCGATTAACGGATTAACGAGTTAATGCCCAGCTATGTATAGATATCTGAGGCCAGGATCTTAATAAATGATTTGTACAGCCATCTTACTATCAAGTGTACTTAGTTATTCTAATGGCCACGCATTGAAAAGTACTTATAATATCGATATGATCTCAATTAAAGGTTTTATTTGAAAACTTGATAATACATTTATTTTAACCTGTCCGTTGGAATTTCCCCCCCTTCCCGACGACAGATCGATCTGATATTTAGTACACACTCTTAATGACTGTGTCGCGGAGAAACTATTAGGGTAACCGGGGCTCCGACTCGAAGTGCAGGAGAAGGAACGGGGTGGTTTTTAGTCAGTAAGAGTCTGACACTCCCTCACGCCTCAGCCAGGCGGGAGCAGTCATTCGATGATTTTCCTCCCTTATAAAATAATCTTAACTCGTCGAGTACCGGTTTTATAGACACAATTAAAGAACAATAGGTCGCGGTCACCGGTGACCGCTTGGTGTTTGACAGTTTAATGACCATACAATATAATCTAATGTTCCACAACTACCTCCATTATGGATATCAAACGAAAGGGCTTGGTTGGTAGAATAGAGCTGATTGGCATAAACAATATTTTTGTGTATAACTTGTCATATTCTTCAACTGATGGTAGCGTGGGCTATTCAAGCAATACATCACCATCAACAGCCTACATGCCCACTGCTGAGCAAAGCCTCTTCTCACACGGAGAAGGTTTGAGCATTAATCACCACGCTTGCTCAATGCCGGTTGACGATTACAAACTTATAATTAGACATTATAAGCCCAGGTTTCCTCACTATGTTTTGGCGATACATACCCACATATAATTGTGTTCAAATAAAGTATTTATGAAAAGTTTTCTAAGTACTTAGTTGGGTTTTCATGTATATAAGATAATAAGTGAATTGTGAACTGATTGTATTTTGAAAATAAACTATTTTTGTATTAAATTTTGTTTTTTTCTTCTCTCAATTTTATTATACTTAGCGTGTTCACCCTTAAACTGTGTCTTAACTAAAAGCGAGCAGACAGATCATCTAATGGTTAGCAATCGGCGTCGCTCATGGACACTGGAACACTAGAGGCGTTACAAGTGCGACTGCTGGCGATAAAAGGCGTGATGTTATATTTATTTATTTTAAAGCTTCATGCACAAAATGTACATAAGGCGGACTTAATGCCGCAGGCATTTTCTCCCAGTCTGACCTTTGGGTGATGCAGAGAAGAGTTAATGGTGTGAGCAAGAAGCAAGCAACTATTTAATAGAGCAAATAAAATAGATACACTTACATATTGCAGAGATAAATGAGATTATATTATGTATTTTTTTTTCTATCACGACGGAATTCCTCATGGACTTCTCACATCTTAGGCATGACGGAGGCGTGTGCCGGACTCCTACCCGCTAAAACCACTGCGGTGTTCCTTCACTGCCTATGTCCGTGACCCGGGTTGCCCTTACAGAATCACCACACCCGGCAGACCTCGACTTACAGCTATGTTTGTGGCCTTGGAAGACTGCTCCCTTTCCTCGAGTTACTTACTACTTACAGTTTGTTTATAAATATTTCACATCGTTTCACGTATCATTTCACATAATCTAAGTAAAAAATGGTAGAAATTTAAATATTGGTCTTGGCAACACTAATTTTAATGTTACCATGTCGCGACTTACGATGTTCGTCGTAGATTCCAAACGCGACGTCGCATCGTGGTACGACTCGACGTCGTATCATTTTATACTATTACGAGATACCATGCCGCGCGGCTCACTCGCGCGGTCATAAAACAAAAAATGTAGTATATGCAGAAGTTCTTTAAAATAATTTAATTTACTTTAAAAATTGTACAGATATAGTTGGGAACTCGAAAAAAAAAACATAGGTTTTATCCTGAAAATTCTGCGGGAACTGGACCATCCCGAAAATCCCGCAAGAACGGGAACTATGTGGGAAGAACCAAAAATCTGCCGGAAGTCACTATTCCACGCAGACGATGTCGCGGGCAAAAGCTAGTACTATTATATAAAGCGAAAGAGTTTGTTTTTTTGTTTGTTTGTTTGAACGCACTAATCTCCGTAACTACAAGTCTGATTTGAATAATTATTTTGTGTTGGATAGCGCATTTGTCGAGGATGGCTATAGGCTATAAAACATCACGCTACGACCAATAGGAGCTGAGCAGAGCGTGTGAAACAGCGCGGAAGTAGCTAGTGTTTAAATAAATGTGTCCCGGGCCTCACGCGACAGATGTCCGTGTAGACATGTGTGTATTCTACGTGGAAGTCTATAGTAGCCAAGTCAGTTGTCTCAAGAGACTGTGTCCGACATTTTTTCAACGTCTTTGCAGGAGCTGATTGATTACAGCTGATTGTAAAACAGTACCTAACCTATAGAGTTTCTTGTTCCCCTATACTTTATACTCTCTGGTTTCTTGCTCGTTCTCACTCGAAAAAACGTCTTCACTCGAGGTCAGAGGTACGAGTTTGTAACGTAACAAGTACACGTTCGGCGCTCTGATTGGTTGCTTCATTGGCAACGGCCAATCAGATTGCCTAACGCGTACTCGTAACGAATACTTTAAACGTAAATGACTGACACCTAATTTTTTTTTATTTGTTGACGTTCAAAAGTTTCTACCTGGTCTAATTTAAATCTTGATTTTGAATCTTGCCTTAGACTCAGTGTATAGTTTCTCATATCTTTGAAAAAAGGGCGAAAAGAAAACAAAGTTTAAATAACAAGATGTATATTTTTGATTACAAAACAATAAATATAAAAAACATGTTAAAATATCAGATTGATCGAGTGGTCAGGTGCAATTATTGAGCCAGTTCAAATAAAGTGCTATTGAATATTATCGGTGTTAAAAAAATCTCAGTATGACGTCTAGCCGTTTCCACCAACCACCCCTAAACCGCCTCTTAACTAACAGATACCTACTTATTGTGATGTATTTTTTATGGTATTTTTTTAAGTTGGGAAATTCATCGAATGACTGCTCCCACCTGGGTGAGGCGGGAGGGAGTGTTAGACTCTTACTGACTAAAAACCACACCGTTCCTTCTCCTGCACTTCGAGCCGGAGCCCCGGTTACCCGTTAGGTTTTCCGCGACATTTTTTATGGCCGGTAATCGGCGTCGCCCATGGTCACACGGAACACCAGAGGTGTTACAAGTGCGTTACCGACCTTTTGAGGATAAGGTGTTTGAGGATTGTTGGGAAATTAGGGATTGTGGAGATTGGGAATTAATTGGAGCTCCAGTAACTTCACTCACACGACGTGAAACAACGCAAGCGTTGTTTCACGTCGGTTTTCTGCTCGTTGGTGGTATCACTCCGGTCGAGCCGGCCCAGCAGTGCCGAAGCATGGCTCTCCCACACTTAAAACGTCGCACCTAAACTAACGCTTTACTGTTAGATGTCACTTATAGGTTAGTGAAAACCAAAATGCCCTTAAATGTCACCTATCTTAGCTTAGGGGGCTTCTTCTTTAGGAGAGGTTGATAAAAACGGCTAATTTTCGTCTGTTATTACATGGGACAACATATTTAGTGAAAAGTAGGTGTTACATTGTATATTTGTTTGCACCTCTGTGTACGCCTTGACCGGTAGTATTTAATCCTTGCTGGAATGTTCACATGTGAGCACATAGATCGGTGGTGCGGGTACCAAAAGCACTGGAGCATCTGCAATGAAAACTTTGTTAGTAACCCTTCTGTTCTGTAACCACTACTTGTATCAGAAATGTAACGGGACGGTACTGCGTTCTGACATACAGGCAACGCAGGAGACAGAGCTCAATGTATTTAGATGTGGTATATGAATAAAGAATAACTTTTTCCTCTCTCTCTCTCTCTCTCTTTGTTGTTAGTTTATTCTCCGTACCTCAGTTTTCGCAGATTTTCTACTTAAACCCTAAGGTTGACTGGTAGAGAATGCCATATGGCATTAAGTTCGCCTTATGTACCATAAACAAATTATGTACATTAAAGAATAAATAAATAAAATAATTATTATGTATGTCTTTAACATTCATGGGACCACAGGATCCCGGTCATTTGGGAGCCGTACGAGGGGCCGAAGCCAACTATGCAGAGGCCCTTTAGACAACTTTAATCTAAATGTAATGGACACACAAACCGGCGACCATCCCTGTATGCACTATGGAAATGCACCCAAGGACTATTGTGGAACTTTTGTGGACAATGGTAAAAAAAGGTAGGGCTATGGATGGGTTGCTGTGGACTGGTAAATTGGGAGCTATAGATGACTGTAGCACCTGCCGAAACAATGTAAGTATTGCACGTAAAAATGGCAGGCGGAAACTCGCCAACTCACCGACCGGGCCCCGGGAATGGTTGCTAGATATAGCAACAGAGGGACAACGGAAGTGTGAGTAGCTCAATGGTTTAGAAACTACCACTGCTTTCTACTCAGATCATCAGCTCCTGCATCCCTGACCTACTCGCGGCTTACGAATAGTTTCTTACCCTCCGAGCAGGATCACTGCTCTCGCGACTCCACTCTAGACGGCCAATGAAGACAAGCCAGAGGTGGGAGATACACTTTTATGTTTTTTTTTTTAAACATTGGGGCAATGTTTAAAAAAAACATAGGACACTAGGATTTTCTCCTGATACTGAGAGACACCCAGACCCGGAGCAACAATTTGTGGATCACCAAAGAGTTGCTCTGTGCGGGAATCGAACCCACTACACGTTGCGCAGCAGCCGGTTGCCCTAGCCACCGCCAACCGTGCAGTAACTCCTCTAGTATTGCTAGTGTCTATGGGCGGCGCCGATTGCTTACCATCAGGTGATACGTTTACTCGTTTGCCGGCTTATGCCATAAAAATTCTTTTGCAAGCATGATGTATGAAGTCATTTTTTTTGCACTTTCTCCGCCATCTTAAGTCGAGTGTGCCTATATATGTAATACTAGATAAATAGGTGCTATATTTAGAACTTTGAACTTACCACAAATGTTATTGCAATGATTTTTCAAATTATCCAAAGACCCGTGGTGGCAGTTTTTGCTGAAAAATCATATTTTTGTATTAATTTTCATTTTTAGGTGTGGCAACACTAATGTTTGTATATGTTAATTTGAAATGATTAGTACTTAATAGAATAATATAGATTGTGTTGGATATAAGTAAGTACGTATTTGATGCCGAATTTTAGTCAATCTGTTACAAATGAAAACCACTTTAACACGAAGAAATTCAAAATGAAGTCTGAGAGTCAGAGTCAAAATGAACACATGAGTAGTGATAATTTTCATTCCTCAAAAAAGGTAGGTATGTAGGTACTTTATGATTTCCTCGTTAACTAGCCTCATCCTCCTTCGCAAAGGCTAACAAAGTACTTGTAACGCCTCTAGTATTGGGGATGTGCATGGGGGACACTGATCGCATTTCATCAAGAGATCCACCTTCACATTTATAAAATCCGAGCCGATTTCCGAATGGGCCGGCTCGACCGGAGTGATACCACGGCCTCATAGAAAATCAACGTGAAGCAACCCTTGCGTTGTTTCATCATGTGAGTGATGTTACCGGAGGCCAAATTAGGGCTCCCCTTCCCCAATCTCCTTAAGCCCTTAATCCCCAACGATCCTCAAACTCCTAATCCTCAAAAGGCCGGTAACGCATTTGTAACGCCTATAGTGTTCCAGGTGTCCATGGGCGACGCCGATTGCTTACCATCAGGTGATCCGTCTGCTCGTTTACCAGCTTATGCCAAAAAAACTTTATATTGAAAGATATTTATAAAAAAAAACTAGATAATAATAAAAATAAACTCACCACTGATCACCCAAGTTATTCAACGACTGTGACAAGGAACATTGTCCCACAACATTGTTTAAGTCAGCGAGGGAACAAGCTTGCCTTAACCTCGCAACCAGCTTATGTGGTATACTTAAACTTTGCGACGAGCTCGAACAATCACTCCCAACGCACTTACTTCCGTCCGTACTCTCAACATTAATCTTCGGAACGTCACTGTCACTTTGACATTGACATTTGCAGCCAGAGTTGCCAGCTTCAGAAGAAATGGTAGGATTGGTAGAATTGTTAATTGTAGGTCGATTTACAGAACGATGTATATTAGGATCTGAGGCGTAGGTTTGACCGAATTTTTCAGGAAATGAACGGTTTTCTTGTATTTATTCATCATTGAGTGTTGGTACTGTCCTCTGCGAGGTGATGTGTTTCGGGAGCGGTTTGGTGAGGTGTACGCTGAAGAAGTTTGTGTAGGACGCTTTAATTTTGGATTTTTCAGCTCGTATTCTGCCGCTATCGCTTCGAACACCTGAAAATTGAGTTTTAAAGTGTTTAAACTCAAGTTTTAGCGGCGTAACTTATGTAGAATTTAAAATTATGTGTAGGTTTATTTATTGATTGTTAACATAACATAACATCACGCCTTTTATCCCCGAAGGTGTAGGCAGAGGTGCACATTATGCCACTGTACAATGTAACACCCACTTTTCACTATTTTGTTATGAGTCCCATGTAATAGGGGGTGAGCCTATTGCCATATACCGGGCACAATCCCAGACTCCGTGCTATTACTGAGAATTTTTAAAAACCCAGTAATACTTTGCCCGACCCGGGAATCGAACCCGAGACCCCTTGCCCGGCAGTCGCACTTGCGACCACTCGGCCAACGAGGCAGTGATTGTTAAGTAAAGTTGTATATTACTATGTTCAACAAATCTTTAGAATGGTGATAGATATTTTTAAATTGGTCTACCAGTTTCGCAACCTATGTTGACTGTACAACTACTAAACAATCAGACGTTATTAAATGAAATTTTTTTTTTCATTATAGAATAGTCGGGTAAAATCAGTGCTGTGTAACCTGTATGCCTGGCTTACACTGAGTGGGTGACCCTTTTAGCATAGGCATGTTGTCAGCGTCTCTTTTCTAATTCTTCTGTTTTAATTTTTCAACTCTTATATTTTTATTACTTCCACTGTCACATCTTGATTGTCTTTTTTTATTTTTTATTTATCCTGCATCGTGCCTGGTGTTAAAATGTTTTTTCTTTCTTTCTTTCTTTCTAAAAATAGACCAGAAATTAAATAAGTATAAAAGCTTTTTACCCACCTGTTCAGCAACCAAGTTCCTTGCGTAAGGCGAGTTCTTAGATGGCAGAGCTTCCCTGCATAACGCACAGCGCTCCAACCTGATCCAACAAGCTGAAAACATAAGGAAATTGATGAGGAGAAGAAAATTTTACGTGTGAGAGTACTTCCGCACTGCTCTGCCGGCTCGACCGGAGTGATACCACGACCGAGCTGTACACTGTCGTGAAACAACGCTTGCTTTGTGTTTACTTGCGTCGGGGATTGCGGGACGATCTCCAGGCACCGTAAGCGCGGGCCTGCGGACAGCGAGCATGGGTAGCTTTGCCGTCCGACCAGAACCAGACCCGAACGAAGGCGCGTCGCGTTCCGCGCGCGCCTCAAAGAGCCATCAGACCACCACAGATGGGGCCCAATAGGGCTGATGCCGATACGGAGCCGCGGAGAACCTAACGGGTTACCGGGGCTCTGTCTCGAAGTTCAAGAGGAGGGACGAGGTGGTTTTTAGTCAGTAAGAGTCTGACACTCCCTTCCGCCTCACCCAGGCGGGAGCAGACATTCGATGATATTCCACCCTTAAAAAAAATGCTCCCATGGGATAAGACACAAATACGCGAGTAGAACCTAGTTAGTAAATACTCACGTTCGCAGTAGACGTGCGAGCGCGCGCAGGACAGCGGCTTGGTGGCGGTGGACGCGCACACGCAGCACGCCAGCGCGCGCACCACGCCCGACAGCGCGCGCCGGGACTTCTCCCCGCGGACACCGCCGCCACAGCTCCATAGCAACTGGACAAGTAACGTACATCGATGGTACCAAGTTTTGTTTATAAGATAACTAGCTTCTGCTCGCGACTTCGTACGCGTAATCCCATTTTTTCCCGTCCCCGTTCGTGATATTCGGTAAAAAGTAAAAAAAAAATGTTGGTTAAAAAGTATCCTATGTCGGTCTCCTGGCTCTAAGCTACCTCCCTACCTATTTTCAGCCAAATCTATTCTGCCGTTCTTGAGTTATAAGTGGTGTAACTAACACTCAAATTAATATATCGTCGAAAGTTAAATGTAATTTGGTGAGAAAAGAAAATATACGTAGTTATCTAAAGTTTTAAATTAATGTACCAGACGGACATTAAAATAAAATTTAGGAAACTACCCTATTCGTTATGAGCTAATTAATGGTAACATGTAAACAGTGACAGCCTCGTTGGCCGAGTTGTCGCAAGTGCGCCTGCAGGGCAAGAGATCTCGGGTTCGATTCCCGGGTCGGGCAAAGTATTCCTGGGTTTTTAAAAAAATTCTCAGTAGTAGCACGGAGTCTGGAATTGTGCCCGGTATATAGCAATAGGCTCACCCCCTATTACATGGGACTCATAACATAAATAGTGAAAAGTGGGTGTTACATTGTACAGTGGCACAATGTGCACCTCTGCCTACCCCTTCGGGGATAAAAGGCGTGATGTTATGATGTTATGTTATGTAAACAGTGACTTGTGTCATTTGAAGTGTACCTCAGGGTCATCCTTGGGATCCACTCCACAGTTCCACACGATCAGAGAGACTCCTCCACCTTCACCATCCCCTCTTATCAGACCAGCTACTTGACTCACCTGGAACATACAAAAACACCGTGGTTTTCTCGGTCAGAGGTTAAGCATTGCCATACAACGTGGCAATGCTGCCAGCCTTCTGGGTACTTTTCCCACTGACGTCGATGCGGACGAATTTTTCGACGCTTTATGTAAATAGTGGTTTTTGTTTTTTCTTATAATTAATTTTAATCTTAAGTTGTAGAGGTATATATACATATTTAATTTAGTCATATTTAGTTTTAATTTTTTTTAAGTAATAGTTAGTCTTTAATTTAAGTTTTTTATTAGAATATATGACATTTAAAATACCGTGAAATCATCTATTTTGTTTTCATCCCGCGACAAATCAACTAGCCATAAGGAGTACTTTCGATGTATAAAGTAAGTAGTTTGCTTCATGCAATGGTTCACCAGTTATTTTTTATTTGTACAACTATTGTATTACCGATACAGAACCATTTTACTTCGGGAAGAAAACGAAATACATTTCACGGTGTATAAAGACTATTTAAAGTACAATTTCAATGAGCTCTATTCCACCAATCAAGCACTTTCATTTGATATCCATAATGGAGGTAGTTATGGCAAATTACTAAATACTAAGTCAATCTATGTGGCCTACTCATAATATCAGTCAGAATCTTGGCGTTTGGCTTTCTATCGCTTTAACTTAATATATAATATATGATATAATATAATATATAAATATGATATAATATAATATATAAATAGGTTATTATATCATATATATGTATATTCAACGGACCGAAATTTGCCCACTATCTAGCCTGGTGGTACACGATGACGCGGTCTACGATGGAGCACGTCGTCCCATAAGCAACCTATTCACTCGGGCCTTGAAGACACCCAGATTTTTGAATTTTGAATTTGACTCCTTAGCAGTACGCACAAGGAAGCTTAATGTGAAGCGCTTCGTGCGTGTGGGCGGGGCATCTACCATAATTCGGTAACTTACCGGGAGACCAAGCAGGTCCTTTCCATCAGCTTGTAGGAGACAGTCTCCTGGTTTGAGTCCTGCTTCATCAGCTCTTCCGTTTGGTGTTACTTCCCGTACCTGAATATAATAAAATCAAACAAATTTAATGGCATAGAATGATGGGTATACGGACACATATCGCTACATACATAGTATAAAACAAAGTAGCTTCCCGCTGAATATCCCCATGTATGCTTAGATCTTTAAAACTAGGAAGATTCATAGGTATGTCATCATCAACAGCCGGGAGACATCCACTGGTGGACAAAGGCCTCCCCCTTAGTCCTCCAAGTCGAACGATAACTCGCCACAACAAGTATTTTTTATTTTCTTACAAAAACGAATACTTTCGACGATATATTGATTTGAAATGTCGCGTGACGTCACTTCTATGTACATTTTATACGTAGAAATGACGTTTTAACCCCCACTCCCAAACTTTGATTCGTTTTATCTAAGTATTGTTTTATTATACGACAAAATAAAAATATACGTGTCTAATATTTTTTCATTACCTAACTTACGGACTAATCATATTTTTAATTTTCATACCCAGTCATCGTTCTAATTGTACTCACCCAAGGATACGGGTCCCATAGAGTCCTGGTGAGTCGGAACCCTAGCCCTTCGCCCTCATCTTCCGGGAGATTTAACTGTAAACATACAACAATATTAATAATCATACAATCAGCCATACTGTCCATTGCCGGCACGATTTGCGCTGTGGTTGGGCAACTGACTGCCGCACAACGTGTTGTCGGTTCGATTCCCGCACGGAACAACTATTTGTGTGATCCACAGCAGAGTTGTTTCACGCACCCACGAAACAAGAGGATATCATAGTGTAGTAAAAATGTTATTTTGGTATGTGTATCGCATGCGTGTAGTAAAAAGAGGATATTTTAATATTACAAACAGACATTTTATTTATCTATCTGTATAAATTATTAGGCAGTCACAAAGATCAGAAATATCAATTTGTTGATCACACAAATTACTGCGAAGTGGACATTATCCCACAAAAAGTTTCGCATTTCTAATGAAAAAGGTAAATTCACCTAACTGTGAAGTATGTGGCAAGTTGGATGATGTTTATCATATGTTGGTGGAGTGTGTTAAATAGGTGGCGAGGGACTCACTAATGCGACATTGCTATATATAGAGGTATAAAAGAAAGTCGTGTTAGTTACACCACTTATAACTCAAGAATGGCAGAATAGATTTGGCTGAAAATTGGTAGGGAGGTAGCTTAGAGCCAGGAGACCGACATAGGATACTTTTTAACCAATACTTTTTTTTTACTTTTTACCGAAAATCACGAACGGGGACGGGAAAAAATTGGATTACGCGTACGAAGTCGCGGGCAGAAGCTAGTAATATAAAAAAATATGATTTGGGATCTTTTTCTAGTATTTTGTCAGAACCTTTAAGCAATGCTGCACGATCTATTATAAGGATGTTGCAACAGCGACCCGCTGGTATTTGATATTTCTAATTAATTTTTAGTTAATTCAAAATGTTTTAGATGGATAAGATTGGGCTTTTTTTATTTTATTTTTTTTAAGGGGGGAAAATCATCGAATGACTGCTCCCGCCTGGGTGAGGCGGAAGGGAGTGTCAGACTCTTACTGACTAAAAACCACCCCGTTCCTTCTCCTGCACGTCGAGCTGGAGCCCCAGTTACCCGTTAGGTTCTCCGCGACAGATAAGATTGGGCTACGATGGGGCTGCCGTAGCCTATTGGTTAAAAGCCCCTAAAATAAAATAGATAAAAAAAAAAATACTCGGTGCCCATGGAAATCGAGTCCACGATACATTTTTATTGTACCACGGCTACACATCAAGCTTTACATAACCAGTATAAACTGCACGTTAAATGTGCGGAAAGATGATGCGACGCGACACCAGGATAAACTGGTTTTGTATAGATTCATGTGTGGCCGTGTGTACAAAACAGTCGGCAGTCAAATCGTGTGAGCTTTAGCCTCAAATTCGACACGGTCAAGGCCAAATACGATTTCAAAATCAAAGTGTGGGCTCGCCATGCTTCGGCACTGCTGGGCCGGCTCGACCGGAGTGATACCACGACCGAGCAGAAAACCATAGTGAAACAACCACAGCGTTGTGTTACGTCGTGTGAGTGAGGTTACCGGAGGCCCAATCCCCTGAATCCCCAATGATCCTCAAACTCCTAATCCCAAAAAGGCCGGTAACGCACTTGTAACGCCATGGTGTTCCAGGTGTCCTTGGGGGACGCCGATTGCTTACCATCAGGTGATCCGTCTGCTCGTTTACAGGCTTATGCCATAACAAAATGGAAATAGACATTTAATATCGTTCGCCAATCGTTGACCGAGTGGTCGCAAGTGCGACTGCCGGCAAGGGGTCTCGGGTTCGATTCCCGGGTCGGGAAAAGTATTACTAGGTTTAAAAAAAATCTCAGTAGTAGCACGGAGTCTGGAATTGTGCCCGGTATATGGCAATAGGCTCACCCCCTATTACATGGGACTCATAACATAAATAGTGAAAAGTGGGTGTTACTTCTGTGCACCGCTGCGGTTTATCCCTTCGAGGATAATAAGCGTGATGTTATGTTATGTTATACATTTAATACTTGCGTATCAGCCCACCCACTCATGAGGAACCACTTCCTCGTCTCTCGAACAGTTCCGAATCCGGCTGACATTGACATTAAAACGATTAATAAATCACCTTCACATTTTGAACGACACACGATGCATAACCTCGCTCGAACGAGTTTATCAAACTAATAGCGTTACTGACTGGCTTTTACTGCATGTATGTACATTATATTTACAGTCGATTGCACTATGAGTCTCCTCTACATAAGAGGGTTTGTCATAATCTCCGCAGGCAGGCGGGTTGGGGGTCGCAGTATACAAGGTTCAGGTTTATCAGAGAGCGTCTCTAAGAAACGTACTGGTTTCGGCCGAAATTATATTCAAATTCCATATGTTAGTTTGATTTTTGACATAACCTACTTGCATGATCGTCCAGAGATTTCGAATTTAGCATCCAATCTCAGTATACAAGGTTCAGGTTCATCAGAGAGCGCTGCTGCACGGTATCTGTCTAATGTGGAGTGTTGAAGATGATTAGACGGCCCGCCCGGCGAATAATATTATTATTTTAAGTTAAATGTCATGTTAGTGAAACATAATGTTTTTTGTTATAGGTAACATAATGTTTATTATAAGTCATTAGTACAGACAGTGTATTGATTTGTGTTTGGATTGATTAAATAGTCTGTGGAGCCTCAGCGCGGCATGTTCAAACGGACCAATCGCGTTCGCGTATTTTATTTCGGCGCATGCCCGCACGGCGGCGCGCGGAGCGGTGGCGTTCCGCATCCTGCGTCCGCCATACTTTTTTTGTTCAGTTCACACGTTTGTACCCGACGACCAAGACGCCCACGCGTGATTGCACGCGCAGAGATGCATGCCCGCTGATCGCTCCCAGTTTAAATCAATAACTGTAGTTTCTCATTTCTTTACCTCGCGCGCACCCGCATCGGCCACAAAGTGGCCCTTCGAGCCGGATCTAAGGACAAGATCAAGCGCGCGAACGAGAAAATGTCGTTATTTCGTACACCGACGCGTGGCGTTAGGACACGTGCTCACACTAAGGAAGAATTAACGGCTAACGAAGAAAAGAAGCTAGAAGCGAAATCAGAAGTGCAGTGCACGAGCAAAGACGTCGCAGATCGTCCACCACGTGCGAACTCGTGTGGCGAAAATGGCGGCGGCGCACGGCGCGGCGCCCGCGATGGCGCACGTTCTCACACGTCGTCGTCCACAGCGCGACGGCTGCGCCTTCAATATGAAACAGCCAAAGCGGAGATTGAGTTAGAGGAAGCGCAAGCCCAAGCTCAATCCCAAGCTCAATTAGCAAAAGAAAAAGCGCGCATTCAGAAGGAGTTGCTTCAAAAGAAGATGGCCGTGGAAGTAGCAGATCTGCATTCACGTTGTTCACAGTCGTCGGCAAACTCCTATAAATGCAAAGTAGAAAGCTGGTTGGAGAAGTCCATTGCCGAGCCCGACCCGTCGCTCGATGGAGATTACAAAGTGACGGTCGAGGACACAGGCGCGAGCACCGCCATACGGGAGCTAACCTGCGCCATCAAGAGTGCAGTCGAGGCGACCACGGCCACTCAGAATGGCCGTACCCTACTCACGCGGCTCGCCACCTCTAAGGATTTACCCCAGTACTTCGGAGACCCTTTAGAATGGCTCCAATTCCGAGAAGCATTTTACGAGTCGTCGCGCATCTGTAAGTTTAGTGATACCGAAAACGTATGGCGCTTACGTAAGTGTTTACGTGGAGAAGCGAAGGAAGCAGCATCCGCACTGTTGATGGGTAACACCTCACCTCAGGACGTCATGGACACGCTCGAACTTAGATTCGGTAGACCTGAGATCGTAATGCGCCAAGTGGCAGTTCAGCTCCGAAAGTTATCCCCGCTACCAGAAGCTTACCACTCTGAAATAGTCAAGTTCGCAATTAAAGTGAAAAACTATGTTACAGCAGTCACAACACTGAACCAATCAGACTATTTAAGAAGCCCACAATTATCTTCAATCGTCGTCTCAAAGATGCCTACCAATTTAATTAACAAGTGGATAGAATACCTGCACGAAAGATTACAGCAAGATACTCCAAAATTACAATTATTATCAGAATTCCTTTACATCGAAGCTAAAAAGGTAGCAGAGGCCGGAGTGAGCTACATACACTACCAGAACGAATACTCACGTTATAATAAAAACGAAAAAACCGATAAGAAACATCCACATTCCGTATTAACAGCAATGACGGTCAATGACCCCGACACAGCGCAGACTAAATGCCAATTTTGCAAAAGAACTGCCGAGCACTCACTACCCGACTGCGGCAAGTTCAAACGAGCAATGAGAAAAGACCGATGGCGATTTGTTCGAGCGAACAAACTATGTTTCAAATGCCTCGGTTCTCGACATCAAGATCCAGCGACGTGTTCTGCGGAGAGCTGCGACATCGAGGCCTGTGGTGGGCCGCACCATCGCCTGCTACACTGGACGAAGCCGGAGGCAGCGCGCCACGGATCATCCACGCCGCCGCTGCCTCCCAGCGACGCGCCGAAGCCCGATAGCGAACTCGTCGCTCACTCAAACACCCGCGCCGCGCAGTGTTCCGAAGTGTCAGTGCTTAACGTGCCAAATGCATCACAGACATTAACCGGGTCAAAAGTAGTGCTTAAAATAGTGCCGGTAACCGTTCACGGACCTAAAGTGAGTGTCAACACGCATGCGTTGTTAGATGACGGTGCCACGGTAACCCTTATCGCCGCCGACCTTGCTGATAAGGTCGGGCTCCACGGTAAGACGGTGACAATGCGCGCATCTGGCGCATGGGACTCTGAACTGGTATGTCAAACTGAACTTATAAAATGTGCCATCAGCAACAGTAACGGTGATAAGTACGAGCTACGTGCTCGCAAACTTAAGGAATTTAACTTACCCGTACAATTTGTCTCAAGTGTAGAATGTTACGAAAATGTACCTAATATTAATTATCCTTTGTGTTCTGTTAGTACAGTTAAACCTGAATTGTTAATAGGGCAAGATAATTATGATTTAATTGCGCCAATTGTTTGTAAAAGGTATAAGTCGAGCGGGCCGTTTATCACGCAAACATTATTAGGGTGGTGTGTGCATGGAGCTTTACGCCAAACTGATTTTACTGATAAGCGCGCCGAGCACGCCAACAATATCAGCAGCGTCAGCGGGACCCGAGCGGCGGCAGCTCGCCCGCTCGCACTCACCCCGCAAGGTAAGTCAATCGCGCGCGCCCGCCGCGACTCATCGGCAGCTGGCAGCGGCAGCGACACGGGCGCGAGCGAACCTTATAATATTATTGCATGCACAAGTACATCATTGCAGCAAACTAACATGTCTTTATCTATGCAATCTGATAACGATAACGTAAACATTGATTTACATGAGTTAATTCGTCGTTCTTTTTCTTTAGATTCAATCGGTATTAATAGCAAACCGCGTCAGAACTTAGAGACATTAAGGGCCATCAAAATAGTCGACGAGTCTGCCGAGTTAGTCAATGGACAATGGACGGTCAGGCTTCCGTGGAAACATGATGAATTTATCATGCCGGATTCGTATCCTATGGCGTTAAAACGATTAAAATCGGTAGAACGAAAAATGTTAGATTCAGAATATGAAAGTAGGTACCGCGAGCGTATGCAATATCTTTTTAACAATAACTACGCGAGAAAATTGGATGAAAACGGATCTAAAGACGAACAAACATCCCACCATATTTGGTATTTACCCCATTTTGGAGTCGATAACCCGAATAAAAAGAAATTACGATTAGTATTCGATGCCGCGGCAAAATGTTGTGATATGTCACTTAATGATTTCCTTCTTCAAGGTCCCGATTTATTGCAATCTTTGTACGGTATTATGTTTAGATTTAGAGAGAATCCTATAGGAATAATAGGCGACATAAAGGATATGTTTTTAAGAATCAAAATTCATAGTGATGACCAAAATGCCTTACGATTTTTATGGAAAGAGAAAGGTAGCGGTAGTGTAGGTAAATATGCTATGACGTCACTAATTTTCGGAGCAAACTGTTCCCCATTTATAGCTCAGTTTATAAATCAAAACAAAAACGCGTCGCGATTTAGTGAACAAATGCCAGACGCGGTAAATGCTATAAAAAACAATCAATACATGGACGATTACATAGATAGTGTTACTGATGTAAATATAGCTAAACAATTGATAAAAGAAATTTCATTTATTCATAGTCAAGGCGGATTCCATATGTGCAACTGGCTTAGTAATGTGCCTACCGTTCTCAGTGACATTCCTAAAGACAGCCTTAATGACATGGCAATAGAGTTCAATTTTGCTAAACAAGCAGAACGAGCGTTAGGCATATTGTGGTTCCCGCGCAGCGATGTATTGGCGTTGGACTTATCTTTTAAGCGTATACCCGAAGATATTTTACTTTTTAAACGTATACCTACAAAACGCGAAATGTTACGTATCGTTATGTCTATTTTTGATATTCACGGTTACTTAGGACCATTTACGATTAAAGGGAGAATATTAATGCGTGAAACTTGGAAAAGTAATATTAATTGGGACGATAAATTAACAGATGATTTATATGATTTATTTTGCAAATGGTTAATTCAAGCTAAAGAAATAAATAACATTAAAATTCCGCGATGGTATTTTTCTAGTGATAGCGCTGGCGATACTTTAGCGAGTTTGGAACTTCACTTGTTTTGCGATGCATCGCCGAACGCGTACGCTGCGGTCGCTTATTGGCGCCGGGAAAGCACCGATGGACGCGTTACCGTATCGTTTATCGCTAGTAAATGTAAAGTTACTCCGTTGAAGCCTGTTACCGTGCCGCGACTTGAGTTGCAGGGCGCTTTATTATCATGCAAGTTAGCTAAGAGTATTAAGACAGAACATCGTTTGCAACCGAATTCAGTATATTATTGGACTGATTCTACTACAGTTTTGCATTGGATTAAAAATAAATGTAGATCATATAAAGTTTTTATTGCAAACAGACTCGGAGAAATAGACGAGTTGAGTAAGACGGACGAGTGGCACTATGTACCCACTGCTTTAAACGTCGCGGACCTGGGGACAAAAAATAATGATTACGTATTGAGTAGTGACTCTGAATGGTTTACTGGACCATCCTTCCTGCGCCAACCGCGTTCCTGCTGGCCGCAGCGACCTGAAACAAAAATAATAATTAGTGACGATACATTAGAAAAAGTAAACATTGTTCAAGATAATGTTAATATAAAATGTGACTTACCTGTTCCCGAACCAAGTCGATTCTCTAGCTGGTTACGATTGTTACGTACTACTGCGACAGTATTATTATTTATTGAAAAATGCAAAAAGAGTTCAACAAGTGTAATTAATGAGAAATTAATGAACAGAGCAGAATTATTATTACTTCGTTATTCACAAGTACATTCTTTTCAAGATGACATAAATTCGCTTAGATTAAATAAACAAGTTAAGACAGATAGTCGTTTACGTTCACTTACCCCAATACTAGATGAAAACAATTTGTTGCGCGTAGGTAGCCGTATTATGAACTCCAAGGATGTGGATCAGTATACCAAATGTCCTGTAATTTTAGATGGAAAAGACCATATCGCTCGGCTCATCGTGACCCATTACCATGTAAACGCAGCTCACTCTAGTAACGAGATGGTAGTCAATGAGTTGCGACAAAAATATTGGCTCATTAGACTAAGACCTACGGTTCGTTCTGTAGCTAGAAAATGCCTAATTTGCCGCTTTAAAAAAGCCTTACCTCAGCCGCCGCGCCTCGGTGACTTACCCGAATGTCGACTCATGCATCATCATAGACCGTTTACCATGTGTGGAGTTGACCTATTCGGGCCGATAGAAGTAGTCGTTGGAAGACAAAGAGTGCGTAGGTACGGTGTGCTGTTTACTTGTCTCACAGTACGCGCTGTGCATATCGAGGTAGTTCCGACTCTTACGACTGACTCCATGATAATGGCTTTACGTAGGATGGCCGCTCGCAGAGGTTGGCCACGTACGATGTTTTCTGACAACGGGACCAACCTACGAGGGGCAGACACTGAGCTGAAAAAGGCCTATAAAGAGCTGGTTGACAACCAACAACAGCTAATATCGGACACGATCAATAAAGGAGTTGATTGGAAGTTTATTCCACCGGCCAGTCCTCATATGGGAGGTGCATGGGAGAGGCTCATTAGGAGTGTAAAAACCGCACTAAAAGTAGTTCTCAAAGAGCGCACCCCTAGAGAAGAAACCCTGACTACGTTTCTATGTGAAGTGGAAAATATGATCAATGGACGTCCCTTAACTCATGTTTCTGTGGATCCAAGAGACCCAGAAGCACTAACACCTAATCACTTTTTACTAGGATCGTCATCTAACTTACCACAAATCGGCGTTTTTGACGACAAAGATTTGCACTTGCGGAAGCAATGGCGTATAGCCCAGCGCCTTGCGGATTTATTTTGGTCTAGGTGGATTAAAGAAGTTCTTCCTACCCTGGCGCCTCGCAAGAGGTGGAACCGCGAAGGAGCTCAGTTACAGGTAGGTGACCTAGTTATAATAACAGATCCCGCTTCGCCCCGAAATATCTGGCCGAAAGGCGTAATACAAGCAGTCTACCCAGGATCCGACGGACGGGTAAGAGTCGTAGCTATCAAAACAAAGACCGGAGTCGTAAAGCGTCCGGCCTCTCGTGTTGCTCTCTTACTATGTGATGAGTGTTGCTCAGACAACACTAAGGGGCAGGATGTTGAAGATGATTAGACGGCCCGCCCGGCGAATAATATTATTATTTTAAGTTAAATGTCATGTTAGTGAAACATAATGTTTTTTGTTATAGGTAACATAATGTTTATTATAAGTCATTAGTACAGACAGTGTATTGATTTGTGTTTGGATTGATTAAATAGTCTGTGGAGCCTCAGCGCGGCATGTTCAAACGGACCAATCGCGTTCGCGTATTTTATTTCGGCGCATGCCCGCACGGCGGCGCGCGGAGCGGTGGCGTTCCGCATCCTGCGTCCGCCATACTTTTTTGTTCAGTTCACACGTTTGTACCCGACGACCAAGACGCCCACGCGTGATTGCACGCGCAGAGATGCATGCCCGCTGATCGCTCCCAGTTTAAATCAATAACTGTAGTTTCTCATTTCTTTACCTCGCGCGCACCCGCATCGGCCACATGGAGATAATCACGGATATGTGAGAACAATAATTAATATGTTTCCGTCAGGCAATATCGTCATATTTATATTTGAATTCGGAAATCAATTTATTTTATGATTTACGATTTCCTTTAATTCATTTAACGGTTTCTTGACTCATTTCGGAAGTCGCGAATGTCAAATGACCGCCATTTTAAGTCCATGGCGAAGGTTATAAACAATTCAGTGTTGTTTTGACGACTTTGTTATTGATTTTAAAATAAATACGTAGTTTTCCTATAGAGTTCGCAAACTCCCGATTTCCATATTTAGCTGGTCTTTTTTTTAAGGGGGCAAATCCTCGAATGACTGCTCCCGCCTGGGTGAGGTGGAAGGGAGTGTCAGACTCTTACTGACTAAAAACCACCCCGTTCCTACTCCAGCATGTCGAGCCGGAGCCACGGTAACCCGTTAGGTTCTCCGCGACATGCTTAGCTGAACCTGAACCTTGTATACTGCGATCTCCAACCTGCCTGCCTGCGGAGATTGTGACAAACCCTCTTTTGTAGAGGAGACTCATAGTGCAGCAGTGGACTGTCACCCGCTGTTAACGATCAGTACTTACGAGTACAACTCTGACACCTTCAGGATATTGTTCTTCATCATTGTCTGTGGTCGAAGACACCTCGGTTGCTGGTGGCTCCATCTGGTGGATGAAATAATAAATACTATTAATTTTATTGTACCAATTCGCCCTCCCCAATGTTCCTGATCCCTAAATCCTCAAGCCTTAAGTCGCTGACCCCCAAAACGCAACGCATTTGTAACGCCTCTAGTGTTCCGGGTGTCCATGGACGACGATTGCTTACCATCAGGTGATCCGTCTGCTCATTTGTATTCCACCTAAAATATAAACATCAGTTTGTCAATTCTGCAGTGGATGACATATTCACTTAAACAACACAACATCATATATTTTGAATCCCGTAAATTATTATTTAAAAATGTGGATTGAAAGACGATGTAGTGACAAGGATTGAAAAGGGAATGTGACGCTGGTTTGGACATGTAGAAAGGATGGATGAAAGAGTAAGGAACGAAGTATACAGAGCGGATATGAATGGGGCCGTCGGTAGAGGGCGCCCTAGACGGATATATACTGACCAGATTGGCGATATATAAAAGAAGGGCCAAATTAAAAGTACCCTTAACCAACGAACATGCATGAAAAGATTGATGACTGTTGATGAAGCGAAAGAGGTATGTAGGAATTGTAGTAATTAGCGTTCCATAGTCTCTGCCTACCCCCATGGGAGACAGAAGCGTTATATATGTATAATTACTAAACCTAAACGGAAACAATCGATTAGAATTGGGTTAAGTATAATCGTCAATTGAATGACTCTGAGTATAGCGATGTCTGAACAATCGCGCTTGCACACGCTTGACCAACATTGTTAATTAATAACATTTTTCATATTAAACACAATAAACTAGTTATGACAATAATGTACAAGGAATGTCGACAATGTCTATAATATTTATTGTTTATTTCTTTACTCTTTAATTAGTTCCGACTGATGTTTTACTGAAATGCAACAATAACACTAATAAGCGCCCACTGCTGACCAAAGGCCACTCACACGGAGGTTTGAGCATTAATCACTACGCTTGCTCAATGCCGGTTGGCGATTTTAAACTCATAATTAGGAGGAAGTTTGAGCATTGATCACCACGCTTGCTCAATGCGGGTTGGCGATTTCAAACTCATAATTAGGAGGAAGTTTGAGCATTGATCACCACGCTTGCTCAATGCGGGTTGGCGATTTCAAACTCATAATTAGGAGGAAGTTTGAGCATTAATCACCACGCTTGCTCAATGCGGGTTGGCGATTTCAAACTCATAATTAGGAGGAAGTTTGAGCATTAATCAACACGCTTGCTCAATGCGGGGTGGTGATTACAAACTTATAATTATAAATTATAAGCCTAGGTTTCCTCACGATGTTCTCCTTCACCGTTTGTCAGTGATGTCTAAATAATCTTACGTTAATCTTACGCATTGCCAAAGTGTCCAGCCGGTTCGAAACATCCAACAATCCGAACGGCACGCCGCTGAATGCGGTCCAGAAGAAGAAGCTGGTACTGGGGTGCCCCCGCCCAAAGATGAGAACAGTATTCCATGTGGGGCCGAACCTGCGCCTTATATAGAAGCAGGCGGTGGGCCGGGGTGAAATACTGCCTCGATCTGACCCGGCTAATATTACTAGCTGACCCGGCACACGTTGTTTTGCCATATAAATAATTTCGTACAAGGGTGAAAATTGAGGATTGTATGTATTTTTGTATGTTGTATCATAAAAAAATAGAAATTAAAAATTTGTCTAAATTATAAAAAAAAATTAGGCGTGGACTACCCCTAACATTTAGGGGGATGAAAAATAGATGTTGGCCGATCCTCATAGATATTCGGAGGAGTATGGCAATGAAAACTGACACGAGAATTGTAGAGGTATACAACATGTAACGTAATTAACGCACACCCTCAAACACCCCAATTAGAATATTATGTTATAATCATAATACATACACTAAATGTTTTATTTAACATGTATATGCATCCTTACTGGTCTTGTCATAAGTGTTATTTTTCTTTATTTTGTATTGAATGATAGAATGTGTATGAATACAAATAAAACAGCGATTTTAAAAGTCTTATTGCTTTGACTTACGGTCCATTTCGATTTGTTTTAACAATACAGGGTTAATATGACAATAATTTCCGTAGTTTTAATTATTTTTGGGATAAAAAATTACTTACACTAAAAATTATATAAATCGATTCAGTCAACGATTCTGAACTAACTATTTTCAGGATGTGCGTTATTTAAGTTACCTACATGTTGTACCTATATTAGAAGAAAGATAACTCGGAAAAGTCACATTGGTACTTGCCGTTGGTAGGTTTCGAGCCCGCACCCTTATGAATGAGAAGAGGGCGTCTTAAACCTCTGTGCCTCCACACGTAACTTTCGATTGCGACAGGTAAACGATGTACAACATTTCACCTTTGATTTAAATGAAATAAAAACAATACGAATTTTGTTTGAAATATGACAATCGTACAAATGGTTTTGTATTAAAAATTGATAAGTGTCATAGGTAATTGAATGACACGCCGGCGGCTTGTAATACGTATTTTTAAAATAATCATTCAATTGTTCTTTTTACTGATGACTTGAATATCGAATCATGAATGATCGATTGTTAAAAATATCCAAGGAATTACGCAAATCTTAATATAGTTTGTGTATTTGCGTCAAAGTCAAAGTCAAAATCATTTATTTCAATTAGACCAGTAAGGCACTTTTGAACGTCAAAACAAAATATTTAAATATTAAATAATAAGAAAAAATGTCAGTCTGTAGGTCAGTCCCCTAGTGAAGCTATTTGCTCGTTCCAAAGTGTAGATTCCTATGGAGAAGAACGAGCAAGAAACTCCATAGGTTACTCTTTTTCAATCATGTTCACAATACAATTTTTGGTTACATTTTTTCGTTGAGTTCAATAATGTGAGAACAATGTAATACCAATATTTGGTCAAGGAGACGGAAAAAGAAAATAAAATGCGTGTGTGTATGTTTGTCACTTTGTCAATCAATCATGTCAAATCGGCTGAAGAGAACGAGATGAAATTTGGGACCGGGATAGATTATGGTCGCTAGAATAACATATAGCTCAGGCTTGACGCCATTGGTGGCTCGCCGTCCGACCAGAACCATACCCGAGCGTACGGCGCCGAGCGTTCCGCGCGCGCCTCAAAGAGCCATCAGACCACCACAGATGGGGCCCAACAGGGCAGCAGCAGTAGGAACGGGGTGGTTTTTAGTCCGTAAGAGTCTCACCCGGGGGGGAACCATTCGATGACACCCCCTGATTTTTGTTTGTTTGTTTGAATTAAATAGGCTCCAAAACTACCGGAGCGATTTGAAAAATTATTTTACTATTGGAATCCTACATTATCCTTGATCTAATCTTTACTAGTTTGTTTAGTTGTTTGTTCTATTTTCGCGCCGTAACTACTAAACCGATTGCTTAGAATTTTTGCAGACGTGAAGTTAGAAGTCTGGATTAAATAATAGGGTACTTTTTATCCCGGAAAAATTTGATATTCCCGAGGGAAAACAAAAGTATTGATATAGATGGCGCTGTGTGTATTGGTATATGTCACATAGGCTACTTTTTATCCATTTGTGACGCGAGCGAAGCCGCGGGTAAAAGCTAATATTAAATAAGAGAAAAAACGGGAAACGTAGGAAAATTTCGATAATGTAACCCGATTTGCGGAAATGTATCAAAAAGATCCGATTGTTTACACAGTTATTAGAAAATCCAAATGGATTCCAAAATCAGCATTTAATTTCACCCCCCCCCCCCCCCTTATCAATCCCTGAATCCCCATCAATCCTCAAATTCCTAATTCCAAAAGGCCGGTAACGCACTTGTATTGGAAGCAAGTATAACAACTCAAACATACTTAGGACCCACTTAGTTTTTAGTAAAATTTCCGTGGTGCTTGGCGACTGGGCTTCACCCAGTTGTACAGTCTCTTCTTTGTGCCTTTAGGCTTAATTCATTCTGTCTCCTGCAGTAATTCACCGAGGGAAGTGGAAACTATTGTTTTTTCTTCTTCTCCTCTTATAATATCTTCTGATTTACTTCGTTGTGGGAACCAAGACAGTTACTCATGTCCCTGGGACGCGCCGGACTTCAGTGTTCCGGTGTTTTCATTGTTGTATCTATTGTAGACCCTGGTGTAGACACAGGAGTTGCAGCGGTTTTGGGAGAGTGTGGCGGGATTGTCCCATAAAAAAAAATAACGCACCTGTAACAGCTCTGGTGTTTGAAGTGTCCATGGGCGACACCGATTGCTTACCATCAGGTGATCCGCCAGCTCATTTACCGGCTTATCCCATAAAAAAATGATGTCAGAAGTCATTATTCTACGCGAACGAAATCGCGGGGATCAGCTAGTTATAAACATAAACGTACCTTATTTAATATTTTCCCTTCAGTCGAGTATAAAATTCTTTTAACACAATCCGATATATGTTTGTTATTTAAAACACATTTTAAATGAACTTAATGTACCTATCTAATATTTTGTTTAAATCACTTTAATTATGTTAAAGTCACTTTAATTTATTTTATTCACTCAAACACGTATCGTAAGCTCTGTGGATTGGTAACTACTGGCGTTCATTATGCATTCATCTTAAAGATCAGTGTTGGGAAGTGATTGTGAAAGTGTATCGATAGAAATGTGTCGATAAACTCGATTGTTAAGGCTGAGTCGGCGGTCGTGTATTCTTTGATTCATGCTGGTATATCGGGCAAGAAATATTTGAGTATTAGTGCAGAATAAGTATAGGTACTTAATACTACTATAGGCTATAAAACATAGCTGCATAAGACTTAAGTGTTACCGGGGCTCCGGCTCGACGTGCAGGAGAAGGAACGGGGTGGTTTTTAGTCAGTAAGAGTCTGACACTCCCTCGCGCCTTGATAGTAAAATAAATAAACAAACTTAGTGTCTGTTCATTCATGTACATAACATCATAACATCACGCCTTTTATCCCTAAAGGGGTAGGCAGAGGTGCACATTACGGCACTTAATGCCACTACAATGTAACACCCACTTTACACTATTTATGTTATGAGTCCCATGTAATAATGTAATAGGGGGTGAGCCTATTGCCATATACCGGGCACAATTCCAAACTTTGTGCTACTACTGAGAATTTTTTAAAACGCCCAGTAATACTTTGCCCGACCCGGGAATCGAACCCGATACCCCTTGCCCGGTAGTCGCACTTGCGACTGCTCGGCCAACGAGGCAGTTTCAACTTAAAACTAACAATATCGATATCGATAACCTACAACGCCCATCACTATACACCAGTTAGCCTTACCCAAGAATCGAAGGTCAGGCAATCAAGTTTATATGTATGTTACACAACGTTACTGGTTTAATGGATACACATTATATTATATTAAGTCGTGAGACGACAACAGGGTAGAGTACAAGTGTAACCACCGCTACTCTTGATGTGGGTGTGTTATACCCAACTATGGAACTGTAGATAAGATGGGGTAGCAGCACTCCCTAATAAAACTGAACCTTTTTAAGAATTCATTTATCACTATCACTATTCTTGATGTGGGTGTTATATACCCGACTAATGCCTAACGGTTTCACCAATTTCTTTTAAAGTATTAAGTAACACCTCACCTAAGTTATGGCACATATTTTATTGTAATTTTGGGTTTCCCCAACCTTTAAGTGACACCTAACACATCCACCTAAAATTGTCCACTGCTGACCAAAAGCCTCTTCTCACACGGAGAAGGTTAGAGCATTAATCACCACGCTTGCTCAATGCGGGGGCTATTTCAAACTTATAATTATAAATCATAAGTCCACGTTTCCTCACGATGTTTTCCTTCACCGTTTGTCAGTGGTGTCTAGATAATCTTAGAAAGTACATATAACTCGGAAAAAGTCACATTGGTAGGTAGGTACTTACTTGCCGTTGGTAGGTTGTCTAACAGTATAAGTCAAAGTGCAATAGGCTCACCCCCTTTTTTTAAGGGGGGAAATCATCGAATGACTGCTCCCGCCTGGGTGAGGCGAAAGGGAGTGACAGACTCTTACTGACTATAAACCACCCCGTTCCTTCTCCTGCACGTCGAGCCGGAGCCCCGGTTACCCGTTAGGTTCTCCACGACAGGCTCACCCCCTATTACATGGGACTCATAACATAAATAGTGAAAAGTGGGTGTTACATTGTACAGTGACATTAAGTGCCGTAATGTGCACCTCTGACTACCTCTTCGGGGATAAAAGGCGTGATATTATGTTATGTTATGTATAAATTAAAGTCGAAGCGTCAACAATTGAATTGTCCGTCCGTCAGTCAGTCAGTGAAGCTAGGCGTAGTGGGCAAGGGATTAGTTTAGATGGTACGTCACGCTAAGTAACTCTTAGCTAAGAGATGGTGTAGGGGTGCTTGGTAAAAACGGCCATAAGAATAACCTTTAAGGAATTTATTTAATTTAGATGTTATATATCCGTCTAATATTATCTTCTCCTCTTATAATATCTTCTGATTCACTTCGTTGCGGGAACCAAGACAGTTACTCATGTCCCTGGGACGCGCCGGACTTCAGTGTTCCGGTGTTTGCATGGTTGTATCTACTGTAGATCCTGGTGCACAGGAGTTGCAGCGGTTTTGGGAGGTTGTGGCGGGCTTGTCCCTTTAAAAAAATACCCGTCTAATAGACCGTGCAGCAGCGCTCTCTGATAAACCTGAACCTTTTATACTGCGATCTCCAACCCGCCTGACATAAGCTTATATAAAAATAATATTGCTCCCGACATAGAGACGGGTAGCATCGTTCTTGACTGTTGGTGACCTCTAACGACAATCCCTAAGCTGTTCGCCAAGTGTGGGGATTACGGCAAAAAAGGTTTTTGTTTAGCAATGAAGACACTCATAGTCTCTCTCAGTAATTGTAACATGAAGTCTAGAATAGGGTAGATGCCTAAGTTTATTTAATGTCCGTCTGGTAGATTATTTTAAAACATTACACATGTATTTTTTAGTCAATTCAATTTTGATGTTTCAAAAATGCCTAATTAATCTAACTGAAATGATTGCTTCGGCTTTAAGACCGTGCAGCAGCGCTCTCTGATAACCCTGAACCTTGTACACTGCGACCTCCAACCCGCCTGCCTGCGGAGATTGTGACAAACCCTCTTATGTAGAGGACACTCATAGTGCAGCATAAAGATTAAATAAGGGTTTAAAATTAAAAATATATGAAATAAAACAAAGTAAATAATGAGATTTTTTATATTTCTTTACATTTCTTTTTTGTATTATTATAATTATTGTAAAAAACTGGTGACATTGGTTTTCATGAAAAAAACAGCATTCATGATAATATAAATATTAAATATTGGTATATATTAAAACACAAAGGTGTCACAACGTTTTTACAATGCGTAATGTTTTTCCTTAATCCCCAATCAAATCACCAATCGTGGGGATTAAGAAAACATTCTAAAAATGACACCTACACCCAATAAATTACATTTTCAACTAATTCTGATGAGGAAACTGTCACCCATCCAAATCCTAACCTTGCTTAACCTGATAATTTCAGGGTATTATTGTCTGATACATCTGTATCTTCAGTCCTATACCGACTACTGCGATAGGGGGTAGGCAGTTTTAGATGTACAGTCCTTATATGAAGTTTTCTAGAATTCGACTGTGAAAACGTCTTTCCACAATGAATACATTGATATGGCTTCGCTCCGGAGTGGACCTGAAACAAATTAAAAAAATATTTAATATAAGATAGAGTAAAATACACAAGGTGTAGTTTTGAAACCGTATGAAATTATTAACTATGTAACCTATACTTTTGCTAATAATTATAGATGTAGTTAATTGTAGTATGTAACTAGGTTCCCTCTTTACTTTATAAAAATTGACTAGATGTATTATAATTAAAAAACTGTATGACAAGGGCACGGACCTAGAGTCCGTGGAGAAATAATCTATAATATTAAAAAAAAAAAAAGTTTTGAAACCGTGTCATTTCTCGTGTGTATAATGACGGTACTCAAAGAGTTAATGAATCGGCTTATACCTAAAATTATCATGGGACTCACCCGATCATGTCTGTTCAACGCAGCCTTATGTTTGAATGCTTTCGGACACACCGTGCATTTAAACGGCCTCTCACCGGTATGTGTCCGTTGGTGGATCTATAACAAATAATACATTATATTAATATGCCCAACATCATCAACAGCCTATAAGTGTCCACTGCTGACCAAAGGCCTCTTCCGACACGGAGGTTTGAACATTAATCCCCATACTTGGCCAATGCGAGTTGGCGATTTTAAACTTATAATTAGAAATTATAAGCCCAGGTTCAAAGGCCTCTTCTCGTTAGAGGCTTCGAGCACTAATCACCACACTTGGCCAATGCGGTTTCGCGATAAAATCGCCATACCGCATTGTATAACTTATAATTAGAAATTATAAGCCCAGGTTTCCTCACGATGTTTTCCTTCACCGTTTGTCAGTGGTATCTATACAATCTTAGAAAGAACATATAACTCGGAAAAGTCACATTGGTACTTGTCAGTTTTCGAACCGTTATGTTTGAGAAGCGAGCATTTTAAACCTTCGGTCCACCACGACATTGGTGTCATTGGTACCTCTGTTTGTTGTACCATTTTCTCAATATATTCACGTGAGTAACTCACGATTTTTAGTTAAGTCAATATATTATCCTTTCGTGTTTTTTTTTTTTATATAAAATGTATAAAATAAAAAAATAATAATTAATAAAAAATAAACGTAAATGTACTGAGAAAAGCTCTACTAGTTTCGACCCACAGAAGGGTTCTTCCTAATGAGCTACTGTTAGTAGCCTGCGCGACATTGCCGCGACCGCGCACGCTACTTTTAACTTAGACATCATAGTTGTTATAAAAAATATATTGACGGCCTCGTTGGCCGAGTGGTCGCAAGTGCGACTGCCGGGCAAGGGGTATTGGTTTCGATTCCCGGGTCGAGCAAAGTACTACTGGGTTTAAAAAAAATCTCAGTAGAAGCACGGAGTCTGGAATTGTGCCCGGTATATGGCAATAGGCTCACCCCCTATTCCATGGGACTCATAACATAAATAGTGGAAAGTGGGTGTTACATTGTACAGAGACATTAAGTGCCGTAATGTGCACCTCTTCCCACCGCTTCGGGGGTTAAAGGCGTGATGTTATTATATGATGATGACGGTACAAATAAAAACACGAAATATTAACATATTTAAATTGTATACGTACTTTTAATCGCTGAAATATGCTGAACCGTTTGGGGCACTCCCTGCACTGATAAGGTTTTTCTCCTGTATGTATGCGCTGGTGACAGATCAGCGACGCATTGGACTGGTGAAGAAAATATTGTAGGTTAAGCATAATCTACTATATAAGGTTTCATACGCACTATGCGGGTAGCCGCATTGCGGCTAGCCGTCCGGCTGACCGCAAGCACAATTATGTACGTAATATTCATTTGTATGCGCACTGCGATGCGGCTACTGCGGGTACCGCTCCGGTCGCTCGGAGGGCTGCGGCTCGAGTGACGGCCAGCCGGACGGTTGCTATACGCACTGTGCGGTTCAGTCTGCGGCTGCCCGCCATTGAGTGAGTGTGTGCACGTGGTACGTCTGGTAAAATGGAATTCGATACCAAAAAATTTATCATCGAAATCCAGAGTCGGCCAGCAATTTGGAACACCAAATTACCAGAGTATTCTGATAGAATATTAAAACAACATGACCGCAAATCGCAACGGTTCTTCAACCGCACGATGCGGTTGCGAATGCGGCTGCCCGCGATCCGGTTGGCTACAAGCAGTGTGTATGAACCCTAAAAATAAGTCGGGCTTCCTTCCTCACGCTATAACTCCAGAACGCACGAACCGATTTCCACGGTTTTGCATTCGATGGAAAGGTTATTCACTAATCACCAAGCGAAACGTTACATAAAACGAAGCCATCTGGTGGCGAAACGGAGTTCGCCGAGTTTGCTAGTCTATATATATAAAAATGGAACCCGTTTTTCTTTGTCACGCCATAACTTGAGAACATCATCAATCATCATCATCAACAGCCTATAAATGTCCACTGCTGAGCAAAGCCTCTTCTCACACGGAGAAGGTTTGAGCATTAATCACCACGCTTGCTCAATGCGGGTTGGCGATTACAAACTTATAATTAGAAATACATTAGTATTTTGTCTCATATGAGACAAAATCTTAATCAAATCTTAGAAAGTACATATAACTCGGAAAAAGTCACATTGGTACTTGCTGTTGGTAGGTTTCAAACCAGCACCCTCATGCGTGAGAAGCGGGCGGGCGTCTTAAGCCTCCGGGCCACCACGTCATATTTTTACTTATTACATTATTATTACAGTTTTTACTTATGTTATCGGAACCTCTATAACTTTAAAAAAGTATTCATTTGAGAACAAAATGCTCTCATGTTAAAGGTAACTAAATTGCTTTGTACACGGCATACGTTACCAATTGGGTAGTTTCCAGGGTATCAAAATTATAAATCTAATTAGTCCGACAGTTAGATAATGAAAAAATATTAGACACGTATTTTTTTATTTTCTCTTAATAAGTTGCAATACTTAGATAAGTTTAGGAGAGGGTCGTTACGTCATAACGTGCTACAAAATGTGGCACGCTGTGACGTCACACGATATTTCAAATTAATATATCGTCGAAAGTATTTAATTTTGTGAGAAAAGAAAAAATACGTGTCTAAAGTTTTAAATTAATGTACCAGACGGACATTAAAATAAAATTTAGGAAACTACCCTATTAATACAATACTTGGATCAGACACTGTCTCGCCTCACCTGGGCGGGAGAAGTCATTCGATGATTTTCCCCCCTTAGGAGTAAAAAGCCTTAGAAACTCTTGGGTTGTGAAAATTTGCTACATATTTATTAAACGGTTTTCTAGCTTCAAAAAAAAAAACAAAATATCAAAATATAAGGTGTTCTATAATTTTATGCCACGGCTTTAATGGGAGGTAGTGTTATGTTTACAGATTACAATTGTGAAGAAATTTCGTACCCCGGACCAGTTAATTACATACAGTAATTAAGTAAACATTGACTACATTCTGCATAATGTGGTTCACAAATTACGCGCGATGCGTCGCTTAGTCAATGAAAACAATTGCTATCTCTTTCCACGTGTACTGAGAATGAAAACGGAAATCAGCTGACTAGTTCGTCACTATCTAATCTACTAGGTACTCAATAGGCAGGCTAACAAGGGTTTTAAAAGTGCAATTACTTACCAGGTACGGCATTCTTCCGAAAAGCTGATGTAGGTAAATAAGATTATAAACTTCCCATCACACTTAAAACAGTTTTTTACACACTCTCTACCTACTTATCTACAAAACTGTTGCACAAGTCCACCTTCGCGTTGCACACAAATGAAGGCACGCTTCCAAACATGTCATATCACATTACTTAATGCGTCCGTTTCACTTTTACTATGTTTCGCGTTTGATCCCTTGTGCTCGCAAGACGATGACACCGAAAGAACTCTAACAGTTCCTCTTCGAGTTCTGATTAGAATTTCGTCGCCTGGGAGTCATTTTTACGTAGCGCGCGCGTATCCCCGACATTGAAACTAACAACGTCCGCGCAGGCAGGGGTTGACTGGGCTACTGGCGGCCGGGCGGCGCGTGCGACGAGTTCTGCTGGCTGGGGTGTGCTGTCTCGTTCTTGAACGCCCCGTCATACGCTGTTGCCATCCTTATCAGTAGCTCAACCCCCGCCTGCCCGGCGGCCGGTTGACCAGCGCGTGCGACGAGTGCAGGAGAGGGTGCGGCGCGCGGGGGTGTGCAGCGTGCTCTTAGCCGCCCGGCGCGAGCGGTCTGATAAGGATGGCAACAGCGTATGACGGGGCGTTCAAGAACGAGACAACACACCCCAGCAGAACTCGTCGCACGCGCCGCCCGGCCGCCAGTAGCCCCGTCAACCCCTGCTTGCCCGCACGTTAGTTTTAATGTCGGAGATACGCGCGCGCTACGTAAAAATGACTACCAGGCGACGAAATTCAAATCAGAACTCGAAGAGGAAGTGTTAGAGTTCTTTCGGTGTCATCTTCTTGCGTGCACAAGGGATACCGCCGGAGTTTACGATGATAGTGACAATAACTTGTGGAGTCAAACGCGAAACAAAGTAAAAGTGAAACGGACACGTTAAATAATGTGATATGACATGTTTGGAAGCGTGCCTTTATTTGTGTGCAACGCGAAGGTGGACTTGTGCAACAGTTTTGTAGATAAGTAGGTAGAGAGTTTGTAAAAAACTGTTTTAAGTGTGATGGGAAGTTTATAATCTTATTTACCTACATCAGCTTTTCGGAAGAATGCCGTACCTGGTAAGTAATTGCACTTTTAAAACCCTTGTTAGCCTGCCTATTGAGCCTATTGAGTATCTAGTAGATTAGATAGTGACGAACTAGTCAGCTGATTTCCGTTTTCATTCTCAGTACACGTGGAAAGAGATAGCAATTGTTTTCATTGACTAAGCGACGCATCGCGCGTAATTTGTGAACCACATTATGCAGAATGTAGTCAATGTTTACTTAATTACTGTATGTAATTAACTGGTCCGGGGTACGAAATTTCTTCACAATTGTAATCTGTAAACATAACACTACCTCCCATTAAAGCCGTGGCATAAAATTATAGAACACCTTATATATGCTTGTCCATGTGTTTGTAATCCACCCCCTTCCTGACGACAGATCGATCTGATATTTGGTACACACTCTTAATCTTGACGGCCATACAATATAATCTAATGTTCCACAACTACCTCCATTATGGATATCAAACGAAAGGACTTGATTGGTAGGATAGAGCTCATTGAGATTAAAAGCCTTTTTTTTTAAGGGGCGAAAATCATCGAATGACTGCTCCCGCCTGGGTGACGCGGGAGGGAGTGTCAGACTCTTACTGACTAAAAACCACCCCGTTCCTTCTCCTGCACGTCGAGCCGGAGCCCCGGTTACCCGTTAGGTTCTCCGCAACGAGATTAAAAGCCTTAAAAGGCTGGCAACGCATTTGTGACTCCTCTGGTGTTGCGGGTGTCCATGGATCACTTACCATCAGGTGATCCGTCTGCTCGTTTGCCTCCTATTCCATAAAAAAGAAGATAGAACATATTTTTGTTTATTACTTACTAGCTTTTACCCGCGGCTTCGCTCGCGTCACAAAAGGATAAAAAGTAGCCTATGTGACATATACCAATACATACAGCGCCATCTATACCAATATTTTTGTTTTTCCTAGGAAATATCAATTTTTTCCGAGATAAAAGGTACCCTATTATTTAATCCAGACTTCTAACTTTACGTCTGCAAAATTTCAATGCAATCGGTCTAGTAGTTACGGCGTGAAGGCGGAACAAACAAACAAACAAACTCACTTTCCGATTTATAATATAAGTAAGGATAAGGATTTCAAAAACTTACTATGCAAGTCTTTCCGCATATTTCACACACCCAGTCCACGTGTGGGCGTCGTTCCCGCGGCTTGTAGGGTTGCAGTTTGATTCCCAGGTGGACACGTTGATAGTGGATCGAGAAGGAACGGCTGTGAGCGAACTGCCTGTCACACTGGGAGTAAACATCTTACTTATTAAATGATAAATGCAAAAGTCTGTTTGTATGTGGGAGAGAGCCATGCTTCGGCATGAATGGGCCGGCTCGACCGGAGTGATACCACGGCCTCACAGAAAACCATAGTGAAACAATGCTTGCGTTGTAATTCGTCGTGTGAATGAGGTTACCGGAGGCCCAATTACCAGCCCCCTCTCCCCCATCCCCCACAATCCTCAAATTCCCCAATCCCCAAAAGGCCGGTAACCCACTTGTAACGCCTCTACTATTCCGGGTGTCCATGGGCGACGCCGATTGCTTACCATCAGGTGATCCGTCTACTCGTTTACCGGCTTATGCAATAAAAAAAGTATGTTTAGTACTCAACCACGTCAAATCGGCTGAAGGGATTTTTTTAAGGGGGGAAAATCATCGAATGACTGCTCCGCCTGGGTGAGGCGGGAGAGAGTGTCAGACTCTTACTGACTAAAAACCACCCCGTTCCTTCTCCTGCACGTCGAGCCGGAGCCCCGGTTACCCGTTAGGTTCTCCGCGACAAGGGATAGCGATGAAATTTGGCACAGGGGTAGATTTAATTATCGTCTGGCATAACACATAGCGTCGGGGATAGAGCAAATACCCGAATCTACCATACGTAAAGGCCGTAGATTCAGTGTTACAGGGAATGGTTAAAACTTAATAATTTCATTAATTGAAAGAATTTGAACATCACTTTTACATAATAAAACTTCATCATCATCATCAACAGCCTATAAATGCCCACTGCTGACCAAAGCCTCTTCTCACACGGAAAAGGTTTGAGCATCAATCACCACGCTTGCTCAATGCGGATTGGCGATTACAAACTTATAATGAGAAATTATAAGTCCAGGTTTCCTCACGATGTTTTCCTTCACTGTTTGTCAGTGGTGTCTAGATAATCTTAGAAAGTACATATATACTTACTCGGAAAAGTCACATTGGTACTTGCCGTTGGTAGGTTTCGAGCCCGCACTCTCATGCATGAAAAGCGGGCGTCTTAAACCTCCGGGCCACCACGACATTTTAATAAAAATGAGTCGAAATGAACTCGTATCAAGGTGGCATCCAATTGAAGATTTTGCGGGGTCTTTGCGCTAAAACTTGAATTAGTTACATATGTATGTCAGATACGCGGAATTGCCTACTTGCCAACTAGTCAAATTCAAAACTTTTTTCGAACTGTCAAAAACGACAGTTTTCTATTAATTTTGTACGAGATTGTGTATTGTGACGTCACGATTTTTTAGGCAGGTATTTCTTAAAAATTTACTGGAAAAATACTAAAATTAAGTCGGTCATAAAATCAATGAATGAAAGTGTGATTATTATTTAATATTTTATTGTATTGAACACCGCGACTGCCTCGTTGGCCGAGTGGTCGCAAGTGTGACTGCCGGGCAAGGGGTCTCGGGTTCGATTTTCGGGTCAGGCAAAGTACTACAGGGTTTTTAAAGATTGACAGTAGTAGTACGGAGTCTGGAATTGTGCCCGGTATATGGCAATAAGCTTACCCCCCCCCCCATTGTTATATTGTACAGTTTTTTTTAAGGGGGGAAAATCATCGAACGTCTTCTCCCGCCTGGGTGAGGCGGGAGGGAGTGTCAGACTCTTACTGACTAAAAACCACCCCGTTCCTTCTCCTGCACTTCGAGCCGGAGCCCCGGTAACCCGTTAGGTTCTCCGCGGCTGCATTGTACAGTGGCATAATGAGCGCCTCTGACAACCCCTTCGGGGATAAAAGGCGTGATGTTCAGTTGATGATGAGTGATTGATGACTGCACGGTTGGTGCGGTGGCTGGGCAACCGGATGCCGTGCAACGTGTCGCGGGTTCGATTCCCGCACGGAACAACACTTTGTGTGATCCACAAATTGTTGTTTCGGGTCTGGGTGTCATGTGTATGTGAACTTGTATGTTTGTAAACACACCCACGACACAGGAGAAAATCCTAGTGTGGGACAACTCTTTTCTTAAAAAGAAAAAATAAGAAAAGAGTTATCTAATTTACCCCTAGTCCTTTTTATCATCGTACCACAAGACAATCGGTGAAGCGTCACCGATTCATGGTAGATGTTCCACCCACACGCACGAAGCGCTTCGCATCAAGCTTCCTTGTGCGTACTGCTAAGGAGTGGAATTCTTTGCCAGAGTCTGTATTTCCTGAAGGGTATAACCTGGGTGTCTTCAAGGCCCGAGTGAATAGGTTGCTTATGGGACGACGTGCTCCATCGTAGACCGCGTCATCGTGCACCACCAGGCGAGATAGCGGGCAAACGTCGCACCATCAAATATAAAAAAAAACCCTGTTCCAAATTTCATCGCGATCCCTTCACCCGTTTCGGCGTGATTAAGTAACATACACATTTATGTACTATACTCGGAATTTTAATTCGATTCCAGATTTAACAATTTCAGTGTTGCAACGTTATGACAAGTACTAAATAGTGACGTTACGAAATTATTCGATATGGGAATGGAATATTTCTGGATCGATTCTTCTCGTTTATAATTTTACTCTCGAAACTAAGTATATCATGAAATTAATATTTCTGAACCGATAATTTAGTTTTGACGATTAATTAACGATCTGAGACCTTTCTTTTATAATTACGTGTGAAATAAATAAAAAAATGTAATCATGAAGGAACATAACAAATAAAACAGATAGATGTATTATGGTAAATAAGTTATTTTATAAATTGTCGCCGTCATCACTATCGCTATCCTGTCACTTCAAAACACACACACTGATTGTTTATCGATTTTTGTGTTCATCACTACACTATTATATGTGGTATCATTATTTCACAAAATGACAGTAGCCATTGTCAAATCTGGAATCTAATTAAAATTCTGACTATAGTAGAATGTGTTTGCACACTAACCTCTTCGCATTTAACTCCGTTGTCATGAGATTTTATATGTTCCTTCAAAGCAATCTGCGTTGGGTAGTTCTCCCCGCAATGGTAACATGAACTGTTGACAAATAGAGACAATTTTAAACGGCTTCATTTAGTTTATACTAGCTTTTACCCGCGGCTTCACTCGCGTCACAAAAGGATAAAAAGTAACCTATGTGACTATCCATTCATTCAACTACCTTCATGTAAAAAATCACGTTAATTAGTACCTCCGTTCTGCCGTTTAAGACAGGCAAACAAACAAATAGCTTTCCGCTCGCGTGGAATTCGGTTATATCGCGCTATTTAGATATTTCCAATAAGTAGGTAATTCGTTGACTGCTTTTAAAATGACATACAACGCCATCTATACCAGTACATACAGCGCCATCTATACCAATACTTTCGTTTTTCCTCTAGAATATCAAATTTTTCCGGAATAAAAAGTACCCTATTATTTAATCCGGAATTCTAACTTTACGTCTGCAAAAATTCAAAGCAATCGGTCTAGTAGTTACGGCGTGAAGTCGGAACAAACAAACAAACAAACAAACTCACTTTCCGATTTATAATACAGCCTTGGCCAAAAGTATTAGGCACGCCCAATAAAGTTCCCGTGCACCCGTGCTATTTAAACAATGAGTAAATATTCTTTTGAAAGATGATCTCGGGGTTATAAACCACTATTTAAGATATTGGGCGGCAATATTTAAGTGGTTGTATAATATATGGTGCATCAATAACGAAATATTATTTTTTTACAAAACTTACTTTTAATGTTTGATCAGTCTGCGTTTGGAAGTCTTCGCATAAAGACAGAACATTTGTAGTTTTTTGATTAAATAGAGAACAAATTTATTTGGAAATGCTAATTAGAAACGAAATTTGTCTTATAATCGTGTGTAAGTCAAACTTTTACATTAGCAAGGAGAGACCCAGAAAGAAATTGTGAAGTTGGTAAAATATTCGCGATGCGCAGTTCAATCTTCTATTAAACGTTTTGATAGGACTGGTACTAATGCGAATAAACCAAGAACAGGCAGAAAAAGCGTGACGCTAGCCACAAGGACAGGAAACATAACCGCGAGCGTATCAAAGACCGAAAAAAATTTACTTTGGAGCTTGCTGCAGCTTTAACTGAAGAGGCTGGTAAACCCATAAGCGCTCGGACTACAAGACGAATGATAATAGAAGCAGGTTTAAAAGGTTACAAAGCCATAAAGAAGCCGTGGCTTTCAGCAGAGAACAAAAGAAAACGTCTTGTTTGGGCTCTGAGACACCAACATTGTACAGAGGAGTATTGGTCCAATGTACCATGGTCGACGAATCAAACTTTGAAGTAAGTTTTATTAATTGAGTCTATTACACAATTGCAACGATTATTATTATATTAGTCTTCAAACTCAAATGTTATAAAGATTTGTATTGTGTCAATTTTGTTTTATCATTTCAGGTATTTGGAAAACCAGGTGTGACGTTTGTGAGCCGTCGCAGAGGCAAAGAATATCACCCAGATTGCGTAGTCCCAACCATAAAACACGGCAGAAGCCTCGTAATGATTTGGGGCTGCATGACTGTGAATTAAGCCGGCAAAATGTGCATTTACGAAGGTCGCATGAACCAGTGAAAAATACATAAATGTATTAGAAAGTGCTATTATACCTTCATTTTACTATATTTTTGGTAACACTAATTTACTTAGGTTAAATTTCACCAGGAAAACGCGCCTTGTCATAAATCAGCGACACATTGCACTGGTTTACTGAAAACTGTATTGCCCTATTAGATTGGCCTGCCCAGTTCCCGGATCTAAATCCAATTAAACATTTGTGGGGTATTTTAAAGAAAGACATCAAAATATATTCCACAACATCAAAAACTGCATTAAAACAGGCTTTAGTTCACGAATGGAAAGCAATTTCTCAAGAGGAATGCGTAAACCTTGTACGCAGTATACCCCACAGAGTTGCTGCTGTAATAAAATCAAAGGGTGATCCAACAAAATATTAATGTTTTTGTGTGTTTTTCATAGAAATAAAGTTAAATAATCAAAAAAAGTAGTTTTGTTTCTCTCTAAATCAAAAATATGAAATAATTCATAGGGTGCCTAATACTTTTGGCCAAGGCTGTAGTAAGGATTAAACCTTTCGTGGGGCATACAGTGACATACATTAAACTGTGGAATGATCTGTCGTCGGCGGTATTTCCGAACCGATACGACCTTCAAACCTTCAAGAAAAGAGCGTATTTTTAACCGGCATCACACCTGTGACTCCTCTGGTGTTGCGGGTGTCCATGGTTCGCTTACCATCAGGTGATACGTCTGCTCGTTTGCCTCCTATTCCATAAAAAAATACAAATTATGTGTTATGTTTTCGGCTTCGTCGACCCGGGATTTGAAGTCAACATCTACGGGGCCACCGGTGTCGAGCGCGCCGCCATAGATGGAGGAAATTGCGGGAATCTCGGCAGAGGGCGCGCTAGGCACACACCGCGGCTGACTCAGGCATCCAGTAGGGGCGACAGTCGCCGCGTCGCGGGTCGCGGAATGCTGCTCATGAATATGAGCCTCTAGCATGGCTTGAAACTAGTCGAGTTCCACGTCAAACAGTTACGTGAGTAAGCCGAAAACATCCTTACTTATATATTATATATATATCTATATTATATATATATATTATAAATCGGAAAGTGAGTTTGCTTGTTTGTTTGTTCCTTTTGTGACGCGAGCGAAGCTGCAGGTAAAAGCTAGTAAATAATAATTGGTTTTATTTAGCTTGCCCCTTTTGTTTGTTTGTGTTTGTCTTTAGTAATTGTAATTTCGACCGAATAAACCGATTCTCGAGCGGCTCCAAAGTATATTTAATACCGTCCTATTCACGGTAAGAACTCCCAGGGCGTGGACCAGAAGCATTGTCGTTAGGTTTTTCAAAAAAGGAGATAAAACCCTTTTAAAGAACTATCGTCCTATTTCCCTTTTGAGCCACATTCATGAGCTTTTCTTTTCTTCTGTCACCGTTTGTCAGTGGTGTCTAAATAATCTTAGAAAGTACATATATACTCGGAAAAGTCACATTGGTACTTGTCAAGTATCGAACCCTCATGTATGAGAAAGGGGGTCTTACTTATAGACAAGATTTTTAACATCAAGAAAAGAATTTAATATTGTTATGAGGAAAATGTTTTCTTTGATGCCTTATGATTTATTTTTATTATTTTTTTTTTATATTTTAAGTTGTATATATTAATAGTCGCAAAATATTGATTTTGACTTTGACTTACCTGTACTTGGCATCGCATACGCCGTCCGCAGTATGAGCAACATGCCGCGCCATAGCTTCGTCAGTCTTGAAGTGGGCATCACATACACAACATGTGATCTTTGGTCGCGTTACTATTACCTGAAATTTACAGGAATTTTTGAGAAACTGCCGCGTTTGCCGAGTGCGACTGCCGGTCTCGGGTTCAATTCCCGAGTCGGGTATAGTCTGGGGTTTTTAAAATTCTCAATAGTAGCACGGAGTTCGGAATTGTGTCCGGTATATGGCAATAGGCTCATCCCCTATTACATGGGACTCACCCCCTATTGGGTACTTGCCAACTAGTCAAATTCAATACTTTTTTCGAGCTGTCAGAAACGACAGTTTACTATGAATTTTATACGAGATTGTGTATTGTGACGTCACGGTTTTTAGCGCCAAACAGCATAGTTATTTCTTAAAAATTTGCTGGAAAAATAATAAAATTCAGTTGGTCATAAAATCAATTAATGATTTTTTAAATATTTTATGGTATTCAACAGGATAAATACATTTTTGATGAAGGCAAGTACCGAATTACATGGGACTCATAACATAAATAGTAAAAAGTGAGTGTTACATTGTACAGTGGCATTAAGTGCCCTAATAAGCACCTCTGCCTACTCCTTCGGGGACAAAAGGCGTGATGTTATATTATTTTATGTTTTGTTCGATACGTTTACTTGTAAAAGTTTGTTTATATGAACGCGCTAATCTCTAGAACCACTACTGGTACGAATTCAATAATTATTTTAATACTGGATGGTCCGTATATCGAGGAACGCTATAGGCATAAAACATAATGCTACGATGATTAGTAAATTACTCATGAATCGCAATCCCCAACGCCCAGAGTGTCTCTCGCGACGGCTGGGGCGCGAGGAGGTTTATTCCCTCACGCGTCCCGCCTCCTCCTTAGCTAGCATGACTTCTTCGCAGAAGGAGGAGACGGCATCCCAGTCCCCCTCGCTCCGTACCATGGTCTGAACCAGAGACGGACGCGAGAGGTCGCCGTCGCCGATCACATCTCTTCGAACACGGCGGTGCTCAGTCCACGCAGGACACACCGCCACCGTATGCTCCACCGTGTCCTCCGGGCGGATTTCACTTGACTAGGCTGATATTTTTATTGATTCATTTTTGATTTTTGTAGTCACTGACCTATGTCAGTCAGATGTCAATACATTTTTACTGATTTGACATTAATATTTAGATTGACTAAGCTGACATTTTTATAAATTTATTTCTGTTTTTGTAGTCACTGATCAATGTCAGTCAAAAATGACAATACCGTTTTACTGTTTAGACATTAACATTTAAACTGACTAAGTTGACATTTTTATTGATTCATTTCTGATTTTTGTAGTCACTGATCAATGTCAGTCAAAAATGTCAATACATTTTTACTGACTTGACATTAACATTTAGATTGACTAAGCTGACATATTTATTGATTCATTTCTCATTTTTGTAGTTACTGACCAATGTCAGTCAAAAATGTCAATACATTTTTACTGACTTGACATTAACATTTAGATTGACTAAGCTGACATATTTATTGATTCATTTCTCATTTTTGTAGTTACTGACCAATGTCAGTCAAAAATGTCAATACATTTTTACTGACTTGACATTAACATTTAGATTGACTAAGCTGACATATTTATTGATTCATTTCTCATTTTTGTAGTTACTGACCAATGTCAGTCAAAAATGTCAATACATTTTTACTGACTTGACATTAACATTTAGATTGACTAAGCTGACATATTTATTGATTCATTTCTCATTTTTGTAGTTACTGACCAATGTCAGTCAAAAATGTCAATACATTTTTACTGACTTGACATTAACATTTAGATTGACTAAGCTGACATATTTATTGATTCATTCTCATTTTTGTTAGTTACTGACCAATGTCAGTCAAAAATGTCAATACATTTTTACTGACTTGACATTAACATTTAGATTGACTAAGCTGACATATTTATTGATTCATTTCTCATTTTTGTAGTTACTGACCAATGTCAGTCAAAAATGTCAATACATTTTTACTGATTAGACATTAACATGTAGACTGATTTAGTTGACATTTTTATTGAATTATTTCGGACGTTTTTGATTAACATAACATAAACATAACATCACGCCTTTTATCCCCGAGGGGGTAGGCAGAGGTGCACACCGAAGTAACACCCACTTTTCACTATTTATGTTATGAGTCCCATGTAATAGGGGGTGAGCCTATTGCCATATACCGGGCACAATTCCAGACTCCGTGCTACTACTGAGATTTTTTAAAACCCAGTAATACTTTGCCCGACCCGGGAATCGAACCCGAGACCCCTTGCCCTTGCAGTCGCACTTGCGACCACTCGGCCAACGAGGCAGTCATTTTTTATTAACAGTCCTTAAAATTATAATTGACAAAACATTGACATTTTGACTGTCTAAACTTTGACATTCAAACCTATTAAACATAAAATTACACTCCAACTCACCTCGACTTCACGATGCGACTTCTTATAATGCATTTTCAATCCGACTTCGCTTAGAAAGCTCTCGCCGCAAATTTCACAGCAATTCTTAGACGGATGATGTAACCTTAGATGCGTCAGATGACTAGTTGACTTAGTGAATGTCAGACCACATATTTTACAAACGAACTTGTGACCTCCATGCCATTTTAAATGCTCCTTGGCCCTGTGAGAACTTTTGATTTCCAAATTGCATAGCTTGCATATATATTTTCGTTCGTGAGCTGTAGTTTTATGTGATTTCAAAGCTCTCGTGTTCGGCCATCTTGTTTTGCAAATGTCACAAGTTTCGCTGCCTGATGACTGTAAAAAACAATATTTATCTTATATCTTATACTATTATATAAAGCGGAAGAGTTTTTATAGAAGCGGAACTATTTTGAAAAAATATTTCTGTGTTGGATAGCCCATTTACCAAGGAAGGCTTTTTTTCTTTAAGGGGGGAAAATCATCGAATTACTGCTCCCGCCTGGGTGAGGCGGAAGGGAGTGTCAGACTCTTACTGACTAAAAACCACCCCGTTCCTTCTCCTGCACGTCGAGCCGGAGCCCCGGTTACCCGTTAGGTTATCCGCGATTCCGAATCGGCATCGGCCCTACTGGGCCCCATCTGTGGTGGTCTGATGGGTCTTTGAGGCGCGCGCGGAACGCTCGGCGCCGTACGCTCGGGTCTGTTTCTGGTCGGACGGGAAGCCACCCATGCTCGCCGTCCGCAGGCCCGCGCTTACGGTGGCCGGAGATCGTATCAAGGAAGCCTACTGGCTATAAAATATCACGCTACAATTAATAGGCGCCAGGCAGAGCGAGTGAAACCGCGTGGAAGTAGCTAGTACTATTACATAAAGCGGAAGAGTTTGTTTTTTTGTTTGTTTGTTTGTTTGAACGCGCTAATCTCTGTAACTACAAGTCTGATTTTAATAATTATTTTTGTGTTGGATAGCGCATTTATCGAGGATGGCTATAGGCTGTAAAACATCACGCTACGACCAATAGGAGCTGAGCAGAGCGTGTGAAACCGCGCGGAAGTAGCTAGTTATAGATAAAGTCCATAAATCCCGAAAATGACAATGTTTTTAGTAATATGGTTAGTTACTTTAAGGTAGTTAAAAAATGATGACGATTTCAGTTAGAATGGTCCTCAAAAATGACACCAAATTTTCATTTTAACGGTTCCCCGAAAATATCACTTCTCTTTATTTTGATATCTCCGAAATTACACCGACTTAGAGACGGGCTCCCCGGTAATGACACCAATTCCAATTCCCGAAAATGATGCCGAAAATATAATTTATTTTTTATGGCATAAGCCGGTAAACGTTACGGATCACCTGATGGTAAGCAATCAGCGTCGCCCATGGACACCTGAAACGTCAGCGTCACAAGTGCGGTACCGGCCTTTTGAGGATTTATATCACAATATTTTCGGCTTACTCACGTAATTATTTGACGAGGAACTCGACTAGTTTCAAGCCATGCTAGAGGCTCATATTCATGAGCAGCATTTCGCTTCCCGCGACGCGGCGACTTTCACGCTGCTACTGCTGGCTACTATTGAAGATTGTTGGGGATTCGGGGATTGGGGGGGCAATTAGGCCTTCGAGTACTAAAATAGTTTAATATACATACCGGGTCGTGTCGTATCATATGTTTTTTGTAAGTCTCATCTTGAAGGAATCCTTTAAAACACAGCTCGCACTTATAAAAGGAATTTATATAGTTCTGGGATGTTTTTCTAGCCAGTAATTCATTGTATTGTTCTTCCTTTGATAGGCATTTTAACTGAAAAATTAAAACAAATCACTACATAGTATAAAACTAAGTCGCTTTTTTGTTTTTCTTTGACATTGTTGATGATAATGGGGATGATGACAGGGTATGAAAATTAAAAATATAATTAGTCCGTAAGTTAGGTAATGAAAAAATATTAGACACGTATTTTTTTATTTTGTCGTATAATAAAACAATACTTAGATAAAACGAATCAAAGTTTAGGAGTGGGGGCTAAAACGTCATTTCTCAGTATAAAATGTACTGAGAAGTGACGTCACGCGACATTTCAAATCAATATATCTTCGAAACTATTCGTTTCCGTAAGAAAATAAAAAATACGTGTCTAATGTTTTTAAATAATCTACCAGACGGACATTAAAATAAAAATTAGTCGTCTACCCTCTGTTGACATTATAATTACTTACTTTGTATTAATATTGATCTTTTATATTGACATTGATAGTAGATTTGATTTTATGACATGTATTATATTGTATTGTATTGTATTGTATAGGGTATTTTTTTTTTTAAGGGGGAAAATCATCGAATGGCTGCTCCCGCCTGGTTGAGACGGGAGGGAGTGTCAGACTCTTACTGACTGAAAACCACCCCGTTCCTTCTCCTGCACGTCGAGCCGGAGCCCCGGTTACCCGTTAGGTTCTCCGCGACATTGTATTAGGTATACTTATTGAACAGTGTATCAATGTATTAATGTAATTTTGTCACATACATTTTGTCGTTATGAGACCAGTATTTTAGCAATAATTTTAATTGTAATTCGATTTAAAAAATGTGTTTTTTTTTCTCTTTTTGTACTACTTGTGTTATTAGTTTTAAGCTGTAATTTACACACAATGTAAATTGTTTTTGAAATAAATAAATTAAAAAAAAAGCTTTCTGTCTGTCTGTCCCTATGTCAATATGTATGCTTAAATCTTTGAAACTACGCAACGGATTTTGATGCGGTTTCTTTTAATAGATAGAGTGATTCAAGAGGAAGGTTTATATGTATAATACATGCATATTTATTTATTTATTTATTTTGAAGATATAACACCACAGCTTACGCCATATTGCACCCGTGCAAAGCCGGGGCGTGTAAGCAAGCAAGGTAAGGGTCGCTAGTAATATATAATAAACATAACATAACATCACGCCTTTTATCCCCGAAGGAGTAGGCAGAGGTGCACATTATACCACTGTGCAATGTAACACCCACTTTTCACTATTTATGTTATGAATAGCCATATGATGCCATATACCGGGCAAAATTCCAGACTCCGTGCTACTACTGAGATTTTTTAAAAACCCAGCGAAATGTCGCGTGCCGTCACTTCTATGTATTATTTATACGTAGAAATGACGTTTTAGCCCCCACTTATTGTTTTATTATACGACAAAATAAAAAATACGTGTCTAATGTTTTTTCATTACCTAACTTACGGACTAATTAGATTTTTAATTTTCATACCCTGTCATCATCCCTATTAAAATTACTAAAGACAAAAACAAAAAAAAAAACGGGGCAAGCTTAATAAAATACCTCAATATCAATTTCGGAAACATCATTTTTACAATCCGGCGCGTCAACATCAACTTGCAAAGTAAAATCGCTTCTATCATCGTCAGCATTAGCTTCAAAGTCCTTCACACACAGATTCTCTTCACAAATCCTTTTCTTAACTTTATTCGCTAATGGTTCTTCATCGCTGTAGTCCTGTTCTTCTTTAAATGAGAGATCCGGTTCAATTTTAATATGTATATCTGTTACTGTAATATAACCAGAGCCATAAGTTTACAATACACAGTATTTTTTTAAGGGGGGAACATCATCGAATGACTGCTCCCGCCTGGATGAGGCGGGAGGGAGTGTCAGACTCTTACTGACTAAAAACCACCCCGTTCCCTCTCCTGCACGTCGAGCCGGAGCCCCGGTTACCCGTTAGGTTCTCCGCGACTCCGAATCGGCATCGGCCCTGTTGGGACCCAATATTTAGTATTTAGATTCCATTAGTAGTTTCATTCTAATGTAGACAATCTAGTTTCCTTATGGCATCGAGCATTTCTTTCTTTATTGAAACAAAGAGTTTCCTTTTTCTTGTATTTTTTTTTTAAGGGGGGAACATCATCGAATGACTGCTCCCGCCTGGGTGAGGCGGGAGGGAGTGTCAGACTCTTACTGACTAAAAACCACCCCGTTCCTTCTCCTGCACGTCGAGCCGGAGCCCCGGTAACCCGTTAGGTTCTCCGCGACATCATATACACGCTAGGGCTTGCCTGTCGGTTATGCATGCACGGCTAAAGCCATCATGCAAAACCTAGCGTGTATGACTTCCTTTATAGAGAACCCCGGTACAAAATTTAATGCACCTTGGCATAGTGAACAAATGAACTATGGCTGGGATACCTCCCAAATAGAAGTAGTTAGAGCCGTGGCGGACGTGGGTGCGCCGTCCATTTACACCATATTTTCCTAGGAAAATTACAAACTTTCCTAGGATTCTAACGAGAGATAAATTGTATTGTTTTACGACACACGTTTACCCAAATTTATGTTATAATTTATAATGCGTTTCAACATCGTCCAGCGCGTCGCCACCGGAGTTGAAAGCAAACGCTCGTAGTGTCCAGCAGAGGGTGCGTTGGGCTAGATGTGCAAGCAGCAACACCGAGGCGAGCGCCAACGCTGGCCAGTGGGCTGCGCGACATCGCCGCGAGCGCGCATGCTGCTCATGATGAAGGACTCCTCTGTGGTTCGAAACTAGTAGAGCTATTCTCAGTATATTCACGCGAGTAACCCGCGATGTTTAGTTAATTTACTATGTCTCACTCACGATAGTTATTATAACAACGATTACACCAATCATAGAGCAGTTATAAATTTTGCGTTTCTTTATAAAATAAATTTGATAATACACTGCTCCCTGATTGGTTTGATATTAACAGTTGCTCTCTAATTGGTCGATGATAATACAATTTATCTCTCGTTTAGAATCCTAGAAAAGTTTGTAACATTCCTAGGAAAATTATTATAAAGATAAAGATAATTTAAATTTGCATAAACATGTGTCATTCATACAAAAGCATGCAAGATGTTAATTGTTTAAAATCAGTGTCCAATACATGTTTTGCCCTTAGGGGCGTACAAATTCAATTTATAGTAGTTACAATTCATATTAAAATGTCAAAACTAAGTATTATTAAATATTATTACGGTCTACATTAATACAGTGTCAGTGTATACTTACGGTTCTTGTTATTTTCCGGTGACATAACTATTAATTCCGCAGTTTTCAAGTTTGATATTGCATAAGGTAGATTTGTCCGGTGAAGCACAGCCAATGATTCTAGTTTTGTAACAGTAAGCTGGAAAAGAATGAAAGGAATAATTATGAAATACTTCGGTATACCTAAAAAGCTTTTAAGCGAAGCATTTATGATCATGCAGACTAAATTTTAGTACTATTGGTTGATGAGGTTCAATTACACCCCTCCTTTCCTTTATTCTTACTAATATTATAAATCTGAAAGTGAGTTTGTTTGTTTGTTTGTTTTGCTTTCACGCCGTAACTACTAAACCGATTGCTTTGAATTTTTGCAGACGCAGAGTTAGAAGTTTGGATTAAATAATAGGGTACTTTTTATCCCGGAAAATTTTGATATTCCCGAGGGAAAACAAAAGTATTGGTATAGATGGCGCTGTGTGTATTGGTATATGTCACATAGGCTACTTTTTATCCTTTTGTGACGCGAGCGAAACGCGGGTAAAAGCTAGTAATACATACACAAATACAAATACAGAACAGATTATAATTAGAACCTTTATCAAGCCCCACATCTGACATGCAGCTTGATAAATCTATCGTAGGCCCTTCTAGCCTTTCTGCAAACACCTTCAGAACGCTGATGCTGCTTCCCCTCAGTCTGCGCAACACTGATGCCACTTTTTTGCGCATGATCGCGAAATAATCATCAGTGTGCGTACCAATCTCCCAGTCCTATATAATTCTTAATTTTTTGTCTTATAAAAAAAAGTTGCCCCACACTGGGATTTTCTCCTGTGTCGTGGGTGCGTTTACAAACATACAAGTTCACATACACAATGACACCCAGACCCGAAACAACAATTTGTGGATCACACAAAGTGTTGTTCCGTGCGGGAATCGAACCCGCGACACGTTGCACGGCAGCCGGTTGCCCAGCCACCGCACCAACCGTGCAGTCATTTCGTAATCCCCAAAAGGCCGGTAACGCACTTGTAACGCTTCTGGTGTTGCCATGGACGGTGTCGATTGCTTACCATCAGGTACAGACTCATCTCACAATTTTGAAGATATCTGCTTCAAAATTTATGCAAGATTAGCTTTAGCCCGCGACTTCGTACGCGCAATCCCGTTCTTTCCCGTTCTAGTTCGTAATTTTCGGTGAAAAGTGAAAAAAATCGATGAAAAAGTATCCTATGTCCGTCTCCTGGTTCTAATCTACCTCCCTGCCAATTGTCATCCAAATCGATGTAGCCATTCTTGAGTTATAAGTAGTGTAACTAACACAACTTTCTATTATATATATAGATTACACTTCATGCACACATACATACATATATTGCTGAATAAATGTTTTTTATTTCTTATACATACATTACAAGTAAAAAACATAAATATCTTACAAGTTCACATCCCTGTTCAGTTAATTTCATGAGCTCTTGGGCTTTTATACATTTATCTCTGAACGATGCATATTTCAGGAGTAATGAGGTACAATATATGCATAAATACTGCGGATAGTTGTCCGCTGGGGATATCTGGAAAAAAATAAATAATATGTACAACTGCCTTGTTGGCTGAGTGCTTACAAGTGTGACTGCCAGGCAAGGGGTCTTCGGTTCAATTTCAGGGTCAGGTAAAATATTACTGGGATTAAAAAAAACATCTCAGTATTAGCATGGAGTCTGTATTTGTGCCATATATATGGCAATAGGCTCACCCCCTATTACATGGGACTCATAACATAAATAATGAAAAGTAGGTGTTACATTGTACAGTGGCATTAAGTGCCGTAATGTAAACACCTCAGACGTTACAACTCCGTTACCAGCCTTTTGGAAATTTCAGGATTGTGGGGGATTCGGGGATTGGGGAAACTGGGTAATTGTGACTCCGGTAACTTCAGTTGCACGACGAAACACAACGCAAACGTTGTTTCACGTCGGTTTACTGGAAGTCTGTGGTACTCCGGCCGTACCGGCCCATTCATGCTCTCCCACACTTAAGGATGTAGTTTTTTTTAGATAGAGACCAACAGACTGAAACTATCTTTTTAAAGTTAGAGTACATTTCGAGACCAAATTATTAAAAAATAAATAATGTTAAAAAACAAATAGTTTTAACTATTTTTTAGTATAAATATATATATAACTAAATTGTTTATTACAATGAAAACAAAAGAAAAACAAAATTAAGTACGTACCTCAATACCACTTATATTTTCGTAAACATTGTTCAGTTTATATTTGTAAATATCGTTAAGTTTTACGTTTGTTGCTAGACAAACTCGGCAGGCAAGTAAATCTTCCATTATTTTACAGTTATTTGTAAATTTTCATACATAATTTCTGGAAATAACAACAAAATAACAAACAATATTATTGTATAATTTTTTGCCAAACATTAGAAGATACGTACAGATAAATAATATAGTTACGTACCTATAGTCTTGTCAAAAAGCAATTTTTAAATTTGAATTGATTTAAAAATCTTCATTCGCATATCACATGAAATATAGAAAAATATTTCTGATTAAACTGTAAATAAAGAATACCTACAATTTAAGTTTAAGAAATTGTTGATAAGATAAAAACTACAACTTATATGGTAGTAGTTGAACTAGTGTTGTACGTTACAGTATTTTTTACAATTTTTTTTGTTGATTAGTAATCTAGTAAGTTCTTAAACCTTTACAACCTGTTTTCTTTTTACAAATTAGAATCCAATTAATAATAGTATTATGTAAACTTTTTGCGATTTGCAATATATACATCGTCACTACATATCATCACTACATAATATAAAACAAAGTCGCTATCCTCCGTCTGTCTGTCCCTATGTACGCTTAGATCTTTACAAAACTACACAACGGATTTTGATGCGGTTTCTTTTAGTAGATAGAATGTTTCTCAAGGAAGGTTTACATAATATATAATATATGCATATTGCACCCGTGCGAAGCCGGGGTGGGTCGCTAGTATATTATAAATTAGACAGGATTTCGTATAAATAATTTTGTGTCTTAAATAAAATATTTTCAATAAATCAATGTATTTATTAAATATAAATATATTAAACTTTTAATGTTAGACTCGATAGATAATATTAAAAACGTTTACATATTTTGTTCATTTACGGTTCTCAATATTTTGTCGAATATAATGTGTTTATTTGTAACGTTTGCCCCAAATACTATTATTTTATAACAAAAAATATTTATTACTCAACGATTTAATATTACAAAACAAATCCATGAATTAATCGACTAAAACATTCAATGATCGACACCAAACCATCGACTACAAACACAGCACAGACAACACTAAGACACCACACAGAAAATAGAAAACCAATATGGCTGTCGACATAGAAAATTAATATCAGTTTTTAACATCAAATTAGTAATCTGTGCTTGTAAGTAATATCTTCACAATGTCTGACGATATGTTCTATTGCTCCTTTGTAAGTATTCACTATATAATCTGTGAATGCGGTGAAACCTTCCCAAACGAGGATGAATTGAAAAATCATTTGGAACGCGATCATGCCATGAAAAAGGAGAAAAAAGAAATTAAATGCGGCGTCGTAAGTAACAAATATAATTTACGATCTTTGCTATACATTTTCGTATAAAATACTCTGTCTGCAAGATGCAAATTCAAGCTAAAGTTTGTAAACAAATCTTACCTTGCGTAATTACATAAAAAAATTAAGTGTGATGATTGGTTGCCAATTAATATATCTCTAGACAGTGTGTCATTATTGATTCGTTTTCAAATTATTAGCTGCTGTTCGCATGTGAAGTGTTGAACTGCTCATGACGATGGGTACTAAGTTCGTATCGCCTGGACAGTCCACGCTACCATGAATTGACTGGACAATCTCTACACTACATGAATCACTGTTTACATGTTACCATTGGCTCATGATGATACCTAAGTACGTATCGCCTGGACAGTCCACACTACCATGAATTGACTGGACAATCTCTACACTACATGAATCACTGTTTACATGTTACCATTAGCTCATGATGATACCTAAGTACGTATCACCTGGACAGTCCATGCTACCATCAGTTGACTGGACAATCTCTACACTACATGAGTCACTGTTTACATGTTACCATTAGCTCATGACGATACCTAAGTATGTATCACCTGAACAGTCCACGCTACCATCAGTTGACTGGACAATCTCTGCATTACATGAAACATGTTTACATGTTACCATTAGCTCATGGCAATTTCTCAGTTGTTTGCCTAGACAGTCCATGCTACCATCAGTTGACTGGACAATCTCTACACTACATGAGTCGCTGTTTACATGTTACCATTAGTTCATGACGATACCTAAGTATGTATCGCCTGGACAGTTCATGCTACCATCAGTTGACTGGACAGTCTCTCCACTACATGAGACACTGTTAACATGTTACTATTAGCTCATGAAAATACCTAAGTATATATCACTGGACAGTCCACACTACCATCAGTTGACTGGACAATCTCTCCACTACATGAGACACTGTTAACATGTTACTATTAGCTCATGAAAATACCTAAGTATATATCACTGGACAGTCCACACTACCATCAGTTGACTGGACAATCTCTACACTACATGAGTCGCTGTTAACATGTTACTATTAGCTCATGAAAATACCTAAGTATATATCACTGGACAGTCCACACTACCATCAGTTGACTGGACAATCTCTACACTACATGAGACACTGTTAACATGTTACTATTAGCTCATGAAAATACCTAAGTATATATCACTGGACAGTCCACACTACCATCAGTTGACTGGACAATCTCTACACTACATGAGTCGCTGTTAACATGTTACTATTAGCTCATGAAAATACCTAAGTATATATCACTGGACAGTCCACACTACCATAGTATAAAGAACAAAGTAGGTTATCTTCATACAAATGCTCCGCGCGCGGCTTATATGTGTGCGCCATAGTATCTATGCGTCGACGCACGCACACTTTAACAAAATCTCGACCCGTTTCTCAGTGCGCCAGGCAGGGCTAACACTGCACGAGGTTCGCGCGCGTATCACTTTTCGGCACTGTTAAATGAAATAAAAAATGTCTGATAACCGTAGAAGAACGTATTGCTGTGTGTTTGGGTGTCTTAATAATTAATCGATTCCAGAACTGTCTCTGTTCAGATTACCTATTGAACAGGAAAGGTAAGCTAGTCACTTTTTCTAGCATAATATAATTTGTAGGTATGTACTTGATGATGAGATACCTACTTACTTATTCTTACTCTTATCATTCTTCATAGTTCCTACTGAACCAGAAATGTAATTACCTACTATACTTAAATATTATAAGAAAATGTGGTATTGTATTGTTTATTTCACAGTTTATCTGATTTGTTAAGAGCGTGGCCGTGTCGCATTTTTCCATATAAATGTATTCCCAAATTTACTTTCTGAATACTATGTATAGAGCTAAAGTTTATTTTAAGAAGTTAATAATCTTTTTATAAGCTTTTTATTTTTACTAAATTTATAAATTGATAAAATATTCAATCATAATATGCTTTTCATTTCATAAATTTAGATCAAGTGCTGCTTGTTCGAAAATATTAACTAAAAGTAAAAGTGACAACCCTGGGGATCAACGAAAGAGTAGGCTAATAACTCGGCGGGCGGCCTTAGATAACCTACTGTGTTCTTTATACTATGACACTACCATCAGTTGACTGGACAATCTCTCCACTACATGAGACACTGTTAACATGTTACTATTAGCTCATGAAAATACCTAAGTATATATCACTGGACAGTCCACACTACCATCAGTTGACTGGACAATCTCTACACTACATGAGTTGCTGTTAACATGTTACTATTAGCTCATGAAAATACCTAAGTATATATCACTGGACAGTCCACACTACCATCAGTTGACTGGACAATCTCTACACTACATGAGTCACTGTTTACATGTTACCAGTAGTCCCACTTGTGATCACTCGGCCAACTAAGCAGGCTATAAATAACAGTAATGTAAATAAATACTGAGGAAAGCTCTTCTAGGTTGTGTGCGTTACCCAGGCCAATGTTGTCAAAAATGGTCATTTGAATCTTATTAATTAGTTGTGCGGCTTTTGTAATTGTAGCACACATTTTTAAATTTGTTGCGCCACCAAAAACTTTACCCAGCGGAATGTTGAATAACTTCACAACCGATGAAAGAACAAATACAAAATAAGGCACAACATATACTTCATCTAGACAACTAATTATATAGCTAGTAATTATTTAAATATTCCCATTAGAAAGAAAAAGGTCTGGCTGGGGTAACATTACCCCAGCAGGAAATGTTTTTGTGAAATAATTAATAAAATATAAGCGCAAGAAATTTAAAAATGTGCGCAACAATTACAGAAGCCGCACAACTAATTATCTATAAGATTCAAATGACTATTTTCGACAACATCTGGCCTGGGTAACGCACACGTCTAGGTTCTACTACTTACTATGTAGACTGCACGACATCGCCACCACAGTGCACGCTGCTCATGAGGACAGAGCCCCTCTAACTCAAAACACAGTATATTGAATTGAGTAAACCTTCATTTTAGTTAATTCAGTATGTCTTACAATCAACATCAACAGCTTATTGGCTATGTGCGCGACGGTGGCGGCGCGTAGCGATTAAATATTTGCGGAAGCTGTCAAATAATAACAATGTAAACATTATAATTCCTTTCTTTGCAAATATAAATAAAACCAAAGATTAAAATAGTATTGTTGACATTATTTAAGTGCAATTTATTCATTAGTTTTACTGTAAAATGAATATAATAATAAAAAACGCATTTGCATAATCCGCATTTGTTTCCAAATTCTGCCGTGTTGTGCGCTGCGGTCGTTATTTGTCCGCCACTACTCGCATTGCACATAGCCAATAAGTGTCCACTGCTGACCAAAGGCCTCTTCTCACACACAGAAGGTTGAAAAACAAGCATTAAACCGTTGACCATTTCAATTTCAGTGTGATGCTCTGTTCAGTACGGAGGAAGCGTGCATCGAGCACTGTGAGAGCACCCACATTGAGATTAAACAGGAGCATGACTATGATGAGTATGTGGTGGAGGAGACACACGAGGAAGACCTTGAAGGGCCCACCGAGATAGTATGTATACTTTCACTTATTTGTGTGAATGTTATGATAATAATAACAAGACTGCACGGTTGGTGCGGTGGCTGGGCAAACGGCTGCCGTGCAACGTGTCGTGGGTTCGATTCCCGCACGGAACAACACTTTGTGTGATCCACAAATTGTTGTTTCGGGTCTGGGTATCATGTGTATGTGAAATTGTATGTTTTTAAACGCACACACGACACAGGAGAAAATCCTAGTGTGGGACAATGTTTGATTAAAAAAAAAAACGTGATAATAATAACAATATAAAAATGCGTAAGTTTGCGAGGATGTGTATGTGTGTGTGTGTGACATAATTTATGTCAATTATTTGCAGATATATGAAGAAATAATAGAGGAGCCTGAACCTCCGAAGCCAAAAATAAGAATTAAGAAGGAACGGAAACCAAAATCTCACTACAATGCCAAGAATATTGTCTGCGAGGTGTGCGGGAAGAGATATGCCGTGAGTATACTCCTCAGCACGCCTTTTATCCCCTAAGGGGTAGGCAGAGGTGCACATTATGGCACTTAATGCCACTGTACAATGTAACATCCATTTTTCACTATTTATGTTATGAGTCCCATGTAATAGGGGGTGAGCCTATTGCCATATACCGAGCACAATTCCAGACTCCGTGCTACTACTGAGGATTTTTTAAAACACAGTAATACTTTGGCCGAGAGCCCGAGCCCCTTAACGGCAAACCACTCGGCCAATGAGGCAGTAGGGTAGGAATATTTGGGATGCCGTCTCCTCCTTTTGCGAAGCAGTTATGCTAGCTAAGGAGGAGACGGGACGCCCAGACGGGAGAAGTCATTCGTTGTCATGATTTTCCCCCCTTAAAAAAGGGTACTAGTATTTGACAAGATACATGTGATACTAATATATTGTATTATTTTCTTTGCAGTCTAACGCGGCGTTGAGGTACCACCAGCGAGTACATACTGGAGAACGTCCATACAAATGTACGCAATGCTCTAAAAGCTTCACCATGCCGCTGTTCCTACAGGTTTGTTCAAAATATTATCACCAACAGCCTATAAGTGTCCACTGCTGACCAAAGGCCTCTCACACGGTTCGATTGGTTCGAGCATTAATCACCACGCTTGCTCAATACGGGTTGGCAATTTGAAACTATACTAATAGGCCCAGGTCTCCTCATATTTTCCTTCACCGTTTGTCAGTGGTGTCTAGATAATCTTAGAAAGTACATATAACTCGGAAAATCATATAAACTATATTCTCCTACAGTTTCACTCGCTGCTTAGCTCCTATTGTTCGTAGCGTGATGTTTTATAGCCTACAGCCTTCCTTGATAAATGCACTATTTGACACAAAAACATTTTATCAAATTATTATAGTAATTTTGGAGATTAGCGCGATCAAACAAACAAATTCTTCAGCTTTATAATATTAGTATAGATTTATTTATAAAACTAGCTTTTCCACCGGTTTCATCCTCGTTTCCGTGGAATAAAAAGTAGCCTATGTGTTATTCCAGATCATAATCTACCCCTGTCCCAAATTTCATCGCGATCCCTTCAGCCATTTTGACGTGATTGAGTAACAAACATACAGACAAACTCATTAACTTTCGCATTTATATTCACTAGATTCTGCCCGCGACTTCGTACGCGTAATCCCATTTTTTCCCGTCCCCGTTCGTGATTTTCGGTAAAAAGTAAAAAAATAGTATTGGTTAAAAAGTATCCTATGTCGGTCTCCTGGCTCTAAGCTACCTCCCTACCAATTTTCAGCCAAATCTATTCTGCCGTTCTTGAGTTATAAGTGGTGTAACTAACACGACTTTCTTTTATATATATATATAGATATATAGATCATAACATCATACCATCACGCCTTTTATCCCCGAATAATAATAATATGTAATACATTATGCCACTACAATTTAATAACACCTACTTTTCACTATTTATGTTATGAGTCCCGTTTAATAGGGGGTGAGGCTATTACCATATACCGGGCACAATTTCAGACTCCGTGCTACTACTGAGGATTTTTTTTAAACACAATAATACTTTGCCCAACCCGGGAATCAAACCCGAGACCCCTTGCCGGGCAGTCGCACTTTAGACCACTCGGGCCAACGATGCAGTGATATTATTTTATTAGTTAGAAAATGTATTTTTACAAATTAAATAGGGTAGACGACTAATTTTTATTTTAATGTCCGTCTGGTAGATTATTTAAAAACATTAGACACGTATTTTTTATTTTCTCACAGAAACGAATAGTTTCGAAGATATATTGATTTGAAATGTCGCGTGACGTCACTTCTCAGTACATTTTACTAAGAAATGACGTTTTAGCCCCCACTCCTAAACTTTGTTTCGTTTATCTAAGTATTGTTTTATTATACGACAAAATAAAAAAATACGTGTCTAATATTTTTTCATTACCTAACTTACGGACTAATTATATTTTTAATTTTCATACCCTGTCATCATCCCCATTGTTGTTCTTTATAGATTCACACTCGCACCCACACTGGTGAGCGTCCCTATGAGTGTCCACTGTGCCCTAAAGCATTCAGCAACAAGGCAGCGCTACTGAGACATGATCGGGTAAGTTAATACGTCTGTTTTACAAGCATTTTTTTAACTTGCAATGTGTGTGTGTGTTTTTGTTTGTGTGTGTTTGTGTATGAAGTGGAATCTTGCATGTTTTTATAATAACTATCGTGAGACACTAAATTAACTAAAAATCTCTACTAGTGTTGAACCACCTGTTCTCATCTTAAGTCAAATCTTAAAATTGTGCCTCATAATACCGACTTCCTTAAGGGATAGTTAAACCTACAAAAGGTTTAGCTGCTTTATTTTTTGTATTGAATTTTGTATCCTATAATAGGGCTGACATTTTCCTCTACGGAAAAAAGCCCTTCTTATTAAAAAAAGATTTAAAAAAAAATACCGACTTCTTCTCCTATTCCTTCACCGTTTATGCTGTGAGACTGTGGAATTCTCTGCCGCCTAACATTCGAGACGCTAAATCTATCGCTCTCTTTAAAAAACTAATTAAGGACCATTACCTTTCTTCATGAGTACTGATACGTTTTTTTTCTATGTGTGTATTTTATTTATTGTTATTATTATATATTAAGTATTTATATTTATACTATATTTATTTATAATATAGTTATTATTTAGCTTTAGTTTTTTTATACATATTTCTTATTTTTCTGTCAGGTCTACTGGAAGAAATTCCAACAGGAATAAGTAGCACCTTTGTACTCTTATTTTATATATGTGTTATCCTCTGTGCTGTCTGTGTACATAAATTAATAAATAAATAAACCACAGAGGGGTTCTTCCTCATGAGCAGCGTGCGCGGTCGCGGCGACCCTCGCTTTTACTTAATTTGGAATCTTGCAACTCAATTTTGAAGCACGTATCTTTTTTTTTTGCACAAAAGTAACAAAATGAATGAAGGTCTGATGCTTGCGACAATAATGGCGTACATAGCATTGGCAACATAGGCTTAACAATGGCTTAAAAATAGAATAAAATTTGTTAAATGGAAAAAGAAAATGACAACAAAAATCCACACCATACATTACATACCTTATAAATCGAGAATTTAACAAGTTCAATTTTCAATATAATTGTAATATACTATACAATTTTATAAAAATATCATTAGTCGGCAAACAGCATACTTATTTCTAAAAAAAATGCTGGAAATATACTCTAACTAAGTTGGTCATAACATCAACTAATGAAAGTGTGATTATTTTTTAATATTTTATTATATTGAACAGTCGAAATCATTTATTTTTGATTAATGAAAGTACCTAATTACTAAAGACCCAACAAAGAAACGGGCCAAGCTGAAATAAAACTGACTGCACGGTTGGCGCCGTGGTTTGGCGACTGACTGCTGCGCAACGTGTCGCGGGTTCGATTCCCGCACGGAACAACTCTTTGTGTGATCCACAGATTGTTGTTCCGAGTCTGGGTGTCATGTGTATGTGAACTTGTATGTTTGTAAACGTACACACTACACAGGAGACAATCTTAGTGTGGGGTAACGTTTTATTAAGTAAAAAAAAATAATTATGTATTTTAAATTTTCAGGTGCACACAGGGATTAAACCGTATGAGTGTCAGGAATGTGGAAAGTTCTTCACACAGTCGAACTCCTTAAAGTTGCATATAAATACTGTACATTTGAAGATGCCCGCGCCATATAAGAGCAAGTCGAGAAGAAATAAAGCTAAAGAGAGAGAGATGTTGCGGGCGGCCATCTTGAGAGTCATGGACAACGAAGACAATACTGCAGGTTTGTAGAAATCTTCTTTCTCCTATGATATCATCAGATTTCTTTTTATATCATAAACGACTAGATGGATCCCCTGATGGTAAGCAATCGATGTCGCCCATAGACACATGGAACACCAGAGGCGTTACAAGTGCGTTACCGGCCTTTTGGGGATTAGGAGTTTGAGGATTGTTGGGGATTCAGGGATTCGGGAGATTGGGCCTCCGGTAACCTCACTCACACAACGAAACAACGCAAGCGTTGTTTCACTATGGTTTTCTGCTCGTCGGTGGTATCACTCCGGTCGAACCGGCCCAGCAGTGCCGAAGCATGGCTCTCCCACAGTTAATACGAAACTAAATTTCGCCATTACCATTTACGTTTGAATAGCTTCGTCGGGAATTCGGGTGCCTTCCATGCAGGGTATTCGGGTTCAATCCTCGGCCTGAATGATTTTTTGTCTTTTTTATATTTTATATGTTCTTCTATGTTTTTTTTTATGTGTACTTAAAAACACCGAGCAAAGCTCCTTCATCCAAGTATTGTTGTTTATTATAAAATTTTAACTTTTGTTACTTGCGATGTAAATAACCGTTTTCACCAACCTCTCTTAAATTTTAAGGAACCCCTAAGCTAATAGGAGTGACATTTAACGACATTTTAGATTTATCCAACCTATAAGTGACGCTTAACAGTATGAGTAAGGGGTTAGTTTAGGTACTATATTTTTTATGGTATAAGCCGGTAAACGAGCTGACGAATCACCTGATGGTAAGAAATCGGCGTCGCCCATGTACAATAGGCCAGTAACGCAAGTGCGTTACTACGTATTTTGGGGATTAGGAATTTCAGGGAATGGGGAGATTGGGGAAGAGGGTAAATGGGCGACCGATAACCTCACTCCCACGCCTGCACACAACGCTGTGGTTGTTTCACTATGGTTTTCTGCTCGTCGGTGGTATCACTCCGGTCGAGCCGGCCCAGCAGTGCCGAAGCATGGCTCTCCCACACTACATGACGATATGTAAATTTTCAGTTAAGTCACAGTTTAGGGACGATCAATGAAAACGATAGTAAATTTTAACTTTTTTCAACCACAAAATTAATAATGACAATTTATTTTTCAGTGCAAACGATAAGTGAATCGAACGAGATGCCGATACAACAAGACGAACACTTTATCACGCCTGAAGTATATACTATAAAACCAGAACAAATTGAAGAATCAGAAATCTTATATGAAGACGTAGATTCAAGAGAGATTACTTATGAAGTTGTGTATGAACAGTAAACCGCTTCTGTTGGATACCCCACTCACAAGCTCCCTTGTGCGTACTGCTAAGGAGTGGAGTTCTTTGCCAGAGTCTGTGTTTCCTGAAGGGTATAACCTGGGTGTCTTCAAGGCCCAAGTGAATAGGTTGCTTATGGGACGACGTGCTCCATCGTAGACCGCGTCATCGTGCACCACCAGGCGAGATAGTGGGCAAACGTCGACCCATTACATATATCAAAATAGACTGTCATCCATTGCTGGATTGAGCTTCCGTTTTTTGGGACCAGTCCGCCACAACCTCCCAAAACAACTCCTATGCACCAGGATCTACAGTAGATACAAAGAAAACACTGGAACACTGAAGTCCAACATCCCAGGGAGTGAACAACTGTATTGTACCCTGCTACAAAATATATCAGAAGATATTATTAAACTGTCAAACACCGAGCGGACACCGGTGACCGCAACCTATTGTTCTTTAATTGTGTCTATAATGACGGTACTCAACGAGTTAAATGAGAGAGGGAAATAGTTTCCATGAATTTTGTGACAGTTTTCACACTTTGTCAAGTTCTGAGAGATCTCCGAACAGTTCCTTCAGTCGGGTGTATGATGCCCGCGGGCAGAGTAAGGCACTAACGTATTGTACTAAACAGTCATCAAATCTATACTGGTAAATAAAATTGAAGTGTATGTTTGTAATATTAAAATAACCGCTTTTTACTACATATATGTATATGAATATATATACGATACACATAACAAAATAACATTTTACAATTTTTGTCTGTATGTACTGGCTGATCTCTGAAATGGCTGGACCGATTAAGACGGGAATACGGTAGATGCCTAATTTTTGTTTTAATGCCCGTCTGGTAGACTGTTTTAAATCATTATACACGTATTTTTTATTTTCTTACAGAAACGAATACTTTCGACGATATATTATTGATTTGAAATGTCACGTGACGTCACTTCTATGTACATTTTATACATAGAAATGACGTTTTAACCCCCACTCCTAAACTTTGATTCGTTTTATCTAAGTATTGTTTTATTATACGACAAAATAAAAAAATACGTGTCTAATATTTTTTCATTAGCTTACTTACGGACTAAATAGATTTTTAATTTTCATACCTTGGCATCATCCCAATTTTATTGGCAGTTAGCTGCCTAAGGAGTAACATAGGCTATTATTATTTTGGAACAGAAACAAAAACGAAGTTATATAGTATTATTCATATTTTACGCGGAAGAAGTCGCAAGCAACAACTAATATGTAAATAATTATGTAAAATTCCTAAGTTATAGAAAGTCAGAATGAATTTTGTATGTCTGTGTAGCTGCGTATTGATTGGTTGTCCTATTATTCAGTCAAAATAAGTTAGTTTAAATGTACTGTACTATATATAAGGGTTAATTTTTCAACCAACAGATACTATGTATAGTATTAATACTATTTATAGTATTATACGGATTCGTGTGGTGGGTTAAATCCTGTCTGTTCCTCCCATACCTCACGCTCTTATTATATACATTTTTGCTTGCCTGAAACTGCCATACATACCTGCCTACATGTGTCCCTACAATATTATAAAGCTGAAGACTGTTTGAAAGCGCCAATCTCTGTAACTACTGGTTCGATTTGAATTGCTGTTTGTGTTGCTATAGTACACTAGCTTTTACCCGCGGCTTCGCTCGCGTCACAAAAGAATAAAAGTAGCCTATGTGACATATACCAATACACACAGCGCCATCTATACCAATACTTTTGTTTTTCCTCGAGAAAATCAATTTTTCCGGGTTAAAAAGTACCCTATTATTTAATCCGGACTTCTAACTTTACGTCTGCAAAATTCAAAGCAATCGGTTGAGTAGTTACGGCGTGAAGGTGGAACAAACAAACAAACAAACTCACTTTCTGATTTATAATATTAGTAAGGATTTATCGAGGAAGACTATAGGCTATAAAACATCTCGCTACGATCAATAGGCTCCGAACAGCGAGTGAAACCGCGCGGCAGTAGTGAGTCCTCCGATAGTTATCTGGCGTTGTAAAAATTAGCCCTAAGATGTTTATTTATGTAAAATTTTATAAGTAATAAAATTCTTTTTAAAATTTAACTCTTGTAGTTTTTTTTTGTGGGATATAAGTGAGCAGACGGATTACCTGATGGTAAGCAATCGGCGTCGCCCATGGACACCTGGAACACCAGAGGCGTTAAAAGTGCGTTACCGGCCTTTTGGTGATTAGGAATTTGAGAATTGTTGGGGATGCAAGGATTGGGAAAATGTTTAATTGGGACTCCGCCTCGTTGGTGGTATCACTCCAGTCGAGCCGGCTCAGCAGTGCCGAAGCATGGCGTTCCCACACTTTTTATTCTCAAGCTAATAACCACTATTTTCAAGCTAGACAGGCATTATATACCTTGAAAGCAGTCGCGAAGAACCTAACGGGTAACCGGGGCTCCGGCTCGACGTGCAGGAGAAGGAACGGGGTGGTTTTTAGTCAGTAAGAGTCTGGCACTCCCTCCCGCCTCACCCAGGCGGGAGCAGACATTCGATGAATTTCCCCCTTAAAAAAAATACCTAGGCGCTTCTAATTTGTCGTCGCCGTCACTATGTGCAGTTGTGACCGCACGTCTCGCGGCGCCCTCTCTAACCTGGCGCCCAGCACTTGCGTACTTTGACTTAGTACGACTCAGGGGGGCTTACTCTTGAATCCAATTCTCTTGATATTGTGTCGTACTCTTGAGTGTTAATACTAGCGCCCATTGCATCCGTATTGTGTGGATATTGAATGAACTAAATGGTATTGAGTTAGTCTTTATATTCCGTACTCTGAATACTATTGTAACAGCTACGATTGTGGTTGTATAGTGTTGACATTGAATAATTATTGAGATTTTATTGGATTGAACTGCCTCGTTGGCCGAGTGGTCGGAAGTGCGACAAGAGTTCTCAGGTTCGATTCCCGGGTCGGGCAAAGAATTACTGGTTTTTTTTTAAATGATCTTAGTAGCAGCACGGAGTCTGGCAATGTGTCCGGTATATGGCAATAGGCTCACCCCCTATTATATGGGACTCATAACATAAATAGTGAAAAGTGGGTGTTACATTGTAGAGTGGCATTAAGTGCCGAAATTTACACCTTTGCCTACCCCTTCGGGGATAAAAAGGCGTGATATTGTTATGTAGGAGAAGGTTCTTAAGACAGAATAATACTGAAAATCCTACGGGGGAACAAGAAAAAACAGGATTGCGCGTACGAAGTAGCGGGCAGAAGGTAAGGGTCAATAAAAAAACAAGTGTTATAATCAACAATTCCAATTTAATGATTAATTACTAAATAATTACAATGGGTCCCCTGGACAATCAACCATTTGAATCAATATAAATCATCACAAATGTCACTGTTTACATGTTACCATTAGCTCATGACGATACCTAAGTACGTATCACCTGGACAGTCCACGCTACCATCAGTCGACTGGACAATCTCTACACTACATGAGTCACTGTTTACATGTTACCATTAGCTCAAGATACAATTATTTTAAGGACTTAGGTAACGTTGATTTCTTTATTTCAGATGTAGCAGTTTTTTATGGCATAAGCCGGTAAACGAGCAGACGGATCACCTGATGGTAAGCAATCGACGCCTATGGACACACGGAACAAGGCGTTACAAATGCATTACCGGCGTTTTGGGGATTAGGAATTTGAGGATTGTTGGGATTGAGGGATTATGGGTAATTGGGCCTCCGGTAACCTCAGTTCACACGACGCTGAAGTTGTTTCACTATGGTTTTCTTCTCGTTGGTGGTATCACTCCGGTCGGGCCGGAGTTCTTCAAATTACTATAATATTAGACCGAGCGATAGTAACGTCTGGCTGGCTGTAGTAGTCTCATTGTCGTGAACTGCCTGTAAATAAAAAATATATCTAACTTTACTAATAATATAGATGCGTAAGTTTGTTTATCTGTGTGTGTTACTCAATCATGTCAGAACAGCTGAAGGGAACGGGATGAAAGGGACAGGGGTAGATAATAATAATTTAGTCACTAGTGAAAAGATTGATGACTGTTGATGACGCGAAAGAGGTATGTACGAATCGTAGTTATTAGCGTTTCATAGTCTCTGCCTACCCCAATGGGAGACCGGCGTAAAGTTATGTATGTATGTCTGTAGTCACTAGTGATTTTTTCTCATTTTATAAAACACTCAATAACTTTGAAAAATGAAAATATCTTTTACAAAAAAAATGCTCTCAACAAAGAAAAACTACGTTCACGAAAACCGACTTTTTGCAGAAACTAAGTCACACGACAACACACCATGCTTCACGTACAAGTGCGTTACCGGATTTTTGGGGATAAGGAATTTTATGATTGTTGGGCCTTCAGTAATCTCACTTACACATCGAAACATAACACTGTTTGTTTCACGTCGGTTTTCTGCTCGTTGGTGGCATCACTCCGGTCGAGCCAGCCCAGCAGTGCTGAAGCATGGCTCTCTCTCTCTCTCTCCTCTCTCTCTCTCTCTCTCTCTCTCTCACACACACACACACACACATACACACTTTTATTCAAGCCAATCGCGATCAAACATGCATACAGGTCAAAATGAGAACCTTATTCTTTTTAGAATTCAATTAAGAACTACAAGATAACTCACCCGTTCATGTTGTGTCAGATTATGTTTCCCTTTAAACGATTTAGGACATCTATCGCAAACGTAGGGACGCGCCGTAGAATGCACGTAATTCCTGTGTTTCTGTAAATAACAAACATAATAATATTAATTATCTGTTAAGTATCTCCTTGTAAGGGAACGATGCGCATGCCAATTAAACTCGCTAGTCAGTTGCACACTGGTTTATTTTATCTAAACTTCATAGCGGAGCGGGGAAACGGGGCGCAGCCAGCATTCTACCTTTGCATCTATACACACATACATAACATTATCTAGCTATGACAGATCACATTTTTTCGGTGTTTTTATTAGTACACAATTTTTTTTACAAAAAAAAGGATAAACTACATTTTTAAACATAACATCACCACGTCTTTTATTCCCGAAGCGGTAGGCAGAGGTGCACATTACGGCACTAAATGCCACTGTACAATGTAACACGCACTTTTCACTATTTATGTTATGAGCCATCAGACCACCACAGATGGGCCCAATAGGGCCGATGCCGATTCGGAGTCGCGGAGAACCTAACGGGTAACCGGGGCTCCGGCTCGACGTGCAGGAGAAGGAACGGGGTGGTTTTTAGTCAGTAAGAGTCTGACACTCCCTCCCGCCTCACCCAGGCGGGAGCAGGCATTCGATGATTTTTCCCCCTTAAAAAAAAGGCTACTTGGCAACGTGGGAGAAGCTGGTAGCTGAAGCTAGTGTTTCATAATTGTACGTACCATCATAGTATCCTTGCTGATGAAGCCTTTCATACAGACTGGACACTCGTACGGCCTCTCGCCCGTATGCACCCGGAGATGCACTTTCATTGCATTTTTATTCTGTAATACAGAGAGACACAGCATCAAAATCCGCAGACAGTACATAGAGAAAGAAAAGCAGTTTATTAGCACACCGTCACAAAATGCAATAACGCGAAAAAAATGTTTTATTATTATATACATATTATATTAAATAAATCACTACATAGTATAAAACAAAGTCGCTATTCGCCGTCTGTTTGTCCCTATGTATGCTTAGATCTTTAAAACTACGCAACGGATTTTTTGATTATATAGAGGAAGGTTTATATGTATAATACATGCATATTGCACCCGTGCGAAGACGAGGCGAGTAGCGAGTGAAACTGTAGGACTAGCTAGTAATAGGGGTAGATGCCTAATTTTTATTTCAATGTCCGTCAGGTAGATTATTTTAAAACGTTAGACACGTATTTTTTATTTCTTACAGAAACATATACTTTCGACGATATATTGATTCGACTACACGATTGGTGCGATGGCTGAGCAACCGGCTGCCGTGCAACGTGTCGCGGATTCGATTCCCGCACGGAACAACAATTTGTGTGATCCACAGATTGTAGTTCCGTGTCTGGGTGTCATGTGTATGTGAACTTGTATGTTTGTAAACGTACACACGACACAGGAGACAATCGTAATGTGGGGCAAAGTTTTTTTAAAAATAGGAAAACGAAAAGGAAAGAAATGATACTTTAGCCCCCACTCCTAAACTTTGATTCGTTTTATCTAAGTATTGTTTTATTATACAACAAAATAAAAAAATAATCATTACGTAACTGACGGAATAATTACATATTTAATTTTCATACATCACCCCTAGTATAGGTAATTAAAATACTTACCGGCACGACTTTCCCGCAGATTTCACATATCACTTTCCTGTTTAACTTCAAATGTACATATTTCAGATGATCCCGTAGCTGGGCGCCTTGTTTGTACACCTTGTGGCACTGTTGACAAATTAATTTAAATTAAAATGAAGTCAAAGTCAAAGTCAAAATCATTTATTTCAATTAGACCAGGATGGCAATTTTGAACGTCAACAAAAAAAATTATAATTAAAAGTGAAGCTATTTGCTCATTCCAAGGTGTAGATTCCTATGAAGAAGAACGAGCAAGAAACTCCATAGGTTACTCTTTTTCAATCAGGTTCACAATACAATTCTCTAGTTACATAGTTTTGCTGTTTGGATTGTGCGAGAACAATGTAACACTATAATCCAGTCAAAGTGATCAAAAAAGAAAATAACCTTGAGCTTTAATGCAAGTTAGCATACAGGGCTCGTACACAAAACTACGATGCGACGTCGCATCGGAAAAATTCAATTTCAATTTTTTTATTTCAGATTAAACATCAATATTTATGTTAGTAGTAGTACAACTTAGCCTAATGTTGGTGAATTATAATAATAACAATAAACAACCAACGAAACCCACTAAATTAACTAAAATCGCGGGTTATTCACGTGAATATACTGAGAAAAGCTCTACTAGTTTTTTTAAGGGGGTTCATATATCGTCATATGACTGCTCCCGCCTGGGTGAGGCGAGAGGGAGTGTCAGACTCTTACTGACTAAAAACCACCCCGTTCCTTCTCCTGCACGTCGAGCCGGAGCCCCGGTTACCCGTTAGGTTCTCCGCGACAAAAAACAAACTTACCTTTGGGCAAGGATATAGCATATTAGAAGTCCTTCTATGCGTTTTTATGATATGATCCCTTAATGCCATGGCGTCATTATATCCGACGCCGCAGTGCACACACGTGTGTCCAGTACAGATGCCGTCGAACGAGTGACGGTTTAATGCAGCCTCGTCTACCAACTGGACATCGCAACGTTCGCATTTCACCGGCAGATGGAGCTGTAATACAAAACGGTAGATGACTAATTTTTATTTCAATGTCTGTCTGGTAGTCAAAGTCAAAGTCAAAGCATTTATTTCAATTAAACCATAGTTTGGTACTTTTGAAACGTCAACAAATACAAAATAAATAATAGTCTGTCAGACAGTCCGTCAGTAAAACTAGGTAAAGCTAGGTGCTCATTCCAAAATGTAGATTCGAGTGGAGAAGAACGAGCAAGAAACTCCATTCGTTACTCTTTTTAAAAAAGTAAGTGTGTGTTGTGGTAGATTATTTTAAATCATTACACGCGTATTTTTTATTTTCTTACACAAACGAATACTTTCGACGATATATTGATTTGAAATAGGTACCTCGTGACGTCACTTTTAAGCACGTTTTATACGTAGATATGATGTAGCTCCTCCTAAACTTTGATTCGTTTTACGGTTTATTTATCCTTACTAATATTATAAATCGGAAAGTGAGTTTGTTTGTTTGTTTGTTTATTCCACCTTCACGCCATAACTACTCAACCGATTGCTTTGAATTTTTGCAGACGCAAAGTTAGAAGTCCGGATTAAATAATAGGGTACTTTTTATCCCGGAAAAAATTTATATTCCCGAGGGAAAACAAAAGAATTGGTATAAATGGCGCTGTGTGTATTGGTATATGTCACATAGGCTACTTTTTATCCTTTTGTGACGCGAGCGAAGCCGCGGGTAAAAGCTAGTTTCGTAATATAAAGCTAGGTTCTTATTATATTTCTGGACATTCTAAAGTGTTTCTTTTTAAGTGAGTAAGACTTTACCGGATAACAATACGGAATGCTATTCATACTTACATCTCGATGCCGTCTCTGTTTGTGTTTGTCTAAAGTTTCAGCCAGAACGAATGAAACTCCACAAATGTTGCACCAGATCAGCTCCGAGGGGTGCTCGTCGCGGAGGTGGACGAGGAACGTTGATTGCATCCTGGAAAGGAATATCTATATATATAAAAGAAAGTCGTGTTACTTACACCACTTATAACTCAAGAATGCCAGAATAGATTTGGCTGAAAATTGGTAGGGAGGTAGCTTAGAGCCAGGAGGCCGACATAGGATACTTTTTAACCAACATTTTTTCTTTTACTTTTTACCGAAAATCACGAACGGGGACGGGAAAAAATGGGATTACGCGTACGAAGTCGCGGGCAGAAGCTAGTTTTTAAATATAGTCTTTTTTCATGGGACAATCCCGCCACAACCTCCCAAAACCGCTGCAACTCCTGTGCACCAGGATCTACAGTAGATACAACCATGAAAACACCGGAACACTGAAGTCCAACGTCCCAGGGACATGAGTAACTGTCTTGGTTCCCGCAACGAAGTGAATCAGAAGATATTATAAGAGAGAAGACGAAAAACGATAGTTTCCACTTCCCTCGGTGAATTACTGCAGGAGACAGAATGAATTAAGCCTAAAGGCACAAAGAAGAGACTGTACAAATGAGTGAAGCCCAGTCGCCAAGCACTACGGATATTTGACTAAAATCTAAGTGGGTCCTATGTGTGAGCTGTTATACTTGCTTCCAATAATTTAAATATATGTAGTCTACATAACATAACATCATGTCTTTTATCCCTGAAGGGGTAGGCAGAGGTGCACATTATAGCACTTAATGCCACTATACAATGTAACTCTATTTCTATCTCACTATTCATGTTATGAGTCCCGTGTAATAGGGGTGAGCCATGGCCATAATAATATGATAATTAATTTATTTTTTTTATTTATTTCTTTATTTCAGGCAACTGTGGCCCATACAAAATATAATACACAAATAAAATAACAAATACCAAAAAATTAAAACATCAATAAACTAATAGATATACAATAACAAAACTCATAATTATAATTATTGCACACGAAGAGATAATGATATTAATTGAATACATACCTGAATCCCCGCCCACAATGTTCACAAGTAATATATTTCTGTCCATTGTGATAAACCTCGTGGTGTTTCTTGGCGTCAAATCTGAAAATAAATAATAATTATACATTATAACTTTCGCGAGACATCCTTACTAATATTATAAATCGGAAAGTGAGTTTGTTTGTTTGTTCCGCTTTCACGTCGGAACTACTAAACTGATTGCTTTTAAATTTTGCAGACGTAAAGTTAGAAGTCTGGATTATATAATATAGTACTTTTTATCCCGGAAAAATTTGATATTTCGGAGGGAATACAAAAGTATAAGTGTAGATGGCGCTGTATGTCATTTAAAACCAGTCAACGAATTACCTACTTATTGGAAAAATGTAAATAGCGCGATATAACCGAATTCCACGCGAGCGGAAAGCTATTTGTTTGTTTGCCTGTCTTAAACGGCAGAACGGAGGTACTAATTAACGTGATTTTTTAACTGAAGGTTGTTGAACGGATGGATAGTGGATAGCCTACTTTTTATCTTTTTGTGATGCGAGCGAAGCCGCGGGTAAAAGCTAGTACTCAATAAATTATTATTGATGATGAGACATACTAAATAACAGTGGCCGCGTCGCGGGTCTCGAAATGCTGGTCATGAATATGAGCCTCTAGCATGGCTTGAAACTAGTCGAGTTCCTCGTCGAATAATTACGTGAGTAAGCCGACAAAATAATAATGTATTTAATAATTATACAATTAATTAAAGTGTGGGAGAGTCATGCTTCGGCACTGCTGGGCCGGCTCGACCGGAGTGATACCACCAACGAGCAGAAAACCATAGTGAAACAACTACAGCGTTGTGTTTCGTCGTGTGAGTGAGATTACCGGAGGCCCAATTACCCTCCCCTTCCCCAATCTCCCCAATACCTGAATCCCCAACGATCCTCAAACTCCTAATCCGCAAAAGGCCGGTAACGCACTTGTAACGCCTCTGGTCTTCCGTGTGTCCATGGGCGACGCCGATTGCTTACCATCAGGTGATACGTATGCTCGTTTACCAGCTTATCCCATAAAAACAAAATCAATTTTTAAGGAATAACTATGCCGTTTGACGTTAAAAAAACGTGACGTCACAATACACAATCTCGTACAAAATTCATAGAAGACTGTCGTTTTTGACAGTTCGAAAAAAGTATTGAATTTGACTAGTTGGCAAGTACACAATTGGGATGATGACAGGGTATGAAAATTAAAAATCTAATTAGTCCGTAAGTTAGGTAATGAAAAAATATTAGACACGTATTTTTTATTTTGTCGTATAATAAAACAATACTTAGATAAAACGAATCAAAGTTTAGGAGTGGGGGCTAAAACGTCATTTCTACGTATAAAACGTACATAGAAGTGACGTCACGCGACATTTCAAATCAATTATATTGTCGAAAGTATTCGTTTCTGTAAGAAAATAAAAAATACGTGTCTAATGCTTTAAAATAATCTATCAGACGGACATTTAAACTGTCAAACACCGAGCGGACACCGGTGACCGCAACCTATTGTTCTTTAATTGTGTCTATAATGACGGTACTCAAAGGGTTAAATAAAAATTAGGCATCTACCCTATTGACTTACATATTTCGAGACACCTTAGGACACAATCTACAAGACATCTTTGTTGTATGTCTATTGGTATAATGTGCGGACAAATCATTCGCAGTTTTATATCGAAACTGACAATATTCGCACACCTCCGACCCAAGGTTCTGAAACAAAATAAATTTATATTAAAAACAATATAACATAACATAACATCACGCCTTTTATCTCCGAATGGTTGCTAAAGTTGTCGCGGAGAACCTAACGGGTTACCGGGGCTCCGGCTCGACGTGCAGGAGAAGGAACGGGGTGGTTTTTAGTCAGTAAGAGTCTGACACTCCCTCCCGCCTCACCCAGGCGGGAGCAGTCATTCGATGATTTTCACCCCTTAAAAAAAGGGGTGCTAAAGTTGTTTTTAATACTGCCTCGTTGGCCGAATGGTCGTAAGTGCGACTGCCGTTCAAGGGGTCTCGGGGTCGATTCCCGGGTCGGACAAAGTATTACTGGGTTTTAAAAAATTCTCAGTAGTAGCACGGAGTCTGGAATTGTGCCCGGTATATGGCAACAGGCTCACCCCCTATTACATGGGACTCATAACATAAATAGTGAAAAGTGGGTGTTACATTGTACAGTGGCATTAAGTGCCGTAATGTACGTCTAGCGCTTCGGGGATAAAAGGTGTGATGTTATGTTATGTAACATCACGGCCAGGGGTAGGCAGAGGTGTACATTACGCGCGGAAAGCTATTTGTTTGTTTGCCTGTCTTAAACGGCAGAACGGAGGTACTAATAAACGTGATTTTTTAACTGAAGGTAGTTGAACGTATGGATAGTCACATAGGCTACTTTTGACGTGACAACGTCTTATAAATTGGTTTGCCGGGTGACACTTCAAGAAACTGCGTTACGCTCCGCTCACGTTATGCGCTCACAATGAGAGCGAGTGAGAGGCACGCGTCCCTTCCACTCGGGCATGGTTAGCCCGCCTAAGAGCGAGAGAGACAGACATAAAAAGTGATAGGCACGCGTCCCTTCCACTCGGGCATGGTTAGCCCGCCTAAGAGCGAGAGAGACAGACATAAAAAGTGATAGGCACGCGTCCCTTCCACTCGGGCATGGTTAGCCCGCCTAAGAGCGAGAGAGACAGACATAAAAAGTGAAAGGCACGCGTCCCTTCCACTCGGGCATGGTTAGCCCGCCTAAGAGCGAGAGAGACAGACATAAAAAGTGAAAGGCACGCGTCCCTTCCACTCGGGCATGGTTAGCCCGCCTAAGAGCGAGAGAGACAGACATAATATTTTACCACTGAAAGTCGTTGTCACGTAAAACTTTCGCCCGTATACCGACTTTACAGGCAACCAATTTTTTATCCTTTTGTGACGCGAGCGAAGCTGCGGGTAAAAGCTAGTAAAGAATAAAGCTTGTAACAAGGACTCACCGGGTCGTGATGCATTAGAAAGTGTTTTGTTAAAAGATTAGCTGCCAGGAAGCCTTTGAAACACAATTCACATTTATGCGGACTGTTCAAATAGTTCGGTGTCGATTTCCGATCAAGGACATCTTGTAACTTCTCTTCAGAACTAAGTTTATGTACGTCGACATTGCAGGTGGCTTCAAATTCTTTCAACTTGATGTCATCGTCTAAAATATTCGGTTTTCTCTTTCTTATTTTATTCACGTCTTTGATTTCTATTTCGTCCGCAATGTCCATGTATTCTGGTGCACCTGTTGAAATAATTAAATATATGTAAATGAAGTGACTTGCCTATACAAAAGAGAAGACAATAAATGACTGCCTCGTCGGCCGAGTGGTCGTAAGTGCGACTGTCGGGCAAGGGGTCTCGGTTTCGATTCCCGGGTCGGGCAAAGTATTACTGGGTTTTTAAATATTCTCAGTAGTAGCACGGAGTCTGGAAATGTGCCCGGTATATGGCAATAGGCTCACCCCCTATTACATGGGACTCATAACATAAATAGTGAAAAGTGGGAGCGTGACGTCATGATAAACTCGACCAATCAGGAGCGTTTTGTGTCACATGACAAACGTTTAAAAAAAGCTATTTTTAATAAATGAAATATTTTTTTCAACTTCCGTTAATAAATTATAATTTTTTAACTCTTCATTTAAACTGTTTTTCGCATTGTCAAAAAGCCTATTATAAACAGCGGGTGACAGTCCAGTGCTGCACTATGAGTCTCCTCTACATAAGAGAGTTTGTCACAATCTCCGCAGGCAGGCGGGTTGGAGGTCGCAGGGTACAAGGTTCAGGTTTAAATAAAAAAAGAAAAATAACTTAATGTTTACCTGTATCATCACCCATTGTATCTCCATCATTGTCTTGATTTATTTCCATTTTTACAATATTTTCTCCAACGATATCAATGTGATTTATATTTGTTCTATAAAACTTCAAGTTTTGTACTTTATTCGCTTCCGGCAACTGTAAAGAGTAAAATAAACGTATTTAATTACAATTTCACATTGTTTTTATAATAACTGTCGTGAGACATACTAAATTAACTAAAATCGAGAGTTACTCACGTGAATATACTGAGAAAAGCTCTACTAGTTTCGAACCACAGAGGGGTTCTTCCTCATGAGCAGCGTGCGCGGTCGCGGCGATGTCGCACAGCCTACTAACAGTAGCTCATGAGGAAGATCCCCTCTGTGGCTCGAAACTAGTAGAGCTTTTCTCAATATATAATAAAAATAAAATAAAATGTTTATTTCACTGCCTCGTTGGCCGAGTGGTCGTAAGTGCGACTGCCGGACAAGGGGTCTCGGGTACGATTCCCGGGTCGGGCAAAGTATTACTGGGCGTTTAAAAAAATTCTTAGTAGTAGCACGGAGTCTGGAATTGTGCCCGGTATATGGCAATAGGCTCACCCCCTATTACATGGGACTCATAACATAAATAGTGAAAAGTGGGTGTTACATTGTACAGTGGTATAATGTGCACCTCCCTTCGGGGATAAAAAGGCGTGATGTTATGTTTGTTTATTTCAAAAAGGAAAAGTTTTACAATTTTGTTGTATCCTGGACCTCACAGTAGGATTCCCTGCGTCGTGAGGCCCAGGCTCCCTAACAAACAGTACAAAAAGAAAAGTTATCATAATGCTTAAATATAAATGTGTATTTTATGTGTGTGTATGAATATGTGTGGATGTAAGTGAGTAAGTAGGTAAAAGTGTGTGTTGTGCGTGTGTGTGTGTGCGTGTGTGCATCTGTTTTATGTAGTGCGTGTATATGTGAGTGTGTGTGTGTACGTATCCATGTTTGAAAATGTGAATATGTCACAATAAGTGAATACCAATCATTATTTTTTTTTTATGATTATTGTTACTAACTTAAGAGGTTTTCAATCATGTTGTAATCCATGGTGAGAAGTCACCTTTTCACCGTGTGTTTACATACATTATGGGTGAGTTGTAAAATTTTGAGTTGGTTATTAAGTTTGGAGTAAATGTGTGGTCCCATATAGCCGTACGACCTTCTCTCGACTGTTTTACGACAGCGGCTCTTTTCCCATCGTATTCTTTTTTTTTTTTTTTTTAAGGGGGGAAAATCATCGAATGACTGCTCCCCCCTGGGTGAGGCGGAAGGGAGTGTCAGACTCTTACTGACTAAAAACCACCCCGTTCCTTCTCCTGCACGTCGAGCCGGAGCCCCGGTTACCCGTTAGGTTCTCCGCGACACCCATCGTACTCTACAACCAGACTGGATACAAGTTCTAATAGCGGTTTTATGAAATCTTAGAGTAGTTGACAATATGTACGGTGTGATCTAACTCTGAGAACCCCGGTTTCAGTGTAAAGTGAATCTATATAGTGAAAATATATTCACGCGAGTAACCTGCGATTTTAGTTAATATCACCATTTTTACGCCTATAAAAAATAAAGCTAAGCTAAGCTGTTCCCAGTGGGCTGGGCATACAACATTGCAAGAGGGGAGTGAATAGGTTTCTTAAGGGTCGGCAAGACGCATGTAATGCCCCAAGTGTTGCAGGCATACATAGGCCACGGTAACCGCTTACCATCAGGTGGGCCGTGTGCTTTTATGCCACAGTCGTGGTATATAAAAAAAAAACAAGGAAAGGAAAAGGAAAGGTATATAAAAAAAGTTTTAAGAGTGGGAGAGCCATGCTTCGGCACGAATGGGCCGGCACAACCGGAGTGATACCACGGCCACACAGAAAACCGACGTGAAGCAACGCTTGCGTTGTGTTTCGTCGTGTGAGTGAGGTTACCGGAGGCCCAATAACCCAACCCCCCCCCCCTTCCCCAATCTCCCCAAACCCTGAATCCCCAACGATCCTCAAATTCCTAATCCCCAAAAAGCCGGTGACGGACTTGTAACGCCTCTGGTGTTTCAGGTGTCCATGGGCTACGCCGATTGCTTATTATCAGGTGATCCGTCTGCTCGTTTACCGGCTTATGACATAAAAAAACAAGGAAGTTATATTACTATATCACTCACATAATTAGTAAAAGTAGCCTCCTTCAATGCTTTAGCGGCTTTCTTACAGTTCTGGCTGAATGTGTTACATTTCCGAAGCAATGTCACGCAGTGGCTACACAGCAATTTGGACAGGCAGTCATCTTCAGTCACCTGGAAATTAAACATAATTTCAATTAGACCGAAACATATGTATATCATCAACAGCCTACACGTGGCTAGTCATTGGCGGTGGCGCATGCAGTGGATCGCTCGATTCCCTACAATATGGTTTAGTTGGGCGGGGCTGGGGTACGTGGCATGTTCGTGGACGGGCGCCGTCAACCGGGACAGTGCCTTTAGCCAAACGCCACTTTAGCGCTTGTCTACAGAGAGAGTAGAAAACTAAATGTATGGGGATGACACTGACAAGTGTCAAAATTTACGTCAATTCCATATAATTTGGTTTTATATTCTACATGTAGACAAGCGCTAAATGGTATTTGGGTACAGCTGCTGGCCAGCTCCAGACTATGATTTTATTATCCTCAAGGTTATTTTCTTTTCCAATCTCTTTGACTGCATTTTGGTGTTACATTGTTCTCGCACAATCGAACCAATAAAACTATGTAACTAGAGAATTGTTTTGTGAACATGATTGAAAAAGAGTACCTATGGAGTTTCTTGCTCGTTCTTCTACATAGGAATCTACACTTTGGAATGAGGAAATAGCTTCACTTTCAATTTATGTATTTTTGTTGACGTTCAAAAGTGCATTTCTGGTCTAATTGAAATAAATTATTTGAACTTTGACTTGCTTTGCTGTCTGTGCTATTGCTGAACAAAGCCTCTTCTCACACGGAGGTTTGAGCATTAATCACCACGTTCGCTCAATGCGAATGGGCCGGCTCGACCGGAGTGATACCACCAACGAGCAGAAAACCATAGTAAAACAAGGCATGCATTGTGTTTCGTCGTGTTAGGGTTACCGGAGGCCCAATTACCCCCGCCCCCCTCCTCAATATCCCCAATCATTCTCAAATTTGTAATCCCAAAACGACTTTAGTGTTTCGGGTGTCCATGGGCGACGCCGATTACTTACCATCAGGTGATCCGTCTGCTCCTTTACTGGCTTATTAAATAAAAAAAAATCAAGCACTTTCGTTTGATATCCATAATGAAGGTAGTTATGGAACATTAGATTATATTGTATGGCCATCAAGAGTGAGAGTGTGTACCAAATATCTGGGTGCTTACTCTTGAAACCAATCTCAATGTCAATGCAATTTTAATCCAATAAAATCTCAATAATTATTCAATGTCAACACTATACAACCACAATCGTAGCTGTTACAATAGCATTCAGAGTACGGAATATAAAGACAAACTCAATACCATTTAATTCATTCAATATCCACGCAATACGGATGCAATGGGCGCTAGTTGCGACTCAAGAGTACGACACAATATCAATGTCGATCGATCGGAATTGGATTCAAGAGTAAGCCCCCTAATCGATCTGTCGTCAAGAGGGTGAAATTAACGCTTTGAGTACCGTCATTATAGACACAATTAAAGAACAATAAGTTGCGGCCACCGGTGTCCTCGCGGTGTTTGACAGTCCCTTTGAGTACCGTCATTATAGACACAATTAAAGAACAATAGGTTGCGGTCACCGGTGTCCTCGCGGTGTTTGACAGTTTATGAATGTGTGAACTTACCTGTGTCCCCGACATTTGTTGGTATACATCCAAAACATCCGTTTCATGTATGTTGTAAAGCTTTCTCTTCGTTGTCAAACACGCCCTGCAGATCGGAACGTCGGGATCGTATTTTCTTTTAAAAACTGTAGAAAGAAAAATCTAGTATAAGTCTTGTTTAATTCGATAACTGGCTGCTCTCGGTCCACTCGCTGCTCGGCTGCTATTAATCGTAGCGTGATGTTTTATAGCCTTTTTTTTATTTTTTTAAGGGGGGAAAATCATTGAATGATTGCTCCCGCCCGGGTGAGGCGGGAGGGAGTGTCAGACTCTTACTGACTAAAAACCACCCCGTTCCTTCTCCTGCACGTCGAGCCGGAGCCCCGGTTACCCGTTAGGTTCTCCGCGACTGTTTTATAGCCTTTCTCGGTATATAGACTATCCGACACAAAAACTAATAAGGTACTTTCCTAAATTTTATTCTAATGTCCGTCTGGTACATTAATTTAAAACTTTAGACACGTATTTTTTATTTTCTCACCAAGTTAAATACTTCCGACGATATATTAACTTGATATATCGTGTGACGTCACAGCGTGTCACATTTTGTAGCACGTTATGACGTAACGACCTCCCAGTACTAAACTTAAGCTTAGCACCATTTTATCTAAGTATTGCAACTTAATACGAGAAAATAAAATACGTGTCTAATATTTTTTCATTGTCTGAATTTCACTGACGATGACGAAGTGATTAGATTTTTAATTTTGATACCCTGGAAACTAGGGAATAAAATCATCGAATGACTTCTCCCGCCTGGGTGAGGCGGGAGGGAGTGTCAAATTCTTACTGACTAATAACCACTCCGTTCCTACTCCTGAATAGAACTGAGGCCACGGTAACTATTGCATTGCATACCCGATGAAATACACAAAGTAGAACCTTCATATAATTATTATAGCCGCAACGCGCGCGTGGTCGCGCTCACTGTAAATGCTGCTAATGAATATGAGTCTCTAAATTACTTGAAACTAGTTGAGTTCCTTGTCAAACAGATACGTGAGTAAGTCGAAAAACATAATAATTAATTTATTATGTCTCACGGAAGTTATAACAAAGTTATGAATAAGCCGGTAAACGAGCAGACGGTATCACCTGATGGTAAGCAATCGGCGTCGCCTATGGACACACGGAAGACCAGAGGCGTTACAATTGCGTTACCGGCCTTTTGGATTAGGGATTTGTAGATTGTTGGGCATTCAGGGATTGGGAAAGGGGGCGAGGGGTATTTGGGCCTCTGGTAACCTCACTTCCACGACACTCCCACACTTAAAAACTATATTGGTTAAATTCAGTAAAAAAGGTTATTTGAGTTTCAAATATTTCTTTCTATAATAAATAGTGTTTAATTCAACCTGGCAATCACCTGCTGTGTTAAGGGCTTATTTCTAATTATAATTTTAAAATTACCAATCCGCATTGAGCAAGCATGGTGGTTAATGCTCAAACCTTTATCTGTACCACTTATAGCCTGTACTTATGGCTAGGATAGTCTCCAACGTCAGGAATTATGATACAAATAAAATTAACATCAAATATATAAATTTTATTATAAAATTAATGCATTTACCGTGTGAACCCGCACAGTGAATATGTCTCTTTGCCTTTCCGACCGGTGCCTGTGCTATGGGTGTCAACTTAATTATAGGTTTCAATTGTCCTACAGGTATAAAGTTTCCAGCAGGATGCAAACGTCCTAGAGATTTTAACTTTATTGCAGGTCTTAATTGTCCTACAGGCATCATTTGTCCGTTGTGATTCGATAATACTACAGGTGTCAATTGTCCTGTAGGTTTTAACTGTCCTGAATTCGATAGGACTACAGGTTTTAGTTGTCCTGCAGGCTTCGACAGTATTACAGGTGTCAATTGTCCTGCTGATTTTAATTGTCCTATAGGCGTAAACTGTCCTTTGTTATTCGTTAGTATTATAGGTTTTAACTGTCCTGTAGGCTTCGACAATACTACAGGTGTCAATTCTTCTACAGATTTCTCGATATCAGCGGGCTCTGACAGTGCTACGGGTGTCAACTGTCCTTCAGCATCCGACTGTCCTTCAGGATCCGACTGTCCTTCAGGATCCGTCTGTCCTTTGGAAATAAACTGTCCTTCGAGATTTTCCTGTACTTCAAACTCAGATAGTATTTCAGGCGTATCTATAACATAATTAAACACAATATTAGAATGAATTTTTCGTCTTTGTTGAACTAATAAAATTGTTAAATAAAATTATTTTACCGCTTTCAAACAGCACAGAATCGCAAGGATCTGGTTGAGTATCATTCATTTCCGTATCTCCATCACAGTTATCATCATTTCGTTTAATTTCTTCAAATATTTTGGCTGCACCTAAAATACACAACGTTGTATAAATTAAATATTGTAGTATAATGTTCCAGTTAAACAATAAATTCATAGTTTAAAATAAGTAACAAAAAACATGATTATAATCATATACATTTGACGTGGGGGCCCGGAGGTTTAAGACGCCCGCTTCTCATGCATGAGGGCTCAAAACCTACCAATGGCAAGAACCAATGTGACTTTTCCGAGTTATATGTACTTTCTAAGATTATTCAGACACCACTGACAAACGGTGAAGGAAAACATCCTGAGGAAACCTGGGTTTATAATTTCTAATTATATGCTCAAACCTTCTCCGTGTGAGAAGAGGCTTTGCTTAGCAGTGGGCATTTATAGGCTGTTGATGATGCCGAATCATACATCTTCCTAATAAAGATAAATAGATAAATCTAACCAACCCAAACTCAATATTGGTAAATTCCATCATCATAATATAAAATCATTATAGTAAAGCTCGATACTGACTATAATATTATGTTGTAATACTAGCTTCTGCCAGCTACTTCGCTCGCGTTCCCGAGGGATAAAAAGTAGCCTACGTATTGCAGACCATAATCTATCCCTGTTTGAAATTTCATCCCGTTCTCTTCAGCCATTTTTAAGTGATTGAATAACAAACATGAGCCACCCTTCAGCACGAATGGGTCGGCTCGACCGGAGTGATACCACGGCCGAGCAGAAAACCGACGTGAAACAAACTTTGCGTTGTGTTTCGTCGCGTGAGTGAGGTTACCGGATGCCCAATAACCCTCCCCCCCTTCCCAATTCCCGAATCCCTGAAACCTCAAATTCCTATAATCCCAAAAGGCCAGTAACCCACTTGTAACGCCTCTGGTGTTCCAGGTGTCCATGGGCGACACCGATTGCTTACCATCAGGTGATACGTCTACTCATTTACCAGCTTATCCCAGAAAAAATAGACACAAACTTTCACATTTATAATTTTAAATATAAGCCGATGCATTAAAGAAAGGAATCTAAATGGCGGCTTGTACTTGCGTTGACCAGTAGTACAGTTAGCATATAAAATTTCAAGTCGAATAAATTCTTCAAAATAGAAATAATAAAATCATGTTTGGGCCTTATTTATTTCTAACCATTTGAAGATTTGAAAATTACTTTTAACTCATTTATTAATACTATCTATGAGACGGTCCTTCACCGGGATCATCAAAAGTTTATTTTTATGTCTACGGTACGCGCGAGAGTGAGTATAGACGGCACTAGTGTGCAAGCGAGAAAACATGATAAGCACCGTCATTTTAGATTCCTTCCTTTAATGAACCGAGTTATAAAATGACTTACTTGGTGGCAAATTTAGGCATGGTATAGCTAGACAGCTGAGTCGCTTATACCGAGTCCTATCTTTAGCATCAAAATGTTTGTCGCACATTATACGTTTTTGGTAACGTTCATAGTCATTCGGATCATCTGGATCCCCCCCAGAAATGAGGACCCACTTCCTGAACTTATTCAAAAACTTCCTTGGGTTCGGAAAGCGATGTGCGCCAACTGAAATAAAATATTACAAATTAAATACTTTATCGGCTTAGAATTTATTGGCATGCAAACTTTTTTTTTTCTTAAAACATTGCCCCACACTAGGATTTTCTCCTGTGTCGTGTGTGCGTTTACAAACATACAAATTCACATACACATGAGGCCCAGTGTGTCGTGGTGTTGTGTCGTGGTGGCCCGGAGGTTTAAGACGCCCACTTCTCATGCATGAGGGTGCGGGTTCGAAACCTACCAACGGCAAGTACCAATGTGACTTTTTCCGAGTTATATGTACTTTCTAAGATTATCTAGACACCACTGACAAACGGTGAAGGAAAAACATCGTGAGGAAACCTGGACTTATAATTTCTAATTATAAGTTTGAAATCGCCAACCCGCATTGAGCAAGCGTGGTGATTAATGCTCTAACCTTCTCCGTGTGAGAAGAGGCTTTGCTCAGCAGTGGGCATTTATAGGCTGTTGATGATGATGACGCCCAGACCCGAAACAACAATTTGTGGATCACATAAGTGTTGTTCCGTGTGGGAATCGAACCCGCGGCACGCAGCACAGCAGTCGGTTGCCCAACCACCGCACCAACCGTGCAGTCAACTAAACTAAATGTGTATACAAGATTTCAGTTCAATCGGTTGAAGATATCTGCTTCAACATTCTGTTGCAAGATTCGACTTCACACACACACATAGATACATAACAAAATAAAACCTATCAATCAAAAATAGGGTGAAATGTACTAAATTTGTATTTGCTTGAAACTAACAAAACACGACAATTTCAGAATTAAATTTGAAAAAAATTTTTGTATTCCATCAAGCTAATAGAAAATTTTTACTTATATTTGTTTACAAACACTTCACATTGATCTTGGCATAACATAACATAATATCAGGCCTTTTTATCCCCGAAGGGCTACCCCTTCAAAATGCCAAAATGTGCACCTCTGCCTACGTTTTATTAATGCCTTTTAATCTGTCAAACACCAAGCGGTCACCGGTGACCGCGACCTACTGTTCTTTAATTGTGTCTATAATGACGGTACTCAACGAGTTAATTAATATTATTGCATTAATGCCACTGTACAACGTAACACCCACTTTTCACTATTTATGTTACTCGTCCCATGTAATAGGGGGTGAGCCTATTGCTGTATACCGGGGACATACTAAGATTTTTTAAAAACCCAGTAATCCCGACCCGGGAATCAAACCCAAGACCCCTTGCCTGGCAGTCGCACTTGCGACCACTTGGCCAACGAGGCAGTCTTGGCATAACAATAATAATATAGAATTTCGACTAACTCCCGAATACTGAAAGGCTAGCTTTAACTCATCGAGTACCGTATTTATAGACACAATTAAAGAACAATAGGTTGCGGTCACCGGTGACCGCTTGGTGTTTGACAGTTTAAGTTGTACTTAAATATTGTGCCATCTCTGTCGTTTTATAAAGATTTTGTAGAGACAGAACTATAATTAGCATGACTTAAAAATACTTATAAGTTTTATTTTATTGCCATATAAATGAGTTTGTGGGATATAAAGTCAAAGTCACAATCATTTAGTTCAATTACACCAGGAAGGCATTATTGAAAGACTAAACAAAATACTTAAAAAGATAAAATGTCAGTCTGCCTGTCAGTCCTTTAGTGAAGCTATTTGCTATATAAGGTAGCCTATGTGTAATTGTAGACCATAACCTACCCCTATTTAACCCTTTGAGTACCGTCATTATAGACACAATTAAAGAACAATAGGTTGCAGTCGTGGTGGCCCGGAGTAAGACGCCCACTTCTCATGCATGAGGGTGCGGGTTCGAAACCTACCAACGGCAAGTACCAATGTGACTTTTTCCGAGTTATATGTACTTTCTAAGATAATTTAGACACCACCGACAAACGGTGAAGGAAAAACATTGTGAGGAAACCTGGACTTATAATTTCTAATTATAAGTTTGAACGCATTGAGCAAGCGTGGTGATTAATGCTCTAACCTTCTCCGTGTGAGAAGAGGCTTTGCTCAGCAGTGGGCAATTATAGGCTGTTGATGATGATGAGGTTGCAGTCACTGGTGTTTAGGAGTTTTAGACTAGCAACTGAAATATTTGAAATCTCCGGAGTTCTATCAAAGAACTAATTACACAGGGATGAATATTAATATAAGTCCTTGAAAGCCTACAGTATTTCAGTCTATCAGGGCCTGATCTGTGGAAGTTTGCTGGTCTCCTTTCATTTCGATCCCTTCAGCCGGTTGATGCCTTCATGACTGCACGGTTGTTTCGGTGGCTGGGCAACTGGCTGTCGTGCAACGTGTCGCGGGTTCGATTCCCGCACGGAACAACACTTTGTGTGATCCACAAATTGTTGTTTCGGGTCTGGGTGTCATTGTGTATGTGAACTTGTATGTTTGTAGACGCACCCAAGACACAGGAGAAAATCCTAATGTGTGGCAACGTTTGTTTTAAAAAATAAAAAGATTTGATGTGACTAAGTAACAAACAAAAACGTTAACTAAAATACAAGGTAAATATATACAAAAATGTTTACTTACCTGTTTGTTCACATCCTAATGCACAGCGTTTCGGCATTGTAGCAGTATAACACGTTCACAAACTCACAAAACACTAAATCACGAAGAAATCACAAGTAACAACAGTGAAGTTAACGTTTTCCTCAACGCTTCACTCATAAGTCGAACTATTAAGTATTAATACACATATGTAATTATGGACGTAATGAAAATTAAGTTTCCTTGTAGAATCACTTTGTAGTTTTATTTTTTTATTAAATAATAACCTTTTTCGATAATATTTACGTAAAATTCGAAAAATTGACGCTCACGATTTCACGAATGACATTTGACATTGACACATGAAGTCTGTGATGACCATAGATTATACTTGATTTTTTTTTCATAGATTGTAAAGGAACTGTACTTAACTTTTGGTAATTTTTTGAAAAAATTGGTTTGGGTTTCATTATTTTGCCGTATAGCCGTAAAAAATATGTAAATATTGAGATCAGAGGTTAGATCAAAGAATATAAGATACAACTTGGACCTAGGGGTTGATGACAGAACAAAATCATAATAAAATTAATTCTTACATATTTATAGTGATTGAGTAGAATCACTCCATCGCGCAATAAGTTTATCACTAACCCTACTCTTCCCGCGGGTGTAGTATACCCGCCAGAAGGGAAGGGTGATTGCGGAGCCCTTGGGCTAACACTACGTGTATGGTTATAAAAAAACGTCTTTTAAAAATATTTATTCATAAACACAAAGAAAAACATAAATATTCTGAACAATTTATGGGAAGGGAAGAAGCGCTCGCGATCCCGCGGCGTAAAGCTAGCAAATAAATAAATATACCAATTTGAGTCAGGTCAAAACCGGTATGCGTCGGTTTTTTACTTGTAGATGGCACTGGCAGCACTTCAAGTGGTAGATCTGTAAAAAAAATGAACGGTTTAAAATTACATAGTTTAAAAAAAATCTCAGTAGTAGCATGGACTCTGGAAATGTGCCCATTATATGGCAATAGGCTCACCCCCTATTACATGGGACTTATAACATAAATAGTGAAAAGTGGGTGTTACATTGTACAATGGCATAATGCGCACCTCTGCCTTCGGGAATAAAAGGCGTGATGTTATGTTATATTTTTTTTTATATTTGATGGGCCGACGTTTGCCCACTATCTCGCCTGGTGGTAAGCGATGATGTGGTCTACGATGAAGCACGTTTTCCCATAAGTTTAGATGACAGTTGAATGTTTTACTTTTTTTTCAAATTCAAATTCATTTATTAATTGTAAACATAAGTAACATTAGGGTCTTTTTTTTAAGGCGGGAAAATCATCGAATGACTGCTCCCGCCCGGGTGAGGCGAGAGGGAGTGTCACTCTTACTGACTAAAAACCACCCCGTTCCTTCTCCTGCACATCGAGCCGGAGCCCCGGTGACCCGTTAGGTTCTCCGCGACAACATTAGGGTCTTAGATTACATGAGATATAGTCCGAAATTCTTTAAGATTACAATTACTAGTTTTTACATAAACAAACAAAAGGTTCATAGGGTAATACTGTAGCCCCAGCACGAAGGCTTGCGTTCATGGCGCTGATTTTGAATTTGGCGAACTACCATGAAGCATACACTTCATAAAGAATTTAGGTATTAATAATGACTTACCATCTTGTTGTTCCGTGATATCTTGTCTCTGGTCACTGGCTGGTGAATTTTCTAAAACAAATTAAAGTAAACATTAAAATCTATGAAGCCCCTCTACAGCTCGAAACTAGTAGAGCTTTTCTCAGTGTATTCACGTGAGTAACCCGCGATTTTTAATTAAGTTAGTACTAGCTTTTACCCGCGGCTTCGCGCGCGTCACAAAAGCATAAAAAGTAGCCTATGTGACATATACCAATACACACAGCGCCATCTATACCAATACTTTTGTTTCCCTCGGGAATATCACGTTTTCCGGGATAAAAAGTACCCTATTATTTAAACTGGACTTATAACTTTACGTCTGTAAAAATTCAAAGCAATCGGTTTAGTAGTTACGGCGTGAAAGCGGAACAAACAAACAAACAAACTCACTTTCCGATTTATAATATTAATAAGGATAGTAAGGAAGTGAAGGATGTCTCACGATAATTAAGCTAAGTGTAACAAACACTTTTCCTGAAAACCGCATCAAAATCTGTTCTGCCAATCACGAGATGATTGCACAAACATACATACAGGTGTAACTAAGATCCGCCTTCTTGAAGTAGGTTAAACTGTAACACCGCGAGGACACCGGTGACCGCAACCTATTGTTCTTTAATTGTGTCTATCATGACTGTACTAAAATGAACTTACCATGTGAGTCTGAACGTCTGTAGACATGTTGAGGGTACGCTGCCAACTGTTCATCGGTGAGAGGTGGAGCAGTTAGATTCAAGGATGGTATAGCGTTCCTATTCAGACGGTTGCCAACTTTGTTATAATCTTCTCTTTTAAAGTGGTTTGAGCATACTCGTCTCCTCTCATGCAGCTTCTCCACCGGTAGATGTACTAACTCCTCGTTACCCACTCGTTTTAACCATTCTCTGCAGCTGGAAGACAAAAAAGTTATTAGAAAAAAAAAGAATTATAAAAATCGGTTGAGATATCGGTGAACGTTGAATTGAGACCCTCCTCCATTTTTGAAGTCTGTTAATAAGCTGAACATTTTGTTTCAACGTTTCAACATGCTAATCTCCAGAACTAGTGATTCAAATTGAATAATTATATTTGTGTCGGATAGTCCATTAATCAAGGAAAACTATGAGCTATAAAAAGTCAAGCTACGATCTATAGGCGCCTAGCAGAGCGGGTCAATCCGGATGGGAGTAGCTGATTTATAATGAACATGTTTACAAAATCTTAGGATGAGAGATTGATGAAAGTTAATGAAGCAAAGGAGGTATGTAAGAATGAAAAAAAAATAAAATACTTATTTCACGCCAAAAAACAAGTGACATGTACAAATAAGTCATTGTATTAGTAGGTACTGATGGATACATGTTCATGTCCCAGGTCTGCCGTGAAATGAGACCAGTTCAGCATGTGCAAGACAGGGCCTCACGCTGGTATTCTACTGGGCCCTTAAGTGACTCGCAGACGAACAAGCCACCAATTTGATATTAACAGTTACATAATAATATTACAAAATAAATGAAGAGATAAAAAAAGTAGTTTCTCTTTTTTCTATCTTTCTATGAATTTAAATGAAGCAAAGGAGGTATGTCGGAGGTATTGAGTACTAGCCAACTAGTCAAATACAATACTTTTTTCGAAATGTCAAAAACTACAGTTTTCTATGAATTTTGTACGAGATTGTGTATTGTGACGTCACGTTTTTTAGCGTCAAAAAGCATATTTAAGTATTTCTTAAAAATTTGCTGGAAAAATATTAAAATTACTTAAGTTTCATAAAATCAATTAGGTTAATTACTGCGAAAGTGTAATTATTTTTTTAATATTTGTTTGCATTCAACAGTCAAATTAATTTATTTTTGATTAAGAAAAGTACCCAATTGTAGCATTTGGCTTTAGACTTGTACCAATTACCTAACTGTACCTATATATTCAGTACTGAGTAACTGATGTATTCTCAATTAGCATGCTATATAGCCTTAGCGTAATTCTATAAAGGGTGCAAATGGACCGCTTCCGAAAAACGACGGGTGATGTTTTTGACAAGTTTAATTTTCATAAAAATAAGGAATTCAATGTTTCTTTTATGTCATAATAGTTGTGATCAACCACTGAAGGCTGATGTTGAATGTTGAACATAACATATAACATAACATCACGCCTTTTATCCCCAAAGGGGTAGGCAGAGGTGCACATTATATGTCATGAGTCCCATGTAAAAGGGGGTGAGCCTATTGACATATACCGGGCACATTTTTGCAGACTACGTGCTACTACTGAGATTTTTTTACAAACCCAGTAATACTTTGCCCGACCTGGGAATCAAACCCGAGACCCCTTGCCCGGCAGTCGCACTTGCGACCACTCGGCCAACGAGGCAGTTGAATGTTGAATACGTTAAAAAACAACAAAATTGTAAAAAAAAATGTCTTGCAGCATTCCGTTTACATCCTCTATACATACAATCATCAATCATCGATTGACTTCGACTTCTCCGGAGGCAGTGCCGGACTCTTACAGACTAAAAACCACCCCATTCCTACTCCTGCCCTTAGAGCCGGAGCTCTGGTAACCCATCCAGTCCTCCGCGGCACCTCTATACGTATAGATTAGGAAGTACTCACCGGTCTAGATTCAGCGGAAAGGCGGTAAAACGTAAATTCTTTCCTGTAGGCCAAGCTTCATTGACATTACAAATTTCACATCTTCTGTGACCACCCATACTTGTTCACTGATTATCACACATTTCATTTAACACACTGTCTTTATATCAGTCACAAAATTTATCACGAGATGTTATATACTACCGGTGTCAATTGTTCTCACTTATATTATGTACAATATTCGAATATGTATCAGAGAGATTGTAAAACATATTATTTAAAAAAAAAACGAATGTAGTTTCTTCCTCGTTCTTTTCCACTCGAATCTACTTTTTGGAACGAGCACCTAGCTTCTCTGACGGACAGACTGACAGACTATTATTTATTTCATATTTGTTGAAGTTTCAAAAGTACCAAATTATGGTTTAATTGCTTATGAGTTTGAGTTTAAGTTGATATAAATATTGTGTAAATACAAGTTATTTTATAATTAATGATGAAATAGAGGACCAGGAGCTCGACATTCGGAAATAAAACAGAAAAACGTAATAACTGAGATTGTTTACATCACAAACATGTGTACACAAAGGCGGCCATATTTGTTATTTATTGTGTAATGTTGGTCTAGGTTACCAAGGTAACAAGTATTTTACAATGTTGGCTAAGCAAAGTCACAAATTCCCGAAGAAAATAATTAAGTTCAGAGTTTTCGCCACACACGTGAAAATAGATGCGCCGTTCAATAATAGAAATGACACTGACATGAGTGACATGAGACAGCTGACATTCGAGATGACCAT